ATTCCCTGCATTTGCCTGTGGTAACTAGTTCAAATTGGGTGTGGCTGGGGCAAACAGTGACTCGGAAAATGAGTGAATGAAAATGGAAAACTGGGCAAGCAAGCTGAGCGCACAAGAGCTCACTATTATCCAATGCAATTGTGGGTTAGTGGGTGAATGTGCTTTTCAGCCAACTGTGCATATTACAATGTATACGACGATAGTTGCACGTTGCAGCTACATATTGTGGCTTTGTTGTTGTTTTGTTTTTTTTTAAGGGGCAAAGTGTTTGTGCCGTCTGGGTAAACAAAAGACTTTGCCAACAAACGTGAATTTTGTTGGCTTGCAAGCAAACATACTTTCATGTGAAAAATATGTAACTATTTGAGTGTGTGTGTTTAATATATATATTTATTAAGTTTTTAAACAAATTTATGCGTATCTTAACACAAAAAAATTAATGAGTTTTTAAACTGAATGAGGAAGTGAAGTTTCTTTGATCTGAAGACTAACTCAAATTGGTTTTTTTTCCACCAAATTCTAGCGCCTAATGTATCATTAATTACATTAAACAAAAGCTACTTCACACACACCTCAAGTAATTGTATTCCAATTTTTAATGCACGTTTTCAAGGCGTTGGCCAAAAATGCCCGAAGACAAATCTGATTCCGTGCTGAGCTGCAGTTCTAAACTTATAATTTAAGCAACACTTTCAGTTTTAATATTAATATGAAATTAATTTTTTGATTTCCAGAGTGCTTTGTGAGAAACTTTGCAAAGTTGAAGAAACTATTTTTTGTTTTCTTAACATTGACTGCCGCATGATTAATGAGCCGGCTATGATTTAAATGGTTGTGTGGGCCCACTGTAACTTATGGCTCAATCCACAAGCTGGAGCAGAAGCAAAGAAGCGTATTAATTGGCACACTAATGTTGTAATATTAAAGCTATGTCACTTTTGCAATTGCTCTGCTCATAATTAGCTCATTTGCTCAACAATAACAACAATTACGACTAAAAGCTACGTACATTAAACAACATGATGATTTGCTCCCGCTGTGAAAAAACATGGTGTGAAAAAGATAGACATTAATTGGGTCAAGGTCATCTGACTTGTTGGCATTTTAGTTGGCAGTTTGCATACTTTGCCTTCAAATCGCATCACATACAAATGACTTAAGCAACGAACTTGTTTCGGCAAACCAATAGAATTCACATGTCCATATATGAATATATGGCCAGCACGCACTGCAAGCCATTATTCACTTCTTAATACCCCATAAAATGAGCATATTAGCTGAGGCGTCCAGTTCGTTTTGAACCAGAACCAAGTCGATTTTTTGGGAAATTATTTTAAACGAATTTCCAGTTAGAATCGCGCTTTCAACTTTAAATATCGTTTTTTTCTAGAGTTTTTTAAAATCGGTTAAGATTTGACGAAGTTATGGCGCTGGGAAGTTATTGCCCTTTCAAAAACAAACAACTGAAACATGTTTGACACAAATAGTTAAGGGTACACTTTTAGCATGGCAAGTAATTACTTTTTATGTATTTCTCGTGTAATTTCCATCTTACTTGTAAGTTGTTTGGCCGGCTGCGCTGCATTGCCAAGGCCCGTTGACATTTTCAGCCAAACGAAACAAGTTACGCACGCTTACGCACGGTTCCGTTATGAATGAAATGTGGAGTGCAAAGTTGCTGCTTTTTGTTGCCGCATTTTTGTCATTAGCTAGCCCCGGTCTCTGCTGATTTGTATTTGCGTGTGTGTGTGTGTGTGTGTCTGGGTTAACCGGCCACTGCAACATGCTGAAATTGTGTGTAAACAAGTCATGTGCTTAGTTCAAGTTGATTGCAATTGTATACGTTTATCACTTGTAAACGGCTTTCAGCTGTGAAATAATGCCTTACATATTATGTATTACTTTTCATAACATATTTCGAGGAAATGAAGCAAATAGTTTTATAACAGCTTATAATCTGGGTAATTACAACTTTTACTCTCTAGTCAAGCTCTATAAATATGGAAACTAGAACTCTTGGAATAAAGTGCCCACTTTAATTGTATACCTGAGATTCTAGCTAATGTCACATCTGTTATCGTTTTTTAAGCATCAATCATAATTTAACCATAATTTTATATTAAGCAAAAGTAGTTTCCAGTACGTATACATATTATTTTCTTTAAAAGCCAGCTGTACTTATTTCGTTTAAGCCAACTCACATGGGCTCCTAGCAACAAACAATGATATATGCCCACCATTAATGTTAATTGTATATGATTTATGCTCATTTTGGCTTATGAGGTGATGCAAAATCATCTAAGAGCATAAAATTACACGATTTAAGGCAAAAATGCACAAGCAGCCAAAAGAAAGACATCAAGTGGCAATCACACAACACAACACACCACAAAACACACTCCATATATTCCACACAAGTAAGTACACTAATGGCCTTGTCAATGCCGTTGCATGCCTTGAGAATTCACAATCACAGCAACAACAACCACAACAACAACGAACAGCTTTGCAAGACAATAAAAATCGCGCATATTTGGTGCAGCGGCAAAAAAACAATACAAAACAATTGCAATTGTTGTTGTTGTTTTTTTGTTATACTGTTGCATGTAACGCTGCGCCACCATTGTGTGGCATGAGAATATGGGTAAGGATTGGAGCCGTTGCCACTGGTGAGAAATGGCAACTTGCTCCACCTCCACTCAGCAAAGCCTGCGCAATTGTGTTAAGTGCTACTTTAAGACTTCAAACTATTTCGCACAAGCAAAATATGAATTAATTCTTAACGATTTGTTAGTCAGTTTATTTATAATCGCCAACTTTTTGAAAGTGCTATTAACGGGTGACTTTAACAACTGAATTAGCTGACTCAGATTCGTGTATATTTAATTATTTGATTTGTTTGCTTTTACTTTCGTCAGATCTGGTTAATTAATTGTCTGCGAACGTGTTGAGCTGACCTTGGCTCTAGGCCAATAGTCTAGGCTCTGACGATAGGCTGATGATTATTGAGTTTACGTTTTGGTAGTAAACACTTGATGGTTAATTAACTTAAATGAAATTACTTTATGCGCCCAAGCTATGCAAGCATGTAAAATAGTTGTTTTTTTTAGATTCTCATTTGTAATTTATTTAGAGCCGTCACTTCAAGATCGTTTGGACAAGTTCACTTTCAAAGATTAATCGTTCAACTCTGCAGGTCGGGTTAAAGGTGATTTGAATGTAAATTCGTTCTCGTTTCAAGTTGCACAACAAATGTCAAATGAATTGCTAATTGATTTGCCAGTATCTCTCATGAAATTAAACAATAACCACATCATAACTAATTAATCAATCTGATGTGGAGCAAAGCAATAATCGTGAGAAAATCACAGAAATTCTACACTTAACAAATTGACATGTTTGTATCATAATTCCATAATTTACAAGCTCCGACAGCTGTGGCTATCAAAGTCAAGTTTACACACAATTTGTCGCGATGCAAGCAACAACAACAGCAACTGCAAAAAATCTGATCAGATTTAATTACCAACTTGCATTCTAGCAAACCAGCCAAGATATATTTATAATTTTAGAATGCGGCATGAATCACTTGAGAATGGAAATCCGTTTCGCTGCTCAAAAGCGTTGACTGTCACTCTATGGTTCTGCTTTTGTTTAATTGCGGCTTACAGCTTTTTTGACGAACTACTGGCCAAAATGCATTCGTGTTAGCGCGTTAGCAGAGCACAGGCGAAGGTCAAAAGCCAAGCAGCAGCAGCGATCGGTCAACTGCGTCAGCAGCTGACAGGCGGGGCCGAGTGTTCTAAGCCCGGCCAGCAATCGTTTTAGCCATTTCGATTTTCCCACAGCCAACTTTACAATCGCGTTTGGGCGTTGTTAATGCATTTGTGACTGAGCATATTTACTATTGAGTGTTAAGTTCTGAGCGTGTTTCTGTTCTGACTGTCTGACCGGCTGACTGTCAATTTTATTTATGACTAACGGCGCCGGCGCGACTTTATACGCTATAAGCGATTGTGACGATCGATATCAATATTTTATATCCTGTAGTTTTGGTTCCGCAAAACAGTGGCTATAATAACGCGCTCAAAACGCCCACCAAATCTTGTCTCGAACAAATTGCAGTGGCACTTGGCCTTTACGCCAACACCACCAGCACCCACCAGCACCCACCAGCAACACCACTCGAACGTGCTGCATGTTCGTTAAGATTGTATTTGTCACAACTCGAGTTGGGGGAGTGTGTGAGTTTTAACTTATTGAGCTGAGAAACGCCAAACGCCAAACAAAGGCAGAACTAGCTCAGTATTTGGAGTAAACTCGTGCTGAAATTAATACCATACCTTTATCTTAAATGCAGTCTACTCCAAAATTACATTACATGCTTACATTCATTCTAATAAGCATGCCACTAAGAATTTGGCATTTAATTTTATAAAATTAAATAAAAATATATCACGCAAAAAAAAAAAATTATAATAAAATATTGTGTAGAATTGAATTGAAGGTATTCAAAGTATGTTCCATAAAAGCCCAAAAGCGAGCACTGTTTTCTGTAATATAAGACACCTTTGGGAGCCAGGAATACTTTTAGGCTTCAAAAAATCAAAGTAAAAGGGGCAAAACATCTTTAAAAAAATGCATGGTCATTGAAGTTTATTGTGGATATGTTCGCTTATAGTCCAGTTAAATAAATACTCTAAAATCTTTATTTTATTTTGTGTATTTGTCAGTGAATATGTTTTTTAATAACGTTTAAGCACTTAATAAATAACAACATTTAGCGAACGTCATTTAAAACTAAATACTAGTGGAATAATGCATAATAGCTATAGTTACAAGTAACATGAAATACTTTTCGTATATATAAATATAATGTTGCATATTTTGGTTTTTGTATTTTTATAGTTTGTTGCTGTACAAGCAGTTTGCAATCGTAAAGGGAAACAACACACGCCAGAGGGGGAAATAAAGTTAAATATATATATATGGATATTTATAGGTAAGTACATTGTTAACATAATTTAATATGAGTTCAAAACTGGAGAACTCTTTTGCTATTCAACTATTTTAAACAGTAAACAATACTTGACTGGCATATTTGTATTAGTTTTTTTCTTTTTTTTTCTTAGTTTTTCATTGTGAATATGCTTTTATATTACTTTCGGCATTGTTCTATTAGATACTCTCGTAAAGTTCCGCATTAGTATGGCACATAGGAGCCGGAATTGCGCTTGCGACCCATGTTACAGATTTTGAAGTGGCATGGCGACATATCTATATAAAATAAATATATGGTTAACTTTAGTAAGTTTGTCAAAATTTGGATTGTTAAGTCTCATGCAACACTTACAATTTTTACGAACTATTTGTTTGGGTGAGTTACAAGAAATGAAAACATGAAATAAAAGAGAATTCACATTTAAGATATGCAACCATTTCATGCAACACAGAGTTTTAATATAAACAACTATGAACCCAATTTTGAATTAGTTTATTTACTCACATTGCACATTTTTCTTGATGTTGTGTTGTTTGGAGTTGCTTTGCACCTTGTTATGCTTCTTGCTTTTCACAGCTGTCAAGTCATCCAAAGTATTAACAAAACCTTCCCCATTGTCGCCCAGTTGATGCAGACGTTCCAGTAATCTGGAGCCCAGTGGATAACGTTCACGTTCAGCACTCTCCACAGATGAGGAATCGTCATAGTCGGCGGTTAGGAGCAAATCGCGTAGAGAGGGCCATTTATTGACAAAGTAGTTGGGTGCCAGAAGTTGTTGCTGTTCTTGTGGATATTTCTGTGGTGGACAAATATTTTTTATTATTATTAATTTTGTTTTTTCTTAACAATTATATTTAGAACATTGACTAACCTATTGTTAAGGTTGTAAAGCATTATTATTATATTAAGTATAAAATATGGATATGATTTCCAATAAAAATTGTATTTATATTAGAAAAAACCAAGATCTACGAGGTACCTCAATTTTTTTAACCTGACTCCTTGTCTAATCAACTATTGAATGTATCCTAAAAATGGTCAACAATGTCTTGTTTAAGATTCCAGCTTGTTACTTCAAAATATCTCCAAAGTGAAAATTAAAAATCCTCTAATCTACATTTACGTCACACAGACATACACACTCACCAGTTGCGGCTCGTTGTAGTAGGTTTTGTCCTCATTAACCGGTCCGGTTTCGAGCAGTTCATTGAAGACCAACTGCGCTGGCATTGCGCCCACTGAGGGGCGTGGCATTGCATGTCCTGGCGACAACAGCGCAATTGACATCAACACAATGGAAATGGCCAACTGATGACCGATAGCAAAGCCGCATGTTGCTGCTGACGTTGAAGCCATCACGTTGTTATTTTTGTTTGCCAACTGCGAAATAGCAAATTGAAAAAGTTATTCAATAGGGTTGCCCAATATAACAGCATGTGTGTTAGAATTTATACGGGAGAGTGAGAGGATGAGTAAGAGAGAGAGAGAGTTTATTTTCAACTAACAATTAAGCAGAGCCCAGCCCGCCCACAACCACCCCAGTTTCATTACACCCCTCCACAAAAGCCACACTCGAAAGCAAACGCTTACGCAAATAGGGTTTCCAATTACACTTTGTGTCGAAACCTAACAAAGTTGCCAAGTACAAAATATGCGCAAATGTTTCCACTCTTTTTATTTTTCACTTCTTTTTTGTTCTTGTTGTCCTGGAATTTTAAGTTACGATTACTTTATATTACTTTACACGGGTTTCGTCTCAAGGTGTTTGGTATTTCAAACAGTCACGTTGCATTCGCAAAATCCGAAGCGAGCCACTTAAGATTTAACTCGCTCTTTGTTTGATCACTTTGAAGTCTTCACATGCCAGGCCGTGGGTCAATGGTATTTTCTGTGCGCGATTCCAGTGACCCGTGACGCGGTCTGTTGCGACTGCTGCCCTAATTGCCGTTTTATGAAATATTAATGCCTAATTATGCTCAGCGCTGACGCTAACCCTCGCAAAGTTCAAAGGTCCTTTCACTGTGGATAGAATGACCACACTGAATAAATGCCTTGACATTTATATATCAAGAGCCAAAAGGACATTGAGGAATGTGGCACTTGGCAAGAGATGTTTTGCCAGTGAAGTTCACATGAAAAACGGCGCAAAGTTAATGGAAGATGAATTACGGGTAACTGTGACGAGTAAGAATGAAGCAAGATAAATAAAACGGTGTCATTTAGTTATTAGTTATATATATATATCTATATACTGTGACTTCTGAAAGTTTAGATTAACTACATTTTCTTGAATTACATACATTCATAATACAAATTTCGATTAAATATATTTTCTTGAATATCGCGGTTTTCTATTTCATTATACTTTGATTAAATACTTTTATCAAATGGATATTGTAACGCTACAAGTAAACTATTGTTAACCATTGTAGAATAGACAAATTATGGGCGCACTTTTAATTATAAAATCCTCTACCAAAATAAAAAAGTCTCCCCAAATAGCAGATGACAACATAAATATAACATTTTATGTGTGTTTTTTTTATTTTTTTGTTGTTAATTCACTTAAATGCAGGCGATAAACTTTTGGTGACATTTGCATTGACTTACACGCTCGGCGTTTTGTACACTGTGATTAATATTAATTAATCATTAATGGCTCGGATGCGACTCGTAAGAAGCGTTTAACGTAATCTTGGCAAACGCATTTTTCTGCCTCCACAGAGCTGATAATGCGACGATGCCGTGGCTAATTTTTGGCGCCTAGCACACACACGATGTATACTTATAAATAAATACAAATAAGTACGTTTCGTAGATTGCCAATCATTTTTAGATTCATTTAAAAAAAAAAAAACATTAACAAATCCAAGTCAAGGTCTAGCGCGTACAAGTTTCATTGAACTCTCACACTCAGCAACTTAGGTTGGAAACCACGCCCTGTAATAAACTCTCGGCCAATGGATAAGCGTTTCTCCCATTACAACAAAATTACAGACAACTACTAGATACACCTGTCCAATTTATTTGACAGGCGATATTGAAGCTATTGCAAATTTATCTGTTGCCCTTTCGATGGTTATCGTTGATAAGAAATGTTGCTGTTGAACTGAAACCATCAGGTTTCTATTGAGATTAAGTAAGCTACAGCATGATGAAATCTCGTATTTCCACATCAAATAGCTTGCTGCTAGTTCAAAACGTTTGACTTTCTAGATTTAGTAGATTTAAAAAGTAAGTTTTAAATTGTTGGATCAAAATCAAAAATCTAAGCTTTCAAGTATCTGTTAAAAGATAATATTCAAAGGCTTGTCGCAGCTGCTGAGTTACTCAGTTTTACATTCCTTTAATGATAGAAATGTAAGATCAATATCAATATCCCTCTGACTATGACACTCTATGACACGTATTATGACCAAAAATTTTCCCAAGTAAATTTCCGCAATTATTTAATCTCTATTTGTGAAAAAGTGTTCAATATACATTTTTTTAGTGTAATTGTCAAAAATCCCACTAAAATAATAGAAAGACAAATAAATATATTATATACTTAAAGATCTGTCGAATGATCTTTCCCAAGTGGGGGGCCTTATTTTTATTGCGATCCAGAACATTCCTCATACATAATCTAATTCTATTAACAATAAAAAACCATAATATCAACATACAAATATTATGTACGACATAAGATGACGTTAAATATCATAGGGTACCTTTGGCATATTCGATTGCATCAAAAACTATGTAACATCATATATTTATGTATATAATAAGTCTCTACAAAGCATACTATTAAAACTGTATTTATTATATTTTATATCTACAATATAGTTATTATTTTAAAGATAGAGAGTTGAATATTTTACCAAAATTAAGAAACCTTGACAGATTAATATTCTTCATAATGGGTATACTAATGTCGACTCTTCACTCATAAATTGCAAACTTATTGTTTTTTACTAAGTGCGTCATCATCGTTTGTAAATATAAATCAGAATATTCCGAAATACTAGTCTTATCAAGAAATAAGTCGCATCTATATGACGCGCCCTCTTTTATGCACAGATGTGTAAATAAATAGATTCTAAATATGTATTTTGGAGATTTTGCGGAACTAACCTCTACTCATAAGTTATCGCTAAACAAAAATTGACGCAATTGTATTTTGTGCCCCCAATTTAAGATCACGAGACATTAATCAGTTTTGCCAAGCTATCAATCTCTAAATGTTGTATTATCAGTTAGGGATTAATTGATTGACAAAACTACGAGTAGTCTTTAAAAATCACTTTCACTTTTTTGTTAGTGCGCTGATAAGGCGACTATGTTAATTTTAAAAGCGATTATAAATATATATATATAACTCAAATGTTGTAAATAAAAAAAAATCAAAATCGCATTGCAAAATGACAATTTTTGAATTAAAGCTGATAATCACATTTGAGAGCTCATAAAAAAATTGATGTGCTTATAAATAAATATAAATACATTTCAAGCATTATCAATGGGCATTATAATTTTATGCAAGCGCCACTCAAATATGACCCAAGATTGAATGAATTACTGTGCGGCTGAGTGAGTAGTTGTATGAGTGACAAATGAATACAATTTTGCTCAACATGCGATTGTGTTTTTATTTATAGTATATACATGAAGAATTTAAAAAATTAAATGTGAAAATGAAATTTTTAAAAATTATAAATTCTTATATTCATTTTAACTTACCTTCAAAAAGTAATATATTAAATACGTAGCTTCAATTCGCTATCCAATTTCTCACTTTTTGGCAATACACAGCAAAATTATAGTTTTGTTTTATAATTTTTATGAATTTTCACAAATTGTATATATATATTTTTTTTTAATTTTTGCGCTTGTCTAAAACTTAACCGTTAGATTGGACACCACAGAATAAACGTAAATCCGTTGAGCGTATTTGTTTTTATAGGCGCTGAGAGCTTGAAAAAGCGACGCAAAAAAGGGTAAATCAACAGGTACAGTAAACACACATATACACACACACGTACACACTGACACAACGTGAGTGAGGAGGAGGCGGATACCGACGACGACTGTTGTGACTTCGTTGAACGGTGGGCGGTGGGCGGTGAGTGTCAGAGAGTGGGTGGCAATGACTCTGCTCAGTTGCAGTTCTACACGCGCGAACACTTAAAAAGTTCTGTAACTCTTTTTACGGTTAATGCGAGAGCAATCAATTTACTCTCAACCACAGTTCAAATAAATTTGTAGTATGATTTAGGGAGCTCTCAAAGATAGAAGGAGACAATTTCTTAGACGTTCTTAACGCTTTCTCGTGCGTTTGCAAACTAAAGTCGACATTCGCGAACTTGAGCTTTTCACCGATGGTTCTCTGCTCTCACTCAATGCTCAATTTCGATCTCTCGATCTCGGTCTCAGACCTATGCCAAACGTTTGTCGTGCCACACTTTTTGACAAATCGGCCGATAAAGCTGAGATTTATGGCATTTTCTATATGTCAGCCGAGGATTAACAAAATGTTGTATTATTGAGCTACACATATTGAGGTATATTAGCTGTTAGAATCAAAACGACCTGGAGATTATTTCTATCAAAAAATGGGGCCTTAAACTAAATGATGACATATTATTATTATTATATATAAACACAATTATAGATGAAAGGGTAGCTGTTAATATTGAGTTAAATATTTCATTCACAAAAAAATGTTCGATGCCATCATAAATAATCCCCCGATGGGTTCATCGGCCATTGGCTAGCAAATTTTCAAGGTACTTTTGACCATCCAAAAACCTGAGCACTAGATTAAAAAATAAATCTCCCCAACAATTTATTTATAAGTCATTAAACTCGCAATGATATAGCTAGAAAATTGTGAAAGTTAAATGGGTCAATGTCGAAGCATCATCAAATTATTAAGAACGGATGTTGAAATAATTGAAATTATTGCTCTAGAGGGATCTATCAAAAAGAGTGATTGATAGTATATTTTATTTAAATAAAATGCGCACATAAAATCTCAGTATATTTAAAAATTATGTTAAGCATACGTAAATTAATTAATTTAAAAGGAAAAAGAAAAGTAAAACAATGGGAGTAGATAAAGATAATCAACAATTGTTATTTCTTATGTTATTAAACAAAAATGAACATTTTAAACTTATGTTAAAAAATGTTGAAATATGTTGAAATATGTTGAAAGTATTACGTCACAAAGATAGAACATTTTATAATAATCGGTAATACTCCTAATCTCTTCTAGACATCTTCAGACTGTCTGCAGTTTTAATTAAAAGCTGACACAGCAATTTAATTTTTATTTTATAATTTGTGGAGCAAAATTTGAACCTTGGATTGATAATACCGCCCACGCATCATATTTATTTGTGATTAAATTAATTTTTTTGGTTACATCAGCCCCCAGAAAAATGTAATTAGCTATATTCGTGGGTATCTCATCAGTTTGGTGCGATAAGCACATAGCGAGCCCCTCTTGACATGCAAATCAAACATTAAAACATATCAGCGCTAATTGGCATTTATTAAAATGAACAGCAGTAACGAGACACAGCCATTGACATTTCCTCGGAGCCGGAACAATTGCGGACACGTGTTGCTTATGCCGGCCCATTTATTATCAGCAGCAATCACCGTATCACGAGACATCCGCAACCTGCAGCCTGCACTGCTCGCAATGAATCATTGTTTATTATATATTGTCACTGATACAATATTTTGCCTAAGCTATAATATATAAAGTAAATATAAAAAGAATCTGTGAAAATGTGGGTTTCTAGCATTGCTTATCTGTTATCATTTTTACATTTAAATAACCGCACTTAACGGTCGCCTTACTTGAGGTACTTTACCAACACTGCTTACACCTGAGGCAGAAGCGATAGTTTTTTAGCGATGGCAATATAATAAAACCGCAAGAGCGTCGGAACTGTGACTTTTGCAAAGAAATGACAGACTGAAAACATTGATTATGTTGTTTTAACTACAATTTCGTATGGCTTGTATTGATAAACTGTAAATGTACAAGCATTTACATTTGAAATAGATAGCGTTTCTACCGACATACACAGGGATTTTGCCAATAACGTCTCACTACTTTAAGATACTTGTGACAAGTAGCCGGTACATGAATTATCGCACATACAGCTCTACACTGTGCTGTTCAGCTGTGGGCATTACAATAAAGAAATTGAGAGGGGGGGCGAAAATTAAAAATAAGAAAATCATCATGGCTACATCAACGCTGCAGCTAGAATTTTCACAAGCCATGGCCGATTTCAAGAAGATGTTCCCCGACATTGATCGCGAAGTAATTGAGGCTGTGCTGCGCGCTAATCTGGGTGCCGTGGATCAGACCATCGACCAACTGCTTGCTATGTCAACTGACAACCAGGTACATATCTCTGTGTGTGTGTGTGTGTGTTTTGTTTGTGTATACTAACAGGCTAAACAAGCTAACTAACACTAACCAACAACTAACTAACGCATGTGATTAGAACGAAAAACTGCGCAATGAACTGGATGCTAATGTCTCACCACAACAGAGTCTCATCAATCTCAGCGATACGGACAGAGAGCTGAGACGCAATCAACTCATCGATACCACAGATGGCACCAGCAGTGAACGCACCGAGGGCGCTGCTGCTGCTGCTGCTGCAGCAGCATCCGCATTGCTGAGCACTGCGAGCGCTTCGCCCAATCATCATCACAATACGGGCGCCTCGCCCAAGCAGCGTCCGTTGGGCGCTTCGAATAAAATCAACAGCGCTGGAAATACGCCCACCAAGCGCAGTCAAACCGTTGCATTGTCCAACAGCAACTCGTCTCGTCGCTGGAATCCACCAATATTGGGTGCACTACCAGCGGGATTTCTGCGCATCGCACCCGTTGCCGGGCAACAGGACTTTGAGCTGCCCGACGAGCAGTTCGCTCTGATGCTGCAGAACGAGGAGTTTATGAATCAGTTGCGATGGAATCAGGACTTTATGAACGCTCTGGAAAAGGAGCAGAATGGCAAGACCAAAGGCGAGGATGATGCACCGTTTCAAGAGCGGCTCAAGAATATGGGCAAAATGTCGCGCAAGAAATTCCTACAAATGGCGCGCGTTTTCACCTGGCAGCGCAACAAGAAGGTGACCACCGCCAAGCAGATTGACTCGCTGCCATTGCGTGAGGAGCCCAGCGACGATGAGGATCATCATCATCATCATCAGCACCAGCATCAGCAGCAGCAGCAACAGCAACAACAACAGTCATCAAATCATTCGCAGCAGCAGAGCCAGGTCCAACAACAATCGCAGCAGCACCAGGGTCAATTGCAGCTGCGCAAGTAGACGATTGATGTGTAGAAACCCATTGTTTGTTATCTTATCCTTATTCTTATCTTATATTATATCTCATTGGGCCATAAGCGTACGTCAAGGTCAAGTGTTTACTTCATGCATAAGTAAACCCTAGCGCTAGTACTCGTAATCTTCCCCGTAATCATGTAGTAATCTCAAACCCGAAACTAAACAAATCTCGCTACAAACGATGCATATTATATACTTATTATGATTCCTAGTTTTAATTGTTTGTCTTATAACCTAAAGTGCAATTTTCCCCTACACACAAAAAAAAAACCCAGTGCAATATATATTTTACAATTATCAAATATATTAGATACTTATTGTTTAAATCATATATAAATTCATTTTTTTCTTGTTTTCAATTTTCGTTGTTGCCAAATTAGCGTTAATTAAGTTTTATTGATAATTTGTAAAAGACAGCTCCTGTGGCTGTGTCACAAGGACATCAAGTTGGACTGATTCTCTAAATGTGTTAATTAAAAATTGAAAGCATCGCAGAAACTAAAATGAATACGTATTTACAACTAGAGCACTTGCTAAAACTCAAAGCTAGTCATTACAAAAAAAAAAAAACAACAAAAAAAACAACGCGATTTATGTACAGTAATCAAGCTAAATACCCACACAACTACTCCCCATTTCTTCCCCCAACCGGAATCCCAACCACTCGAAACTTTTTTTTTTAATCAGCATTATACGAACATATAATAATCGCCTGCGCTTAGTTGGCTTCTACTCTCTCATACTCCATAAAAAGAAACGCAGAAATATAAATAAATGTCCATATCGAACTGTTGATATTACAGATACCATACATAATATGGACATATAGCATCCATAGTTTTTTGTTGGCTATGCTAAACATATGCAACTATTTGATTGTAATTGTACTTGTAATTGTATTATAAACCATATTTGAAATACTATTATATTCATATTCCAAGTATCAAATACAGCAAAATATTTGAAAATTCCACACGATGTTTTTGTTTTTAATTCGGAATCGATGTTTCTACTCAAGTCAGTTAAACGTTTACGGATACGGGTAAAGAGCGAATATATAAACTGGAATGCTTTCGTGAGAATGAAAAACATATTGATTCTTACATGAATTTATTTAATTTTTATTTTGTTTTTGCTTTTAAATTTTTTTGTTTTTTTATTTTTTATAAACATAATACATTTATTATGGATACACGTTGGTTTGAATCTTATGTCTGTGTTTGACTTTGATTTAAGGGCATATTGGTTACTTGTTACCTGTTACTGCTATCATAAATTGTATATTTTTTGCATATTTTTGCTTTTATTTTTTTTTGTATTTTTTTGTTGTAAATTTACTTCGATTTGGATTGACACGTGACACAAATTTGTTGGGATTTGTTGTTACGTTTAATTAACAGGATTTAAATCGTTTTACATGCAACAATTGCAAATTGCAATCAAAATTTAACTTTTGCATTACCTCTACTGAATGAACCTTTCCATGAACTGCATATCTTTCTCTCAGTGTATTGTGGTTACTGTTTAATTATAAATGTTGCATGCTCTCTGAGCATGCCGGAGTGTCATGTGTATGTGTGTGTGTGTGTGTATGGGTATGCGTGTGGCTATGCGGGTGTATGTATAGTTGATGTGCGCAATTTATGTGTTTTTTTTTTGTTTCATTTTTTAATTATTATTTTTGTTACTTTTACTTACACAGAAATTGATCATTTTTAAACAATTATTTGTAAATTTGTTTTAAACTAATTACTAAAAATGGATTTTCTGGTTGTTTGCAACATTTTGACATCTCATTTGCATACAATATTTTTATAAAATATGTGATTTTTTTTTGTTTGTTTTTCTTTGTTTCTTTCAAGATTTCATTTAGTGATTTTTAGGCATACAATTGAATTTTAGATTTACGTTTTAGCTTAATTTGATTTTCTTTAACCATCTTCTTTCTTTTTATTGTGTTTGAAGAGCAACGAGTTTGTTTATTATTTAAATGCTTCATCTATGTATGTATATGTATATGTATTGTATAGATAAATTTTGTATATTTATTGTAGTGTATGTTGTGTATATTAATGTATGTAGCATAATCGAAAAGAATCTAAACAAAATCAAAAAAAAAAATAAAATAAAATAAATACGAATGTTTTTAGTTACGAATGTTTTGCATTTTGTGTTTGTTGCGTGTATTGCATAATTTTTTAAAAAACGGCTCAGAAACGAACGACAAATATAATTTTTATATAATAATTAATTGTTAATCAGCAAAAATAGCATAGTAATAATAGTAGTAGTAGTAATAGTATGTAGTAATAATTACAAAAATCTTTGCACAGTTAAAAACATTGTCAGTTAAATTTATTTTTGTTTTCGTTTTTATATATGGTTTTTTCTTGGTTATTGCAATTTTGACAATCTTTAAGTTTTGTGGGCTTTGTATGCTTTGTTACTTTTTACTTGTTACTTTACTTCTTTTATGTTCTTTTTTGTTTTTGATTTTTTTTTATTATTTTTTTTTTTTTTTGTTTTTTGGAAGTCTTATAGCAGAACACATAGGGACTTTTTCGGTTTCTTTTGTTTCTTTTCGGGTGACTTCTTGTTGATCTGCCTGACCAAATCGTAGAAAATATCATTCACATTCACTTTGGCTTTGGCTGAGGTCTCCATGAAGGCGCAATTGAACTGATTGGCCAAACTCTTGCCCAGCTCCTTGCCAACGACGCGCTCATCCTCCAGATCGCATTTGTTGCCAACCAGCACCATGGGCACATCGTCCGTATCCTTTACCCTCAATATTTGCTCTCGCAGATCCTGCAGATCATTGAATGTGGATTGCGCCGTTATTGAATAGACAAGTACAAATCCCTGTCCATTCTTCATGTAGAGATCTCGCATCGCTGTAAACTGTTCCGTGCCGGCGGTATCTAAAATCTCCAGCATGCATTGCTGTCCATCCACTTCCACCTGTTTGCGATAACTGTCCTCGATGGTCGGATCATATTTCTCCACAAAAATGCATTGCACAAATTGCACAGTTAGCGCCGATTTGCCGACACCTCCGCTGCCCAAAACAACAATTTTATATTCACGCATCTTTTGTGGGCGACAATTTATGTCGTATATATGCTATATATATATATATATAGATATATATATATATATATATATATGTGTGTGTGTTATGTATGTAGGTTTATTTTAAAACCAGGCGCAGGTAGTTACTGTTGTAGGCGGGGTGACGAGGTGGTTTGTTGCTGTTATTGTTGTTATTGCTGTTGTGCAAATGTTTATTTAAAACTCTCTCTCTCAGTTGCTCGTTCTCTCACTCGATGGTTCTTCTCCTCGTCTCTCTCTCTTTAGAATAAAAAAAAATCACTAGTTTTAGGCGTTGTTCGGCGATTGCTTTTGGGTTGCAGTTGCAGTTCTTGCAGAAAGCTTTTTGTTGTTGCTATTGCTGTTGTTGTTGTTGCTGTTGCTCTTGTTGTTACTGCTGTTGTTCTTTGTTATTGATGATAACCTTTGTGCCAACAAACAACTTTAGCTGTATGCGTGCATCTGTGTGTGTCTCTCTCTCTTTCTGTTGCACACACCACTCTCACTCTCTTGCTCTCTCTCTCTCTGTCTGTCTATCTCCGCTCAGGTAGTAAAGTTGCGAGCGTTTTTTGGTTTGTCGTCAAATTGTTGCTTTTCAAGTGAAGGTGTGGTGGGATGAGGGGCGTTAAATAGAATTATTGTAGCACACACACACACACACACTATAGCCCTTGCCGCCTCTACCGCTTCGTCTGTCTGTCGTCTCACTCTCTCTGGCTGACTACGACAACAACTTCCGTTTTACAACAGCAAATTGCGCTATCTGCTGTTGCTGCTGGCTGAGGACTAAGCGAGCTTGAGCACTGTGGAATGTAAAGAAAGCAAATGGTTGTATTTTATATTTTTAAAATAGATTTTTTTCACTATATAAATTCGTTTTGTTTCGTTCTGTGGTTGGTTTGCTGGTGCTGGCACTGCTTTTAGGAATTTACTGCACTCTTTTTTTTCTTCTATTTTTTTTTTGTAATGAACTCGAAGTGTTCTCGCTCGTTCGCTCGCTCGCTCACTCGCTCACTCAGCACAAATTCGCTCTACCCTCAACATTTTTATGATTCATTTTTAGAGTTGTCGAGCAGCGGTCGGTTGCACTGTTGAGCGCAAGCAAACAGCAGACAATGCGAACACTTGTAGCATGCAAACCAATTCACCGAGTCCTTTGTTCAATGAAAATCACTTAATTTTGCCAAAACAGTTGCATACAAATGCGCTCACTAATTATACGTTCTATTAAATTAAGTCACAAATTTTATTATGTGCAGTGGAACAGGGGAGAAGGGATAGCACCCGCATGTCACGCACACGGCAACTCTATTCGGAGTTTTTACCTTGTGTTGCTGCGCACAAAAAAAACTGTTGTTGCTGTCTGTGCAGATTTCCGACGATTTGCGCGTTTTGCGTCGGTATGCGTGTGCAAGATAAAATGCCACGGCTCGCGAAATGTGCAATTTTTTTTTTATGTATTGATAACAATATTTAATTCTAAGGCAAACAGATAACTTTTTTCGGCTTAGGCGCTTGTTCTTGCTACCTCGCTCACACGCTCCCAAAGTGATTCATTTTCAGTGTTGCCACACCTAGCCCTGTGTCATTCGTGGCGATAAGCGATACCGTAAATGAAGCAACGCAAGCAGTTATCGATAAATGTTTGAAGAGTGGCAACATTAACGAATTTTTGATTTTATTGAAACTATTGTTTTTATGATTTTATTTGATAGAGTTTAAAAACTTCTGCAAGAACTGAATTAGCCGTTGATAGCGCATTATCAACTTAGCTTTTATTTATAATAGAAAAAAACTAAAAGCTAACTAAAATTTCGTACAAAGTATTGTTAAAGCACTCTAGCGAATTTTCGTCACCATCCCTGCGGCAATCGTAACGCCAGCGACGCGCAACATGATGCGTCCCAGTTCCTTGAAGTCGGCATAGCGCTCAATGCAGATCGGACGTGATGTTTCCACTTCGACGAGAGCGCAGGAGTTGTTGCCCAGGCAGCGGGGCTTCTTCTTCACCACCTCGCCGGTACTCTTGTGTATGGAGGCGGTCAGTTTACAAACAACAGCCGGCTCGATGAGCGACTGATGATGCAAAAGCACCGGATAACCCATTGTGATGGGCACCTTCACATTGAAGACAATGATGCGGCACTGAAAGCGTGTCGTCACCGGTATGGGCATCTGTGGATCACAGATAATGCAGCCCACGGTCACATTGCTTATATCGACACCGGCGAGCGTCACCGAGATCTGATCACCAGCAAAGACACTGGTCTGTGTTAGCTCGTCCATGACGAGAGATTTCACCTGAGCTTGCTCGCGACTAGCGCCCACCAGGACCTTGTCATTGAGACACATCACACCCGTCTCGATGCGACCCGAAATGCAAAAACCGGAACCTGTTCCTTTATATATATCCGAGACGGACATTCTCAGCGGCCGATCGATGGAGCGTTCAGGCACCTTAAAGTGCTCGATTACGTCCAGCAGATGGGGTCCATCATACCAGGCTTTTAGTGATGGTTCTTGTGCCGCTTTGGCGAGATTCTCGCCGGTGAGGCCCGAGCAGGGCGTAAAGCTGACATCCGACTCCTTGAATCCAGCCTGCTTGAGGAACGATTTGAGTTTGTGGACAATCTCCTTGAAGCGCTCCTGCGACCAACCCACTGTGTCCAGCTTATTGATGACGACTCCCAGTTGATTTACACCCAGCGAGCGCACAAGTATCGCATGTTCCCGCGTCTGTCCGCCCAACTCGAAGCCAGATTCGAATTCGCCACGTGTCGCATCCACGACGAGAAGCGCCACATCCGCCTGCGTTGCGCCCGATATCATGTTGGGTATAAAGTCCTTATGCCCCGGTGCATCGAGCAGTGTGACTATTTTGGATTTCGTCTCGATGCGAGACTGACCCACGTCCATGGTGATGCCGCGTGCCCGTTCCTCGCCAGTCTCGTCCAGAACCCAGGCGTACATAAAGCTCTGTTTCCCCAGCTTCTTGGATTCCTGCTCATGCTTGTGCATTACCCGTTGGGATACGTTGCCTGTGTCGTAGAGCATATGACCCATCAGTGTGCTCTTCCCGGCATCCACGTGGCCAATGACAATCATGTGAATGTGACTCTTTTGTTCGGAGCGCTCCAACTGATAAAGCTGTTGTGTATTGCGATTTGCCTGATCCTTGGATACCTTAAAAATGGCCATTGCACCGCGCCCAGCCTCATCGCCACCCACGCCAATGTCCACCGGTGTATTTCGTCCAGAGACAACTGGCGAGGCGGGTGCCTTCGGTGAGGCAATCTCGAAGCCACGTTTCGCTTCCTTTACAGCTGCCAGCGTAATTTTGGTGGGCGTTGGCTTTGGCGTTGTATTCGGTTTGCTTGTTGCTGTCGTCGCTGTTGCGCTTACTTTCAGCTTGGTCGGACGTTGTTTCTCCTTCTCCTTTTGATTGGTCTCGTCGTTGAGAATTTCGTCGAGTATCTTCTGGATGTCGTAGTCAAAGCGCATGGATGTCTCCACAATGTGACGCTCGGAAACGGAATCGCCGACCACACTGCGCACCTCATCCACACACGAGCTGAGCTTGGCTTGTGCCATCTCATCCAGTTGCGGCATTTGGAAACTTTCCGAATCGCGTCGAGCCTTGCGAAACGCCTCATCCTCGTCATCCTCGTTGTGAGCGCCATCCTCTGCCTCCTCCTGAATGCCCTTATTCTTCCTGATGAACGCCGACATACTATGCTGGCCACGAGCCCGGTCATACAGCCATTGCTGATCTGTGGGCGAGACGCAATCGTCGTCGACGGAATGGCCATAGACATCTGTGTAGCCATCGTATTCGTCGTTGTAGTCCATTCCGCGTACTATTCGGTGACGCGACATCTTGGCAATATTTTAAAGTCACGCTTGCTTCTTAATTATATTTCGCAATTATTGGAAACGAAAAGCAATATACAATTTCATTCAGTTGCAGACAAATGAAAGCACTTGACACTAAAGAGCGTTGCCAGATAGTTTTACTTAAGCAAGCTGACCATACGATAATATTGATGGCTGTTCGTGACACATTCAATAGTTACACTACTAGTGATGGGTCGGGCTATGTCGTGAAACGCATTATTTGAAGTAAATTAAACTCATAAGGCTTTTTAAAATTAAGTCAGAATATCGTAACAACAAATAACTATTAACAGGTATGAATACATTTTTACAGTCATTGTCAATTATTTGCCATCTCCAATGCGATAGTGCGTGAAACGTGACACGATTGTTTGATTGATGAGCGTTTTGCGCATCACTAGACTGCCCACTCTTCTCCTCCCTGACATTATCTTTTGTGTCGCGTAAAATATTAAGAAAAACACTGTGAAAATCGTTACGAAGCAACCGAAAATACAAAAAAAAAGGTTAATAACACAACGGTTCAATGTGGCAGATAATGCAGGCGTCGCAGCACTAAGCGCTCGGTGCACTTCGCGTTTTGTGAATTAAACGTATGCAACCTACTTACATTTACATTGACCACAACAACAAAAACAACAGCAACTAAAGAAAACAGAACAGCAGCAAGCCAACAACAAAAACAACAGCAACAACAATAAACAGTATGTACAACAACGGCGCACGGGGCTTCTCCATACACGACGCATTCGAGGAGGAAGAAGAGGAGGCGATACGCGTCTATGGCTCTACAGTGATTTCGACGCCAATGCGAGGTGGCGTTAGCGGCAGTGCCAAACAAGGTCGCTCCACCGAAGATGTATCCATACGCATACAGGATCCAAAGTAAGTCCAACAAAAACAAGTTGAGCATTGACTGGTTCTCTGTTCTTGCTCGCCTGCCTGCCAAGCAGCCTGCGTGGGCAGCAGCTGGTTGACAGTTGTTGTTGACACCATTTTGGAGCTGCGAGCTTTGTGATTCACAACAAGGAAACGAAAGAATATTTTATATGCTGCGATCTTGAATTGAAAATGGAAACTGGAATGTCATTATTGTTTTATTTTTTTATGGTGTTGAACCATTTTACAAACGAGCTCAATTTAGGGCTGAAGCCCGCTCAACTCAATCTTAAACCGGTTTGAACCACCTGGTACAGTGAGCACTATTTACACAAAAAAACATTAAAAATATATCTCAAAAAGTTGCGAAATAATCATTTTTAATTGGCAATGCAACATTTAATATTTGATTTTAAAATAAACCTGCATCGATTCACTAGTGTTTCTAATTAGCGAGTGTCCACTGTACTTAGCTCATGGCTCATTTCATCATTGCTGAAATGAGTCAGAAGTTAAAGCTGCGCTTAAACCTGAGCCGGCTTAATATAAATAAACGCAATCATCAAATAACAATTGCAATTTGAGCCAATGCATTCCAACTGTCCGCTGTTGACTATGGAAATGTTTAGCACCCTTTACCTTTTGTGTCTTATTTCCCGCTTCCTTGCCGGAAACGAATCACAGGCACATTTGCATAAATTTTCACGGTGGCACTCTTCCATTAAATGGACGCCCAAAAAGCGCGTGCCTGCCGCTTATTTCATTCATTCACATAATATTTACAATTTCTTTCGGCTCCCATTGTGTTCGCCATTCGCATTCCATTATGCATTCAAGTCGCGCTTCAAGGCACAAGCTACAACAGCAACAGCTAATTATGGCGATTTAGGCAGACATCGTCGCCGTCGTCTGTGTCTGTGTCCGACCAAATGCATCCATCTTATAGCAGAACCCCTTTCGCGCCACGCCTTCTCCATAATTTGGCTTTCAATCGCACATCATTGCGCATAAATTTCGTCATTCCTTGAAGAATTTTGCATGACACTCAACACCAGCAGCAGCAGCAGCAACAACAACAACAACATTGATTGGCCTTCAATTGCGGCCGCACTTGTGCGGCTTTCATTGTAATTGAGTAATATATATATGTATATACAAAAACAGATACATACATAATATATGGCTAGTCTAGCGCTTGATAAAGCGCTCTAATGTGATTTGTTAAATCTGACTTTTGTTTAATCTTGTCACAGGGGCTACAACAAATATGCCGAAGATACAACGTCGCGGGACAGTGACTCGCTAATACAGGAATACGGCAATTTGCCGACGGAGGAGACAAACACATATTGCTGGCGGCATCCCAAAGTGCGGGAGAATTGGCGCACTGTCCTTGCTGCGTTCACGCTGCTGGTCGTTGGCACTGGTCTATTTGTGATGGGCACATTTGCCATCGCCGATCCACACAATACATCACAGGGTGTTGTATTTTTTGTTGCTGGACTCATTTGCTTTATACCGGGCGCCTATCATGTCGTCTACATTTGGCTGGCGGCCAAGGGATATCGAGGGTTTGACTTCTATCACTTGCCTTTGTTTACATAGATGTGTGTGGTATTGTGTGGTGTAAATGAATGTTCGTCGTCATCGCATTGGTTGATCCAACTGATCCAATCCAATTGAATCCAGCGCAAGCCCCCTGTCTATATACATATATTTATATATATACATATGTATATATGTATATATATATATATATATATATATTATACAATTTATTTTCTATGTATGGTAATTTAATTCGGACTCTCGTTTTATGTAGCGCAACATATACTTTTACGTGTGTCCTCCTCTAAATGAATTTCAATAGACAACAAAAAAAAAAGAAAATAATCCCAAAACAAATTCGAATCCTAGCATTAATTTATGTATGTATTTTTTAAAAAGGATATTTTGCTTATCTACATATACTCAAAGAAAAAACATTCGGTATACCCTCTCAAGTGCAAAAGATACGTATATTAAAAACTCAAGCACTCACAAACACACATTCGAAATTTATTTAACATAATAACAACAACAACAACACAAAAACAAAAAAAAAAACGAAAGACTTTGTATATGATGCTAAATGTTGAGCGCGCGTTAGTTTTAAAAAGAATATGTAAACTGTAATTTATTGAAATTTAATTGCACCAAAAAGAATGAAGGAAAAATGGAATAGAAAAACAGCAGTAAGCTGCGCATGCGCAAAAGCAAACGAAATGTTTTACGATTTTCGATCACGAATCTATATATTAAAGTACATATGTGTATGTATATGATTAGTAGGCGTCTGCCAAGGACGCGCCTTAAAATACATAGTTTATATATATATATATACATAAATATGTAGCAGCAGTAAATTGATAAATACTATTATTTAACAAATTGTAACGAGACAACTCAAAAACAAAAAACAAAATAAAACCAAAAGAAATATTTTAGGTATATAAGTCAAAGCGCTGATATTGCAATATGTATGTTTTATATAGCTACAAAGTTAATGCGCTAATAATTTTCTAATCCAAAAACAAATTCTACCCGTCCTCTAATGAAATTACACACTCAACTCGCACAGTCATTAACACAAAACACACAAAATCAACCGACTTTAATCGCCGCATCACATAAATAGAAAACATATATATTTTTGAATTCCGCCGTTTAGTTATTAATGCTCTATTTTTTTAAGTATGCTAAAAATGGTTGTATGTTAAAATCTAAAAATAAACAAATTGGATGTACCATATAATTTTGATATTAGGCACATTTCTAAGGCAGCAAGGACTCTTCTCTTTTAAGCTGTACACAAAATTAATTTGTATATTAAAATTAACTTGAGCTTCTGCTTTGACTTTTGTATGTATTACTTTCATTTATTGTTGGTTCTTTTATGCAAATTAAATAATTTTTTCAAAATTTTCTGCATTCGATTTATTTTGATTTCGTTACTTATTGAGTTAAATGATTTTTGATTGTTTTTTATTCTAGATCAGAACAACGACGCATCAATTGGACTACTGCTATATATATTATATGCTTATAAATTTGGCAATTTTTTGCAAAAGTTTTCATATGCTGACTAAATATTGCAAAGCTTATCTTTAAAAGACTTTGATAAAAACTTAGCTACACTGTCATAAAGTTTTATATCTTATGCTTTTCCCTTTCACTTCATGGTTTGTATTATTTTTAAACTACATGTGATAATGCTTGGGCTTTAATAATCATATTTATTTTCGCACGCGCAGATGATAAGAGAAATTAAATGAAGTATTTTATCAATGGTCATGCCGTTTATAATTTGCTGTACATATCTCTTGAGTTATTTGCTATCATATAGATTTATAGTATCTTCTGCGACTTATGACATTCCCCATAATTCATTCACGAAATCGCTCATGGATCGCACTCTTTAGGCACTCTGTTGAATATAATGATTTGGTATATATATAATAATAATTTGGAAAGGATAATGACAAATCAAATGGATTGGCTGGCATATGTTGCTCAATACACTGGAAAAGTAAAAGGCTCTAATTTCTATACATGGTATATACATATGCATGTGGTACATATATGATGTGTACCAATTATATTGATATTGTGAGTATTTTATGTAGTTTATGTTTTGTATTAAACGTTGCTCGATTCTCGACTTTGATGACTAACGGTTAATGTTTAAGCTTTAAATGTGGTTAGACAAGTAAGCCAAAGAATGAAATAAAGTGCATAAAATTCAAATACAAATCGACTACTTGCTGTTTGCTATTCAATATTTATATACACTTGTAGAGGGTATTTTAATTTTGCCGTGAAGAGTGAAATACATTGAAGAAAGAGGTCTTTGACATCAGCATTCAGCAGTATCATAATAATTCAACATTTGGTTAACAAATAGCTGCCATAGGAACTATCTGACGAGACACGTTTATATACAAAAATAACTGATTTTTTTTACAATTGGTTATATTATGACCAAGCTAACAATTAATTTAATGAAATTTAAATGTGCGCCGTTGAACTCTTTCTGGAAAGGGTATCTAAACTTCGATATTGTTTCTCTTTTGTTGTTAGAGATAAATTGTCACCAGGCATCGATCAAACACACAAAAGCCCTGGTCTAAACAGTAGTTGGGGTGTGGGCCTGGCAACGGTGCCAATGAAATAGAGACAGGATAAGCATAACCATAACCGCAACAGGAGGAGGTGAGGCGCATTTAGTTCTTGGTATTGTTATTGTTGCTGTTGTAGTGCATATATCCCAAGTTCATTAGACTTTGATGGGCACGCTTGCTGCTCGGAGTGCTGCTCCTGCTGGCAATGGGTTTTTTGGTCTGCCGCTAACCAGGGGCTGGCACGAAATGGAAAGTTTTGCAAGCACCGCGCACATAAATCCATTTTAGCCAAAGCCAAAGTCTAAAAATAATCACAGCAAAATTTGCGTATTACCAGAGATGTATGAGCCCGAGGCGGAGTCGGACGAGGATTGTGAAGTTTACTGTAAGTATTGGCATCTACGCAGTTAATGGAATTTAATTGGTATTAACATGCCGCTTATGTTGGATTATTACGCAGTCCTGAAGCCAGTCAACGAGTACAACATTGTGGACAAGATTAAGGAGGCTAACAAGCAGCTCTTTGCGCTGGACGACGAGCAGAATGAGGGTGATGGCGATGGTGTGGAGGCCAGTGATAATCCAAATGGCAGCAATCGCAAGGTGACCTTTGCACTCAATCTGGAGGATTACGAGCCGACAGCACAGCAACTCAATATGGAACAGCGGCGCGAGGAGGAGGAACCACTAACTCCGCCAGAAGAGTTGCTGCTACAGTTGGCACAGTTAAAGCTCAAACCAATTGCAGAGGAGCCCGCCAAAGAGCAACAGAAAGCAGAAGAGGAACCAATGGAGGTGTTGAGTAAGGAATTGGTTATGGAGGAGGAGGAGGACATATGCGAGGAGATCTTAGATCTGAGCGAAATGGAAAACAGGAAAGAGTTGCAACCAGCAATAGAAGCAGCCACTCTACCCGCAAGCATGGACTATGAGGATGATGATTTCTCCGGTGTGGATGAGGATGATCTCACGGCAGCAAGTGAAACGATGGCGACTGCCACTCAACAGCGTCGCATTGCTCGCCAGAACACCTTTGATCTGAACAGCGAGCAGCTGGAGGGTGAATCGGATCAGAGGAGTCTCACCAACCTGCTCACCGAATCCGACTGCGAGGAGGACGAGCGTGCCGTGAATGAAGCGAGGCTCAAATTGCGGCAGGCCTACAAGAGTCTATATAAAACATTGGATGCCAATGGTCAGGCGCAGATTAATAGACTAACTGCAACCGATAGCCAAAATGGTCAGGACGAGGCTGAAGAGGATGATTTGTCCATCATTGTGGCTAGCTATATACCCGATGACTTTGAGCTGGATGAGCGCAGCATTTACTACAAAAAGGATGTGGCCGAGGAGCAGAAGCAGAGGACCTCACCTAACGGCAACAACAACAACAACAGTACTGGCAGCAGCAACTGCACCAGCACCAAGACTTTCTTTAATGCCCGCCGCTTTAGTTTTCGGCGACGTGCTCGATCCACTCCTAGTGCGCCCGTCCAATCTGTGCCGGAGATCAAAATGAACTACAAGATCTGCTGCGAGCATCGGCATGCGCTGCAGGACAAACTGCCCCGCTATACCGGTTACATGTCCGAGTACGGGCTGAGTGCTCGACAGTTGCAGCAACGGGAGCAGCAGCTGCGCCGCAAGCATAGCTACTCCATGGAACAGACGCTGAATCGCAACGAGCAAGAGATGAGGAAGATGCAGGATAATGAGCGAGCATTCACCACCTGGCTGAAGAACAAGATGCGCTATCCCATCAACAAGACGCGCAACATGTTCGATGCGACGCGAAGGCGGGCAAGTGTTGCCGCCGCCACCAGTCCCAATCCTGACCAGCAACAGCAACATCAGCAGCAGCATCATCATCACCGTTCGAGCTCGAGACGTCGGGATAGCCACGAGGTGCACGCGTATCGCCATTTGTTGGGCAGCTGGAACAAGTAGCCACAACAAGCAATGATCTCTTAGAACGTTAGTTTATTACACACACAAATACATATATATATATATATATACTCGTTTTATAATTATTTAATTTGTAATACAACTTTCATAATGATGCGATTGGAACAGACGATAAAAGCGATTGAAAAGGTGACGAAAGTTTTTAACAGTGAAAATACATTAGAAAGTAGAAACGGATTCTTGCTTTTTATATATGGTATGCGTTGTGTATGTGTGTGTGTGTGTGTGTGTGTGTCTGCACGAGTGTGTGTGCGTGAGTGTGTATATCGATCGAAATGTACAGGATGTATGCATAATAGACAGCTATTAACCTAGGGTTATGGTAGATTGTATGTGTGTGTGTGTGTGTGTGTGTTTAGTGTGTGTGTTCCAGTATTACTGCTAGTTGTGTGCATGTGTGTGTGTGTATCCTTAACGTCGAGACTTCTTCGATTTGTGGCCATTGTCCCGACTGTCCTCGCGCGAACGCTTGCGATCCTTATCCTTGCTGCTGCTTTTGTGTCCCGACGATGAGGAGGAATGATGCTTGTCGCGATTATGATAAGCCTTCGACGACGATTTCGATGGGCTTGAATAGAAAACATATTTTTTTAATTTTAATCTATAAATTCAAAACATTTTGCGAGAATGCAAAACTTTTGCAGTAAGCAAACAGTTGGGGAATATGTATTAATAGGAAAATTTTGAGCAGAATATAATTTATGAAGTATTTTGTCAATTTCCTGATTTCCAAATATTTAAACTTTCATTCCGCCTGTAATTTAACAATTCAAAATTAAATATTTTAGAGGATACTTTCACACATCAAAATTGATTTCCAATTGAGGAGGTTATATCAACGAAAACGAAAATAGCGACCATATCCTGAATTAAGTTGACAATTTAGTTCTAAAAAGTAATTTAAAAAATTCCATTTGTAAAAAAATAATTTGGAAGTAAAAATCTATCTTTAGTTAAAGGTTTAATCCCACACCAATTTGGAAATATTCACACACGCCAGAAAAATATTTATAAAACCTCTAAAATCCTTATTTGTAAAATTATTATCAGTTAAAACATTTAACTAAACAGAAAAACGTAAAATATTTCCCCATACATCTATTTCTTTTACTTTTCTCAAAGGAACTTAATTATATATACTGCCAAACTTTTGGTTAGTTAAAGCCCTTAAGCCCCTCTCATATTACTTCATAAATAAATTTCCAAATTAAATTTCGGATCAATATGATTTGTTAATGTTGGGATCTTCGAAACGTTTTGTGTTTTTGAAGACCAAATTGTTAGATATGACATTGAGTGTTTGGATGTTTGTATGTGTATGTTGTGTGTGTGTGGTGAATACGGTAACAAACCTAGATGAGCTGCCATGTTTGGAGCTGGAGGATTTTAAATGTGAAGAAGAGGAGGAATTCGACTTATGCTTTTTACTGTGCGACGATCGCTGCTCCTCACGCTCGCGACGACTGTGTGTGTGCGTGATGCGGAAGATTAGTTATTGAATAAATAAATAGAGAAGAGAGGATTTGTATTGTTGAATACGCTCTGAAGGATTAACAGGACACACACAAGCTGGTGCGTTCGGACTTCATCATTTTGCATACCTGTGCTTTGAGCTCTTGCTGTGCTTCTTCGATTCGAATTTGCCGTTGCGCTTATCATCCACATTGTAATCGTTGTTGCGATCCTCTTCGGCGGCTTCACGCTCCAGATCCGACCAATCCTTGCCAGATTCCTCATCGCTGCCCAGATCTGTAGCAAAATGAAGAGTGTTAGTGAAAGTACTGCATAGTTTTAAATTGAAGTTGCACAAACCATCGCTATCATCGCTTTCGTCTTCGGAAGCCTCAGAGTATTCGGAATCATCTTCATCGGTCTCATCGTCGGACTCAGCATCTGTGGGATTGTAAGCCTCATCCTCCTCAGACTCGGCGGATTCGTTATCATCCTCGCTGCCCGATTCCGGGTCCAAAAACGTCCAGCCGCCCTGCTCGAAGAAACCTTCGGGATCATCGGTGATGGTCTTCATAATCTTTTGCCAGTTGAGCGATTGGACACCCTCAGAATAACGAATGTCGCAGGAACTGCAAAAACAAATGGCAGTTGAAAGATTGTAAATAATGATTAGCTGCGGAACTCACTTCAGCCACTCCTTGACGTGATCGAGCATGTTCATAGGTATGGCATTAACCATTGCCACCTTCCTGATGTACTCCTTGAACACGAAGATCATGTCAAAGTTGCGTAGATGGAACTGAACGCGCTCGAAATGCACCAGCTCCACATCGTCCAGCGTGATGACAAATGGCGGCCACTCTGTGAGATTGACCAATGAGCCGGACGTCGGCTGGAGTGTGACCGTACTGCGGAATGGAGCACCCGGGAAACCCAGTTCACGGAACGGCGTATCGAATTCAACCTGCGCCTTGGTCATCGCCTCGACCTTCTCACAGAAACTCTTGAATGCCGTCTTCAGCTTGTGGCGCAGTTCACGTTCCGCCTGCTCGGCGGCCAAATCGTCGCGATCGTGCATATGCTGATGCTTGCCCAGATCTGTGGTGATCTCGCCCACCTCCGTGTAGAACTGCACATCCAAATGCTTCTTCTTGCCAAACATAATCGCATATTTGAGATGAAAGTGCAACAGGATAAGCATTTCACCATCGCAGGGCTGAAAGAATGCGCTCTTGATGTTGTTGTACAGAATGTCCACTTTGTCGCCGCGCACGGAGATGTAACGGAATCCATTGGTGTGCGCCTCCAGGCTGCCAGTCATGCGCTTCGTCACAATATTTGGGCGTATGTACAGATCCTTTAGCTTGGGATTGCCCTTGTTCTGTGACAATATGAGCGTATCCTGCTTCACAAGATCCTCCTTTTCACGCTCCTCGGCCTCGCGGGTCTTGAATCGCTTCTGCACCTCTTTAATGAGACGGAACGCATTGTTTAGATTGGCTGATGGAGCAGCTACGGCACCGTGCTCCTTCATATTTGAGCTGCGATAGGTGCTGCAATTGTCAAAATTAGGTTAAAAAGGTTTTAGGAAAATTAAAAGATTTACTTACACTTCCTTAACAAAGGTCGCCTCCGGTTGCGGATAGAGTCCACCCTCGTTGCGTCCCATGGTGGCACCTGGGTGAAAGAAGTTGATGCGCAGATAGGTGTACTCGCCTTCGACGGATTGCGAAATGTTCTTAATGGTGGATATGTGGAACGGCACCTGTATGCCAAAGACGGGCATTATGACCGTCTCATACTTCTTGTCCACATACAATTTCAGCTCCTTGACCTCTGGCTCTCGTGGTATTTGACTCATGGATTTATAGGAGACGGTATTTTTGCGCACCTTTTCCACCTCCTTGGAGTTGCCCTGCTTGGCCAGGCGCTCCTTGGCGCGCTCATTGAGCTGCTGGGCGAGCTCACGCTGATGCTCCTTGCGCTTCTCCTCGGTGTTAATCTCGTTGCGCAGCTTGGAATCTAGGACAGCGTTGCGCTTGCTGCGACCGAGTATTTCAGTGCTATGATCTGACTTGGTTGTCTTCTTATCATCCACATCCTCCTCCTCGTCGTCGTCGTCTTTGATAAAGATGCCAACGTTTTTGATCTTCTTCTTGGATGGTGTCATTACACTGGCTGGCGCCTGGTCGCCAACCAACACAGTGTCCCCAATAAAAAGAGCATAGTTTTTGCCCTCCTTGTCGGCCGCATCGGGATTGGTTAAATTCGAAATGCCCACGTGCAAATTGAAGACCATATTCTTCTTAATGAGCGCCTTGCACTTGGGCCCTATGACAATGGAATTCTCTCGAAATTCCAGACCCATGGCAAAGCCAAAGCTCTTCGTTAGATTCTCCACCATGCTGGGCTTCTCCTTTTTCACATAGGCCAGCGTTTTCTCATACACTTCGCACAGTTTGGCGCCTGGGACAAGCAGTTTGAGTATTTCCTCTTGCACATTTACCAGAAACGTGTAATTGTCCTGCATTGCCTCCGTGGGATTCACCAGAAATGTACGCGATATATTGGAACAGTAGGATTTGTAGCGCGCGCCCAGCGAGCACACAATCACACCGAAATGCAAATGATTTTTGTCAGCAGCCGCAGAGAACTTCAAGCTGTAAGCGCCGCCCGACTGAATAATGGGCGGATAGGCCATGTCCAATAATCGGGGATCCAGTCCGCTGGTGTATTTCTTCTCTCCAATAGCTGCTTCACAGCCATCCGACAACTTGGTGTGTTTAACTTTCTGCATAAAATGAATTTAATCACATTACTAATTTTGATTTGGTCTCTAAAAATAATATTTATAATAGCCTGCCTTATCCGAATCGATGATGTCCATGATTTCATCCTTTAGATATTTGTTGAATATGTCCATGGAAACCAACGAAGCTTTACGTATATTGTTTATCTCTGACTCATCCTTGGGGCACATCAGATACGCAATAATCGTGCTGATGTCCACATGTTCAAACTTGCCGGCCGTGAGCATCTTTTTCCAGGATTCACTAAATTCACCCGGAAAAGCATCCTTAGTAAAGACGCCCAGGCGTTTGCCCTTCCTCGAGTCTTGTATGGTCTTGATGAGCTTCTCAAAGTTCGCCTGATCTTTATCATTCTGTTAAAGAGCACATTTTTATTAACAAGTCAATGCGAATTTTTGGGGGTATTAGGAAGAAATACTTACACGATCGCGGACGAGTAGCTTTATTTCGGGTACACCCTCTTCGCTGATGTTTTGAGCCTGTTTGAGGAACTCGATTTTCTTCTTACTGGTCAAAAAATAGATGGCATCCGAGGCAAACACCGAAATTGTGTCCGTCAACTCATAGCCAAGGAGCCAGAGCTGGAGTGCCATGGATTTGGAGTAGATAACATCTTCGTCCACACCCACTACGCTCATGATGCAGTCCAGATTACTCAGCGCATCATCATGGCCAGTGCTCGGCGCCTGTTGAATAAATTGTACAAATTGTTTGCATCAAAACAAAAAGCCGCAAAAAAACTCATGTGTTCTAACCTAACTTGCGATTATATTTGTTTTTGTTATTTCTATGCCATTTTTGTTTGTTAGCAATTACACCACATTTGGCAATTGTAAACTAACTGAATCATATATTTTATGCCGGTTGACAAAACAACGTGGAACTGGGAATCTTTGCAGGAAATATGCCTTTCCGAGACTACCGTTCCCGGCGGGCGGAGATGATCAGACCTACCTTCCATTCTGTATAGAGGCGTTTTATTCGACGCACAAATGATTCTTTATCCAGCACAAAGCTCGACATGATGTCAACTAAAACTGAATGCGTTGTTCAAATAATTGCTCGCCTTACTAAATAATTTAACACATTTATATCGCCAAATTCCGCCAGACGAACGTTTTGCAAAAAAATGCGCGGCGGCCGACGCGTGGACATTCACATGTACGCGTAAAACACAAAGCTATCGAGATTCGCAATCGAATTGCAGAAATCTGTGTGTAAGGACAGTGCTCTACAATGCCAGAGTGATGCATTTAAAAAATGCTTACAAAATTTAAATCAGTTTAGTCAATGTAATACAATATTTCAAGAGTATGTATATAATATATGTGAATCGTATTTTATCTAGATATTTTACTCTTATTCACGCTCATATATTTGCAGTCACGAATCACGCACGATTTGTGCCCATCTCTAGCTAAAGGGTGTAAATAATAAACAGCTGGTGCGTGATGCATTTTCTAATTTTGTTTTTGCAAAAATGAGTGAATTTCTGTCGGAAAATAATGCGTGCGGACAAAATCTACTCAACATTGTGTCTGTGGGCAATTCCATAATTGCCGAAATACTCCGCTTAAAAGAATACGTGCCCAGCATTTACCGGTAAACCGCAATCAAATACAAATAGGCGTACAGTTTCTTATTGGATTCATCCACAGGTTGGAAACGACAGCTGATAGGCAAAAATATGCCGAAATTATATTGGATTTTAGCTACTTTAAAGTGGCCGAGGCGCATGAAAAAAAGATCGAAGACAGCCCAGTGAGTGTAGTTGCTTTGAATACAACACGTTTGATTGTCATTGTATGTGTTCACAGGACCTAAGCGATTTGGATTTGGAAACGCGAACAAATCATCTGCAGCTGATTACACGCTTCTATTTGGCTTTTCAGAGCGTTCATCATTATGCCAGCGATTTGAAACAGTATATAGAGGAACTGAACACTGGCTACTACATCCAGCAAACGCTGGAGACGGTGTTGCAGGATGAGGAGGGCAAGCAGTTGCTAGTAGGTTACATATATTATATATGTATATAATAAGATCACTATCACTATTTAAAAATATTCACCTTTGTTTTTGCATGCAGTGCGAATCGCTCTATTTATATGGCGTTATTTTACTCGTCCTGGACTTTCATATACCCGGCGATGTACGGGAGCGTCTGCTCATTGCCTATTATCGTTATAGTGGCGGCGATGTGACGCCCAGCGGTGATGAGAGCAACATACACGATGTTTGTCTGCTGCTGCGCTCCACTGGGTTTGTGCAGCTGGCGGCGCGGAATCAACCGCTGAACAAAACTACGGCTGTGCCTGTGCCCAAATACCCGGAAGCATACTTTGCGCGATATCAGTTTGATCAGAACTTCATTGATTTGGTTGTAGCGCGTCTGCGCTGCGATGATATCTACAACCAGTTGGCCATCTATCCGCATCCCTCGCATCGGAGTACAGCGCTCTCCACGCAGGCCGTAATGCTCTATGTTTGCCTATACTTTGCGCCCCAGTTGCTGCACTCGCAAGGCGCCCAGATGCGCGAGATTGTGGACAAGTTCTACTGTGACAATTGGACGCTGTCCATTTACATGGGCATCACTGTCAATCTGATCGATGCCTGGGGCTGCTTCAAGGCAGCCAGCGCTGCCATCTGCAATATTGTGACTCCTGTAGCAATTAAGACGCTCTGCCAGCAGCAGCGCGAACAGATGCAGAAAACGCTACAGAAAACGCAGGAGATTGTGCGTGAGGGTGTCCTCGATGACGGCTTCGTGCTGGAGCATGCCAATAATATAATCGTGCTGATGCGACAGGCGAATGTGTTGCTCCGTTGGCATTGCCTGCACACCAGTCCAGCCGTACTGGTTATGTCCGGACAGGCGGTAACATCGGCACAAGTGCATCAAATGGTGCTGCAGGAGCTCAAGTTCGAGCAGAACACACTCTACCAACTGCTGCTCAATTGTGGCCAACTGGAGCTGACTGTTAGGGAATTGCTTGCTGAGCTGCAAAAGGATCGTGAGCAGCGCTGGACACAAAGTCGCGAGGAGGCCATGCAATATTTGCGGGAGCTCAGCGAAGCCTTTGCTGGCACACGTCCGCTGACGAAGATCGAAGCGAATTTGCAGCTGCAGCAATGGTTTGGTCAGGTGGCGCAGCGTCTGCACAAACTGGAGCTGGCCAAGCCCCAAAAGTCGGGCAGACTCATCATACAAGTGATGCAGGCACTGGACGAAGTCCAAGAGTATCACAATCTACATGCCAATATGCTGGTCAAGCAGCAGCTGCAGGAGACCCGAGATCTACTGAATCGCATGGCTCAGGTTAAAAGATTAGTTTGTATTTTTTAAGAGTGCTTAATCCTTCAACTAAATTGTAATATTTTTTAGTTAATCAACCTAAAAGAGGACATTGAAATCCACATTCAGATGATTACTGATTTTAGCTATGCTTGGCAGCTGCTCCAGCGAGATTTCACAGCTATCATGCAGGATCATATTAAGAGGCAGCCAAATGCTGTTATTGGCATACGAGCGGTGTTCCTGAAGCTGGCCAGCACTCTGGAGGTGCCGCTGATGCGTATCAATCAGGCAAAAAGCGAGGATCTGGTGTCTGTGTCCAACTACTACAGCACGGAGCTGGCGAACTTTCTGCGGCGTGTGCTGCAAATTGTGCCGGAGACAATGTTCAACATACTGGCCCGTATTATACAGCTGTTGACCAATGTTATCAAGGAGTTCCCCACACGGCTCGATAAGGATAAGCTGCGCGAGTATGCACAGTTCGAGGAGCGCGCCAAGGTGGCGCAATTGACCAATTCCATAGCGGTCTTCACTAAAGGCATTCTCATGATGAAGAAGACGCTGGTCGGCGTCATCGAATTGGATCCGAAACAGTTGCTCGAGGATGGCATTCGCAAGGAGCTGGTCAATCACTTGGCCAATGCGTACAATTTGGGTCTGATCTTTACGCCGGAGAAGGGCAAAAGCTGTGTGCAGCTGCTGCAGGAGAAACTTCAAGCGCTGGCCAAAACCATCGAAGGTTATCGTCGATCCTTCGAATATATCGAGGACTATTTGCGGGTGCAGGGACTACGCATTCTGCTGGAAGAATCGCAGCGCATCATCAACTATAATGTGGAGAAGGAATGCAATTGCTTTTTGCGCAACAAAGTCCAGGAGTGGCAATCCCGCTTCCAATCCCCAACCATACCCATACCCAACTTTCAACCGCTGCACGGTGATCCCAGCAAATCGAACAATTTCATTGGACGCCTTGCACACGAAATCCTACGTTGCACGGAGTCACGACAAACGATCTATTTGGATCTGAAGTGCACCTGGTACGAGAAACGTGCTCCACACCAGGAACTGCTCGCCGGCTCTGGTTTCTTCAGTGTGTTGCGCGAGGCAATGGCGCCGGCTGGTATGGTGGGACTGGAACGCATCTATGCCCACATGATGGCCGATGAGCTCAAGCGAACGCTGGACAAGCTGCAAAAGAATCTAACTTCGGATCGCATGTGGTGCGATGCACTGAGCAGCATGACCAAAGAACTGGAGTCACGTGACTTTCCCGGCGAAGTGGCCAAGCAGCCGCTCAAGTATTATTCGAACTACACGCAGCGCTGGCTGAAAGTGTGGCCCACTCTGCTGGATTGGATGCTCGCGCTGGGTCAAAAGCAGTTGCTGCGCCAGCAAATCGCCAGCGAGCTAAGTTTTAGCAGCAAATGCGATGCCAAGCTGCTGGAGAACACGACGGAAACATTGAATCGGTATGTGGCATATATATTATTAATATATTTTATATATATATTAATCCTTGATTATTACAGCGCTCTACTGCTGGAACTCTCGAGCAGCACGAAATTGTGTGATGAGCAGGGCGTGAGCATGTTGACGGAACTGCAGGAGATACTCCAGTATACCGGCAACTATGAGCCACTAGAGCAGATCTTTGTCATCACCAAAAACACGCACAGCATGTCCCTCTTTCTGTTCCTCTTCACCATTGCGCATGTGGGTCGCCTGCAACATTCCACAAACACCGATTGTCTGCTGCCCAAGTCCGCCAAAGATGTCATCGATTGTGTGCCGCTGATTATGGGTCTGCTCAGTGTGCTGCAGCAGTTCCACAAGAATGTCAAAATGCTCTACATCTCCTACATGTGCCAGTATGTGGTGACAGTGGCCGAGGCGCAACTACTGTGAGTATGAAGCATCTTTCTGGATCTGGGCTTACTTAACTGTTCGTTTTCGTGTTAGGGACAAGGAGATGCTGGGTGCGGAGGTGGTAACGACGCTACACTTTCTGCAGACCTTCATACGCTTGGCCCGTTTGCCGCTCAGTGTTCTGGAGCAGCGCATACCTAATATCATACTAAGCGAATTTGATTATCTTGCCACGCCTGTCAAGTAATTAATTAATAAATATAATCTATTAAATAATTGATTTAAAATCAAAAATAACAAGCAAAAATTAACACTTTTTCAAATTAATTTTGGATCATGCATTTTAAAAAGTTGTATAAATTAGTTTGCCAAATGTGTGAAGATTCTTATTACATCATTTTTATATATTTTGTAATTTCAAATATTTAATTTGCCAATCTTTGGTTGAATAATTTCGAAACGGGGCGCAGATTAAACTGGGTACTTCGAGCAACAACAACAATAACAAAAACTACACCAAAATGGCAGTTGAACAAGTTAAGCTCATGGATACACTGTCTATCTTTGCTTATGTGATAACGGTGGGTGCAGTGCGTCCGGTGAACTTGGGCAGCTGCGAGATTTCCAAAGCGATATCAATCAGTGGCTTCAACATGACGCTAGCCTGTCCAAGCACATTCTCCTTCTCATAGGAATCGATGTACAATCTGCAAGCCGCAATGGAAATCAGTTTAAAATGTAATATTTGAAAATATTATTTATCATTCAATATTTACCGCACTGTGGCGCCGGAGCTTCCAGTGCCGCTGAGACGCATGACAATGCGGCTGCCATCCTCGAAGACAATGCGCAATCCTTGTTTGGTGGCCACCGATTTGTCTACGGGATCAGTGTAGTTAAAGTTGTCCGCTTGTTTCACCTTGTACGTTTTGCCGCCGCTGGAAAAGCTCTTGCCAGCAAAATCAGCAGCTGTGATGTTCTTCTCCATGGTGGCCATCATCTCGTTGCAGGGCTCCAGATCGCACTCCTCGTAATCGTAACGGGTAAAATAGTTGCGTCCGTAGACAGACCAATGCTGCTTCAATATATCCTCAATGCTCTTGCCCGTGTGCTGCATGACGGATATCCACGCGAGAACCGCCCAGATGCCATCCTTTTCGCGTATGTGATCGGAACCGGTGCCGAAGCTCTCTTCACCACACAAACACAGCCGGCCGACGTCCATCAGATTGCCAAAGTATTTCCAGCCGGTGGGCACCTCGAAAACCTCCTTGCCCAGCTTCTTGCCCACCAGATCCACGGCGGAGGCCGTGGGCATGCTGCGTGCAAAGCCATGGACGCCGTTCTTCTGGAAATAGGGTATGACCTCCAGGTAGTGGGCAATCACGGCCAACGAATCGCTGGGTGTCACAAAGAATGCCTTGCTGCCGATGATCATGTTGCGATCGCCGTCACCATCGAAGGCAGCGCCAATATCGTAATCCCCCTTGGCCACCGTATCGACCAAATCCTTGGCATACGTCAGATTCGGATCGGGATGCAGGCCACCAAAGTCGGGCAGTGGTGTTGTGTGCACTACCGACGCCTCCGCAGCGCCCAAACGATTCAGAAAGATCTCACGCACATAGGCGCCAGTGACACCATTCATGGAGTCAATGCGCATCTTGAGGGGCTTCCCGTTCGACTTGCCACTGACAAAATCGCGCAACTTGCCAAAGTCAAAGATCTGCTCCATGTGACGCACATAGTTCGCCACCGAATCGATGACCTCCACAACAAATGGCTTGCCATCTACAGTGTAGCTGGTCTCGCCCACCTTGCCGATGTCAATCTGCAGGCCACGCACCAGTTTATAACTTTTAATCTCCGTCGACAGCTTGTGAATGTGGTTGGTGAATGCATCTGGTGCCGGACCGCCATTCTCGGTGTTGAACTTGATGCCAAAATCATTCTCCGGACCGCCAGGATTATGGGAAGCAGTTAACACAATACCACCTACGGATAAATTTAGTTAATTAGATAAAATTAAAGGGGATTTTTTTTTAAATAATAATACCAATCATTTAAAGAATATATGTAATAATAAGAAAATAAAATATAAATATAAAATTAAACTAATAGTAATTTAATTATTTTCCAAAAGACGCTCATTTTATATGAACTTATTTATATATGAAATAACGAATAATAAAGAACTCATTAATTAAAACCAATTTAACATTTGTTGTATCCAAATATTTTTCTTGACCTTGAAAGCGAGCAAAAGACTCTCGCTACAATAATTTTAAGCACATGTGTTAGAATATACTTATATACTAATATACTTAGTATGTTAGTCTAAGCATTTAAATCTGTTTTCATTATCAGTTACAGCCAGGCGTAAATAAAAATGTAATTTGGATGATTAAATAGGGTCACCTACCCAGCGCTTTGTTGTGCCTTATTAGGCTGGAGACGGCGGGCGTGGAGAGTATTCCATTTTGTCCGACGAGCAGCTTGGAGACACCATTTGCGGCTGCGATGCGAACGATAAGCTCGGCGGCTTCCTTGCAATAGAAGCGACCATCGCCGCCGACAACAAGAGTGGAACCATCTAGAGCAGCACCATTTGCATCCAGGGTGCATTGCACAAAGTTCTCTGTGTAATTGGGCTGCGTGAAAACTTTAACCTGGAATTTAGTTGATGCTGATCAGCTGCATCAAGATAATAACTATATTTTTTTTGGTTTTTTGTAACTGACTTTTTTGCGTAATCCGCTGGTGCCTGGTTTCTGACCCTCGTAGGGGGTTGTTTGCACAATTTCCACTTTTCCGCCTTGCGACATTTTTACTTCTTTTTTTCTTTAGCGTGGGAAGTGTTTTCCAGCTGCTGGCTAAATCCCGACTGCGAGCAACTCTTGGCGGCGGCAAACGACCAACTCCGTGCAGCTGCTGTTGATAAGCGTTTTGAGTCGGCGATGACGATTCAGATAAGCGCTATCATGCTGACTGTGAGGAAATTCAAACCAATTCATTGTCGCTTCTTCGATTACTGACGGTATAGTATCGTCATTATGCTCAAAAATTCTGAAATATAGTTATTATTAAATTCTTACAATAGTTGCAAGCATTTCTTAATTGCATGCTGAGAGGAATGGAAAGATGGCACCATTTGGCTGTAGGGTGTCAATGTCATTCAAGGGCATTCACTGGTGCCGGCACACACTTCCACCCACATCCACAGTTGCTTATGTGCTACAGACCCCTTTAACACAAAATTACAATATTTTAGTACAACTACTACAACTGCCATCTTTAATGAAAGCTGTAAATAAATGTTATTAAACAAAGCACGTAAGCATAAATTTTTATTGTTTTTGTTTGTTATTGTTTTGTTGTTGATCAGCTGTTCTTTTCAGGGCTGTCGCTGACAAAGCGTACAATTAGTTATCGATATCGATGTCGCTATCGATGCTGGTATCGTTGGGAAATCTACTCGTCCGAAGTTTGACAGCCGACAGTTTACACGTCACGAAGCAGCCACGAGAAACGCAACCAGATTTGTCGCCAGCGCTTTTAGTTTAATTCAACAAGCCGCAAATTAAATAAGTGCATTTCATGTAAGTCACTCAAAAATTATCCTAAAGGTGTCTAAAGTATTTACAAATTGTTTGCCTGTTGCTCTTCTGTTATAACTCGGCAAAAGTGTTTCATAAAAATTGTGTCGCTTTCTTTTTACATCTTTCCACGTCAACAAAAAAAAGTGAAACGTTTCAATTATGTTTGTGTTATGTTTTCTTGCAGCATGTTTAGGAAAACATTGGCTTTGTGTGTCCTGTTCGCTGTGCTCAGCGTTTGTCTGTCGGACGATGAGACTCGTGCTCGCCTGCTCGTGTCCAAGCAGATCCTCAACAAGTATCTGGTAGAGAAGAGCGATCTCCTCGTCCGCTACACAATCTTCAATGTGGGCAACGGAGCTGCCACAAGTGTGCAGCTGGTGGACAACGGTTTCCATCCCGAGGTCTTCGAGGTCGTCGGTGGCCAGCCCACAGCGACTGTGGAACGCATCGCTCCACAGACGAATTTCACCCATGTGCTGGTGGTGCGTCCCAAGTCATCGGGTTACTTCAACTTCACTGCCGCCGAGGTCTCCTACAAGCCTGTCGAGGAAGCTGAGACGGTAAAATTCTCACTCAATTATTCTACTATTGGTGCTAATTGTTATGAATTCTGCAGCTGCAATTGGCCATCAGCTCGGAGCCGGGAGAGGGTGGCATTGTCAATCTGAATGAGTACAACAAGCGTTTCTCCTCACACTTCTTCGATTGGGTGGCATTCGCCATTATGACGCTGCCTTCTCTGGCCATTCCCCTCATCCTGTGGCACTCGTCGAAGAGCAAATACGAGCGTCATGGCAAGAACAAGAAGCATTAAGCCAACATTCGGAGTGTGTGTGCCTTGGAACAGCCACTTTTTGATGAGATTCCTTTACAACAGCCAACAACCACAATTCCGTACAATTTCAATCGTTCCACAAGTTCATCCACAAACACACAACAAACACACTCACATTTATGTAGTTTAGAGAGTACAGATCCCGTTGGAATTGTATATATATATGTTGAGGAAGTCAAAAAGCGTTAAATCGTTTTAGATTTGATTCGAAGACGCATTGAAAAAATGACAGTTGCAGTTATCAAAGTTAAGCTATTTTTGTGTCATTAGACTGGTTTTCTAAATAAATTAAAATCAAATTTATAACATACGAATAATTAAAATTTGAGATAACAAATAAAGGGAGCCAAAATCACTGAGCTGTACCAGCCCCCGATATACCTTCTCCAGCAGTTGATGCGGCATATCCGATAGCTGCGTAGAAATCAAGAACCTTTCACAGGATTGTAGATCTGCATTGGCAGCAACTCTAGCCACAGAGCCTCGTAGATGGCATACTTAAGCCATGCCATGCTCCCAATCCCTGTTGATGTAATGGACTCCAGACTGAGAGGACTCTCAGCTGTTGTTAAGAGTGCATTTTCCCAAATCATTGACAAAGTTAAGATATTTTAGACAGGTTTCTACTAAATAAATTAAAATCAAATTTAGGTATAATAATTAGGATAACAAATATTTGCGCCCGAATATCTCCGATTTCTTCTCAAACATGGGCGATTTGATGGGCGTGTCGATTTTGTAGAATGCGTTCATGGAATGCTTGATGTAAGTGTCGTAAATCTCATGGAAGAAATTCTTAATGCCTTCGTCGTTTTTGTTGTCGTGCACTATGATGAAGCGTATCTGGGAGGCGGTGATGAAAGCGCTCACAAACCACTGATTAAATCGATCGATTGACTTTAGCTGCATATTCGCCGTTTTCCATTTATGCTCGTCGACCAAATCTAGCGCTGCATGTGCTATAAACTGACTAAGATGCCGATGATCCTCCTTCTGCAAATGGCAAATTGTTATCTTCACGTGGGTGGATTTTATAAATAGATAGTCTATATATTTACGCGCTGCTCTTTGTTTACGGTGCTAAACTCCTTCTCGAAGATGGGATTGTCGTTGTGGCCAACAATTACAAAGTAATAAGTGGACATTTTAGATTTGATTAATAACAAATGAAATAAACAAATGCAAGAATTTTTGAGAACAGCTGATTTAAGACGTGTTTGCCAATAAATCGTTGCCACCTGGCGCAAAGAATATCAAGTCAGTACGCAGCTCATTAGCTGTAGAAAAAAATGGTGATTAAATCATTAAATTTATCACACTCTCACTTTCAATGTTGCCATCTGCAATACTATAAAAATATTGATATCTTAATGATGGCATTATTTAATTTATTATACCACCTCTTTTTTAATACCATCTGCAACATTAAAGCAAAAATTTGAATGGTTAATTTAAAATCTTTTCATTTATCATATTCTCACTATTAATGTTGCCAACTGCTACTTTTTAAAATCTTCAGCAGCTAGTATTTTCTAGTAAGCTAACAGCATACATGCCTCAAAACGACGTAAGATTGTTACGCTTGCACGTACGCGTTGAATATCACGTCGTCAACAGCTGAGCTGCGAACGCGTAACACAAATTAAAGTTGTTAATCAGATTTAGAGTAAATAACAACCGGGCCGTTGGTATCAGCATTCCGTATTCGGATGTGTGCGAGAGCTGAGCAGTGGAGCACGACGCTGCTCTAGTGGGTTACATAATGGCAGCAGCTCTACGTTGCCTGCCCCTTCTCCAGCCGCACAAATTGGGACTGCGACTGCATCGCAATCTCAGCACCGAGTTGGCCTCGGCTCTGCGTCCCTTCTATTTTGCTGTGCACCCGGATCTGTTTGGTCAGCATCCGGAGCAGCGTCAGACCAACGAGAATTCACTAAAACTGCTCAGCGCTCATCTGCAGGCGCTCTACGAACGCAACTATCCCAATGAGGATGCGAAGGTGCTCAAGTTCTATGTGCGCCAAAGTGCGGATGCCGAGAAACGGGACAACTTTCGGCTGGTGCAGATACGCATGGATCGCAGCACGAGGGATCCCAAACAGTTCATACAGGGTCTGCTCGAATCCTGTAATCTATCCACGGACTATATCAAAACGGTGAAGCCAACGATGCAAGCGAAACCGCAGGAAAGCATGGCCAACAAGCCCAGTCAGGATTACCATTACAATACAGAGTTTGCCGAGTTCGAGGCACAATTTCGCAGTGTAAGGAGTCACATCTTATTAGTATATATATAATTAACAATATTCTTCCGCAGGAAGCGAGCAGCAGGCGTCCCGAGCTGTCTACTTGGCTCGCGGAGAATGCGGATAAGGCGAGACAGCGCGCCAAGGAGACGGCCGATCTTGTAGCCGAGATAGATAAGTTGAAAAATGTCCTGGTGCGGGATCTACAATTGCAGGATGTGCGCTACGAATGCGGTTGGAATATTGAGCATTATCGGGGCTGCTTGAAATCGCTGCAGCGACTTAGCCAAACGCACGCAAAGACGCTAGAAACGTTGAAGAATCGTATTGTGGTCTTTGCATTGTTCACGGGCATCAGCCTGGAGGGTCAAGTGATGCTCTTCACCGGCGATGTGCAAAACAATTGGATTGATTTCATCAAGAACATTCCACAGCACGACGTCTACCTGAAAGTGGTGCCCGTCTACGAAGTGACGCTCTCACAGGTGCTGCGTGGCATACAGATTGGTAGGCGTAAATTTATGCCGAAGCAGCAGGCACGTGGATATACCAACTACCTCAGCAAGGTGACGACATCCCTCAGCGATTATCTCAGTAAACAACATTATCCGGCTAGTTGGCCGGCAACGCTCGAAGAGTTTACCATCGTTGTCGAATCGGAGGCGGGACCACTGATGGTCAGTCCGACGGGTCAGTTCATTACCCCAGCCACCTGTCCCGGCTCCATTCTCGTCGACTTCATCAACCAGAACATGCAGCAGGCACGCGAACGTATGCACAAATATGACAAGGATAAGCACATCGAAGAGCAACTGATCGAGGAATGCATTCAGCGGCTCGGGCTGCAGTCCCTCACCAAGGACGATGCCGTTACGCCCGACAAGATGATAACGGCGTTGAGTGATTTGCGTTTGTATCAGCCGCAGCATTTCGAGCACATCAAGTTGCATATATCCCATTACTACTCTGTGCTCACCGATGGCATCGTTTGCATACCCTGGGATTTTATGCAGAAGTAGAGTCAATTCATTCATCTATCTCCTCGTGTGTGCCTTACTGTCAATGACAATACGCATAATAAATTTAGTAATTAATTAATGTCATGTTTATAGAAACTACTGTTAATTAAATTGTTCATGTTTGTGCTTGCCAATGTTACTAGTTTAATAAATATGTACAGGGTATTGCAAATATTTAAAATTACTATCTAAAGTCGGATACACAAAATGCATAGATAAGTTGCCTTCAGCCGGAAAAAAGCGTTACACATTTTCCATGAATTTTCATAAGCTAAGTACACCTATGTACATAAATACATCTACATATATATGACTAGGCTTGGGTGCGTTATCTTTTTCTTGTTACTTCTTGTTTGCTTTGCGCTGATAAAAACAATTCCATTTAAAATGTTCTCATTTACAAATTATTTTATTATGCAATTTTCTCGAAATATATCGATTATATAGATAAGCTCGATTTGCTGCTGATATTTATTTTTCAATATAACTGCAATCTTCGATCCTCCAGACGCACTCCCTGCGATAGTTGGCAAACTCCTCAGCATTCCGGGTATAAACATGTTCCTCGCCGGTATCCCAATATTGCTGATCTCCGCCACACAAAACCGAACTGTTTGTGGCTGCATCGAATAGAGCCACACTGGTACCATCCTCTTGGATGACGGCATACCACCAGTTGATGGCATCCCGACTGTAAATGTTCTTTATTATGGCGTTGGGAGCCGTATGATTGCTCGGCTCCAGGAAGATGTAATGATTGTTCCAGTAGGAGCTATAAAAGGCAAATTGCAGGCTATTGTTTAGTCCACCATGGCCACGCTGCAAATTGTAGGAGGCCTTCCTAGGATCGTGCGCATTGGTGCAGATCAGATAGGTTTGGGGACACTCGTAGATGTAACCATACGCATCGGACACGTTGCGCAAACAGACCTTCTGGGCGGTGTACAAGATGCGATCAGCTTCGGGTAACTGAGCATAGACCTGCTGCTGCAACGCGTATTCCACTTCCTCAATAAATGTGGACTGTTCCAGCAGCGTGCGCAGATTCTGCACCAAAGCTCTGTGAGCCTGCTCATCCAGCTGGAGTTCTGGGCGCTGCTGCAGTTGGAGATTGGCTTGGGTTAATTGGGTGAGGTTGTCACTAAAGCTGCCCAGACGTTGGACCACACCCAAATTGGACTCCAGTGCGAGTATGACGTTAAAGAGAGCCTCCAGTATGTCCTTCAGATAGTCCAGGGTACTCAAGGTGAGCCTCTGGAGCAACTGTGTGACTAGTGGAAAGATTGCACACTGGCTGCTTGCGTGAAAGGGTGCCGAGAGCAGTTGTGCACTGCTCTGGACCAGCGCCTGATATACCTTCTCTAGCAGTGGAGGTGGTACATCACTTAACTGCTCCAGTTCAGTGTAGAAATCAAGAAGCTTGAGAGGATTGTATATCTGCTGCATTTGCTGCAACTCCAGCCATAGAGCCTCATATATGGCATGCTTCAGCTGCACGGTGCGTACCATGCTCGCCAGATCCAACACCAGCCTGCCACGCTCCCAATCCCTGTTGATCTCCGCTCGTATAATGGACTCCAGACTAAGAGGAGTCTCAGTTGTTGTAAGCGACGCATTTTCTCCAGTCATCACATCGATGCGGAGCAATAAGTCTACTGATAGATTAGTTGCATTCAGTATGGCCAGGAGTTCACTGTTGTTACTGCTGTTGCTGCTGCTGCTGTTGATAAATAATCCAAGTCCATGCTTTAAGGGCAGGGCCAGAAAGAGCACCAGACAAACTGAGAATGCCATTGTTACTGCTTGCGATCCCAGTTAACCTTCTTCTTATATTGCCCAAATACGGGCGGTTTTTTATTTGTAGTACAATCGGATATTTGCATGGGCATTTCATTGTAATTTGTTTGTTTGTAATGAAGTAATCTAAATTTGCAACTACTATAAAAATGTAGCCCAATTTCAAAAGTCAACAAAGTGGCGTCATCTGTCGCCTGAGCCAGGCACTCTTGCTTAACGGCCAGTTTCGATTAACTTTACAACCATAGATGGCGTTCTCATGTTAATTAATTCAAACTCAAAATTCAGTTAGTTTTTAATTTTATTTTGGCCAAATGGCAACAAATTAACTTAGAATTAATATCACAAGGCTGAAACAATACGCTTAGGCGAAACTATGGAAAATGCAACTTTGCAATTATGTTAACTAACGATTGTATCTACAATTTGGTATTGTTACGCGATTGCACAGATCGACGTAACATGCTGGAGCGGAATTCACCACGTGTGGATGCCGTCAAAGAGGCCCCTGTTTGAGTGCCACGCACAAAAGCTTTCGAGCGCACCTCCTCCACATCGGTCTTCTCCTCGTCTAGCTTCTTGGCTAGACAGGGGAAATCCCAAATGCTCTGACCACGTCCAAATTCCTCGCCATCGCTCAGAGTCTGCGGCAGATCGTGATGCAGTGTCTCCGGTAGTAGCAGCGACAGCAGACCACCAATGATGCCCAGCAGACCCAAAATGATGAGCGGCAGTGCCGTTGATATATTAGCCAAATACACAACAAATGGAGCAATAATGCTGGCCACATAGCCCATAATGTGAATGAAGGCCACGCCCTGGGCACGCACCACAGTGGGCAGAATCTCGGCCGCATACTGCAGTCCAATATTGTAGCTAATGTTGACAAAGAAGCGACCCATAATGGCTAACGTGGCCGAGTAGACGCCCACGGGCACCACAGTGGCCAGCAGACTGAAGATGCCACTGGCCATCATCGAGCCACAAGCCAACCAACGTCGTCCAAAGCGATCCAATGTGACCGTAAGCAGCGTATCCGCTGGCAGCTCCGTGAAACAGGCCACCGTAAACGTGAAGAAGATATCGAGACCCAGGGAGCCCACATTACGCACATGACCATCGAAGACCAGTGAGATGGCCATCCAGATGACAATTAGCAGCAGAGTGGTGCGACGCAAACGTGGCGACTTAAACAGATCCAGCACAGAGTAGCTGGCATTTTGTTCCTGCTCCTGATCCCGCAGGCGACGGCAGCTGTCGCCAAAGTGCTGATATGTTTGCTCTGATACCAGACGACCATTGCGACGCTGCAGCTTCTTGAGAATAGAGATCGCCTTCTCCACTTGACCCTGGGAGACTAGCCAGCGTGCCGACTCCGGCACAATAAATGGGGTCAATACGACCAGCAACAGCGGTGCCGATGTAATAATTGTCAACAATTTCCAGTCTGCTACAAAGTATGCAATCCAGGGCAGCAAACAGGCGGCGGCCGTAAAGAATATGGCAATTGACATGTTGGCAACAAAGGTGCGATATTTTGGACCCACATACTCCAGCACTGCAAATGGAAAGAAAAATGTTTGTTGAGATTTCAGGTGAGTAATGGGTGAGGCTAAATGGAGATGGGAGATGTCGTGTCACGAGCAAGCACGTTTGAACACGACTTAGCAGTCGAACTTGATGAATATAGGAATAAGAGTCAATATAACAAATTCAATTTGAAAAGAGTGATAAACAGACATTGCTTATAGAATATACCTGTCTACTTTAAATGGGGAGAGTAGTCAATAGTATTTAAAGCTTAAGTGCCTAGTTCAGTTTTGCATTTTAAACAATACAAAAATAAAGTCAATTTTTTTGAAAACTTTTTTTCATAGGTCTTTTCATTTCCTAAATAATTTTCAGGCAACATTTTAAAGTTTACATCTGGAAGAGTTATTATTACAACTCTTCCCGATTAGTTCGTATCTTTATACCAATAAAAAGAACTTCGGCTTTATTTCTCCAACTCGACCTTCACTTACCCAATATGTACATCATGGTGAAGCAGTTGTCAAATGCAAAGCCCACAAAGAAACGCATTGTGGCAAACTGCCAGAAGTTGTTGGCAAATGCCGTTGCCACGCCAGCAATCAGACCCATCAGATTGCAACAGATCAGCGCTGGAACGCGTCCAAAACGATCCGCCACCCAGCCAAACAGCAAACCACCGACAATGGCACCCAGGAAAAAGATAGACTGGGCATAGGTGGGCAACGCGGCATCATCGCAGACCCAATTCTGTTCGGTGGCTATCGTCGAGTATGGTATCTCTGTGAAATTGTATGACCAGCCATTGCGGCACTTGACTCTCGGCCACTTGGGATCCGCCATAACCGTGCCCTGGGCGAGCACTTCCGTATAGTTGACATCGTACATGTAGCAATTATTGTACTCTCCATTCATCATCGGTATCGATAGAGCGAGTCTGAAAAATAAGAAAGAACAATTTCGGGTGAGTTTCTCAATTCGGTGGTGTCATGAACCCCCTCCAGGGTCAACAGCGCATTGTGTGCGTTCTCAGTCACACCTCAGTTTCACCTCCCTGGCACCCCCCCTTGAAAAGAGCATAGACAACATAATTATCTCTCATGATCTTGAATCGTGTATTCAGCTATGTACATATGTCTAAAATTGTAGCCATGCAAGATTGATTGCCGGCGGAATAAATGGAAAGGGTAGAGAAGTGGTGAATTTAATTCAAGCTCAAAGGTACTTGCTTAATTGCCAATTTTTATGAATGTTAAATACATTTTTCATAGATTTACTCTAGCAGAAAAACAGCACAGCAACGATTTGCTGAACAGCTGGACTAAAGTTGGGCATATGGAGAACGAAATGGGATATATTCATATATATATCACATATATATATTATGTACATGTATGTATTCATGTACTTAGTATATTTCCATTTATAGTTGAGCTCAAGAAACTGTGTTGTGACGAATGACAAGCCGAAGTTTTGTTTGCCTGTCCAGTTGATAAATAAACAAGTCACTTAACACCTGATATTATTTATGCAAATATGTCGCCAAATATTTTCATAACTTTGTTATGTCTAATGCAAATACTGTGAACGCTATCTCGTGGCAACTTTGAGGTTTCGGAGATGTCTTTTTTATTTGTAGCTAAATTTGCTTTCCTAAATAGTGACATTATTATACTTATATTATGTTTCTTACATATATTATATATATTATATTATATACTGAGATTTTACTTTTAATTTTATGAATGCCTTTGTAAACGTTTTTGAATCAATTGATTGAATATAATAAATGCAATTGCTAGATTCGTATAATTTATGGAAGTTTCAGCTTCTTATTTCTAGATACGTATAATTTATGGAAGTTTCAGTTCTTAAGCGAACACTTTATTGAATATTATTAGTGAACACTTTATTTCCTATGTAAGTCTTTACATGCTTGTTAAAAAACTGTAAAATCAGTCTTTGAATTAAAGATTTTCTTTGTGTCTATAAAACTTGTGTAAAATGAAAGTCATAAATCTTGGCTTTAAGTAGCTTTTTACTATCGTATTTATTCAACTGATTGGAGAGTATTCAAGCTTCGCTTAAGACATTGTCTCTGTAATTTCTCTCTCTATCTCTCTTTTGGAGATTTTTTTTGGCTCGTGCTTGGCGTCGCCACACAACATTAGTTAGTTAGTTAGTTGCTTAGTTAGTAGCACTTATTTTTTATTTTAAATTGTTGTTGCGACTACCACTATTATTTCACTTATGCGTCGCCTTTGTTGTTGCTGTTGCTGCTATGGCTGCTGCTGCTGCCTCTGTCGCAACAAGCGTTGCTAATGAAAAGCCCCTTGCCGCTGCGCACCTGACTTGCCTAACTGTCTGCCTGTCGGTCTGTCTGACTTGGCTGGCTGGCTGGCTGCTTATCTAACTGCCACTGCCACTGCCACTGAATTTAAATTTGCCTTCGCTTTAAGCTCTACCCCCTTCGCGCTGTCCCCATGCGATCAGATGCCCGCTTGTAAGGTTCTTTGCCTTATTAAGCCACCGGTCAGAATGACTAAGAATCAATCATGGCACAAGGTTAATCGGCATTCTAAGCCGCAGCACTTGGACGAATTAATGACTTTGGTCAGAATACTCGAATTTTGAACGTTTTCCATTTTCCATTTAGTGTCGATTTCGATTTGAATCGATAATTGTGTTTGGGCGCTGTAAAACACGTTCTTATAATTTAGCCTCTTTGAAAAGAACAACAAAGAACAACATAGAATTCTAATTTTGTTGTTTTTGATTCGATTCTTTAGTCAGACACGTCTCATTTGGGAGCAAACCTGTTAATTTCAAGGCGTTTCAAATTCGATCCAAATTGCCTTTGTGAAAGTGTGTTTGCGGAACAGCATAACTCAAATTTGCAACTATTTCCGGCTTGAGAATCGCATAGAAAAGGGGAGGGAAAAGACCGTAAATTAAATTGCAATATTTGGTAGTAATATAATATAATATGCCTTAATAATACGGCATCAGTTAGAAAGTTAATGTTTTTAAAATGAATATGTTAAATAAGTCAGGCAATTTTATCAAATGTTAATAGTAAAGGTATTTTAAATGCTTTGATTTATATTATTTCATTGCAAATATTAACTATAAAACTTCTCAACACTTTCAAAAACTTTAAATATTCTTTTGTGATGTAAAATATACAGGAAATTTTTGAACTGCCCTTGACTCAATCTTTTGTTCTGTATGCATATATTCAAGGTCACTTTGATATCTTCATATTTAGAAATCATAATCATAATATTACTTTTGCTTAATTTAAATATAGTAAATGCTCAATATTTATTTCTATTTGACAGGCAAAAGCTACTGGACATTATTTATATATTTATCTTTAATATATACCGATAAGTACTGATTATCATAAAAAAACCATAAAGCAATAAAAATCAGCATCACATTCTCATATAACAAATCAATTTATGCGCCAGACTAATTGACGGTTGCAGCTTGAGTGATAAGTAATTAAAATACCAACCAGATATTAAGTCATATTGAGTACATATATATTTATATACATATATGTATATTCATGTGATTTTGCCAAGCTGAGAGATTGCCTCAGATTTGGCCACAATTGTGACGTTAACTTGTTTTTGTAAATAACAAAAATGTACTCTGGAGGGAAAACCCGCAGCAAATGTCCAATGAGTCAGCTTTAAAGCCAAAGTTGTTCTTTATGAAAATCGCTTTTGTTTTGCCATAGCCAAAAGGTTACAACTTTGTAAAAACGGCTCAGTTTTTAAATGTCGGTTTATTGTTGGTTGTGTGCTGACCACTTTAATATAATTTAAATATGTTTTTGCTGACTGTACGTCAAGTGTTTTTCTGTCGAGATTCCCGATGTGATTCGAAATATACCAGAGTATTTTTTAAAATAAAAATAACTCTTGACCTTGAGCCAGCGTAAATCATATTCAAAAATCGGCTAAGTTATGGGAGGGGAAAATTCAAGACCCAGTTTTAAAATGTTCACCTGGCTTCAACGTCCAGTCCATCCAGTTCGGGCACATGGCACCAGTGCTGCTCCGGTATGAGTGTTAGAAAGATCTGCGAGAAATACACGAAGGCCACAAAGAACGAGAATGGTATCATGCAGAGGAACAGAATCTTCTGATATCGACCAAATTCTCCAATCAATGGCAGAATGTCATCAAAATCGAGGGTGGGCGCGGTGGGTGTCGCTGTCAACTCTTGACCCTTCTTGCCGGTCACATCCAATTGCAGTTCCTTGTTGTTGCCACCACTGCGACGACGTGGTAAATTGTCCATACCTCCACCGCCCGTCCCATGGGGCTGCTCTTCGTGATTATATGCTTCATTGACGAAGTATGCTTGCTTGGCCTGACCTTCCATTATTATAGCAGTAGCAATTGTTGCTGTTATTGTTGCTGCTGCTGCTGCTTCGACCTTGCTGTATCTATGTCACTTGTGAGCTTGTAAGCTTGTAAGCTTGTAAGCTTATTGCTTGCAGTTACAAAAGAAATTCACTTGGCTTAATCAAAGCCAAAATCATAAATATAAACACACACACAACACACGGCACAACACAAAATAGCTTATTCGTAGAGCTGACGGCGCACGCGCGCGTTTCCGTTAATGTTCTTCAACTGAGCTGAGCACGCGCGCCGGATGGTGTTTTTATATCAGAGGCAAATGCCTCGAAATCCCCAAAGTCCAAACCCGAAGCGAAATCCGTGCTCAGCGGTTTTTCAAGCCGAGCTTCGTTAGCTGCACTTGCTTGTTAAGAACAAGAAATTGGCAATACCGGCAGCGAAAGTTGAAACAGCTGTTTGCCCGCACAGCTGGCAAACCGGTCCGGTTCGCTTCTAAGCGTTATGATCTTGATCACCTCTTCGAAATTTGTATTTTATTTTTCATTGATTATTTTTAAGTTTACCCGAAATGATGGACGGTGCCCAGCTGTTAAGAGGGAGGCGCACACACGTGATTCATGCATTAACAATGGACAAATTTACATAAATTTCGAGATAAAAACGTCACATTTTCAATTTGGGGGAATAACCCTTCCCCCCCACCGAAAAAAAGAGACAGTTGCAGGTGGCATAGTCGATCTGACTCAGAAGTCAAAAACCCCAAACATTTTACGATTTCTTGGACACGCCTCCCGTTGGACAACTGTGTTGAGATACAGAATTGTGCATAATTAGTAAAGTATCTGTTGACATTATATTTGTGTAACAGAACATGTTTTAAGTGTGATTTGTTTTTTTTTTTTTTTTTTTTTGTTTACTCGTGCGAAAGTTGTTAAACGCAGTCCAGTTTGAGCTTGTTTCTAGCTGCAGTTACAATTGGCTGGTTTGCTACGCATTTAATTTTTTAATGAGCGCTATTTGTGGCTAGCTCAAGGACTCAAATGAGTTCATAGCACCCCGCACTTGAATAGATGCCGATATTGAGCTTAAGTTGGAGATTGGAATTGAAATTCGAATCAGAATTGAGATATAAATCAGCACAGAATGGTTAATTTGATTTAATTTTGTGTGCATGTTTAACTTTGTGGCAGGTGTCATTTTTTGCCTTTAGTTCATTTTTTTTTAGAAAGTTTATAACACACTTTATTTGTTGCCAGAGCTGGCAATTATTCTGTTAATTACGCGGTTAAATATGAGACAGCTAATTGTTGCCCAGGAAGACTGTTCTAAAGTTGCGACAAAGAACTGACGTTAAATGAGAAATTAATGCGGAATTCCCTTTTAGGCATATCTGCAGCTTTTTACTTTTTAAAGTGGTTAAAGTGATTCTGGTTGTATTTTCAGATATATTAAATATTTATCAAGTTTCTTTTAATTTATCGAATATTATTTTTTGCTTATTCTTCTTTTCAAATGAATAAATCGATATTATTGCCCAAAAATGTTATGATATTTAACCATAAAAATCGCTGATTGTGATTGTATTTTAAGATTTAATATGTTTATGAAGTGTCTTTTACTTCAACAAATATTATTTTAAGCTTAATGATTTTTCTTTTCAAACAAAAATCTTTTAAAGTGAATAAATTGATAGTAAGTGCAAAAATGAGAAACACTCTATGGTTAAAGTGATTGTGATTGTATTTTAAGATTTAATATATGTTTCAAGTGACTTTTACTACAACAAATATTTTTCCCCTTAATCGTTCTTCTTTTCAAACTGACACATGTTATGGTTAAAGTGATTGTATTTTAAGATTTAATATGTACATATATGAGGTGTCTTTTTTAACAACAAAGATTATTTTTTCCTTATTCGTTTTTCTTTTCAAACAGTAATCTTTTAAAATAAATGAATAAATCAATACTAATTGCAGTAATGCTAAACAGTGAATAATATTTGTGACATGCAATTAATTTGAGATTTCATTAATATTTAATTGAATTGTATTTAGCTGTTAACTGTCTTACGATAAAGTATTTATGATTTGCGCAATAAAGGGTATATTTTACTGAAATTGTGAATAAATAAACTGTAAATAAGATATTTCAAATCTCATTTAATTTGAGTAGCACTTCATTTATAGAGCACACAGAAGCCGTCTTTCGATTAACTGAATGTCAATCTTTATTTCTGTGTACTTAGATTAATGTAACCTTCAATTGAATACATAAATATTATAGCATTAAATTCCACTTCCGTTTAAATTCTTAGCTTTGTTGTTAAAGCTTATTATTATTATTTTTAATTTAATAAGCGAGCGTAAAAACAGATAAAAGTTTTAATGAGTTAAACAGTTGTTTGAGCGTAAAAGGCATTTAATTAAATAGCCATTGGAATTATTTGTGTGAGGAAGTGAGTGTATCTGAAAGTGCGCATAGTTATCATCATTAATAGTATCGTCATGTCTCAATAGGTAAACTCTGATAAGCTCCTCATTGCTACTAAACATGGATGTACGGATTAATTTATAAATAAAAAAAACAAATTCTTGAATATGTATGCATATCTTTGAAAGTGATAAGGCCCCGATTAACTTGAATTGAATTCTGTTTTCTTTATCAATTATTGTCAATGGAATTCTAAGAGTTAGCCTTCGATGGATCGGCTATAAAATATATCAAGTTCGTTCGCTCATTGAAAATGGGTTTTATTAAATGTCCAAACTTGACGCTAATTAGAGCCTATTAATAAATAATATTTATTTGCCTGTTTGATTTTCCCCACAAATATATGTGTTCATTTGGTATTGACACAAATGTAAGACGATAATGTTATATGGCCAAGATTAAGCCTCATACACTGGAAAAGCCCAACTGAAGGCGTGTCAGCACACGTCTCTGATCGGCAGCGTAACGCACAGCCGCAATCAGTTCACAATCGTAAATCATAAATCTACTACTCAGATAGGTGATAAGAGATAACCCAAGATATATGGTCGAATGTGATTAGGTTTTGCGGCTATAAATGCGTAGTCAATTGACAAACTAACTTTAGTTAGAAGTTAACAAAATGAAGTTCGTTTGTGCAACAGTATTGCTCCTCGTTGTCATTATCGGCGCCAATGCCGTCGACTGGCAGTCCCTGAAGTCGATGGAGATTGAGCCCAAGATACCGACGATTCGTCATCGCAATGGACCTGGTGGCCGAATTACCAAGGGTGAGACGGCTGGCCGCAATCAGTTCCCCTACCAGGCGGGACTCATGCTTTACGTTAACGGAGGAGCTGCCTGGTGCGGCGGATCTTTGATCAGTGATCGCTACGTTGTCACGGCTGCTCACTGCACGGATGCTCTGACCACCGGTGTGGATGTCTATCTGGGTGCCTGGGATCGTACTGATAAAAAGGAGGCTGGCCAACAGATCATTTTTGTGCAAGCGAAGAATGTGGTTGTCCACGAGCATTGGGACGCTGATGCAATTGTCAATGACATCTCCTTGATCAAGCTACCCGTTCCAATTGAATTTAATGAATTCATTCAGCCAGTCAACCTACCCCAGAAGTCCGGCAAGTACGAAACCTACGCCGATGAGAGCGCTATCTCTTCAGGCTGGGGCAAAACTGCCGACTGTAAGTATTTCTTTTATTTAGACCCCCCAAGGAGTTTTCTTTTGAATGATGCTATCTTTTGTTTCTTGCAGCTGAGAAGGGCGCCACCGACATTCTGCAATGGATTACCTCGCCCATCATGAAGAACTCGGGCTGCTCTATATGGTACGGTGGTATTATTAACTCTAACCAAATTTGCATCAAGACCACCGGGGGCATTTCCACCTGCAACGGCGACTCTGGCGGTCCTCTGGTGCTGGCTGATGGCAGCAACACTCTCATTGGCGCTACTTCCTTTGGAATCGCTCTCGGATGCGAGAAGGGCTGGCCAGGTGTATTCACCCGCATCACCTCGTTTGTAGACTGGATTGAGCAGCACTCCGGTGTGGTCAACAATGGTCTCTAAATGGGCGCTTGATTGACTTAAAATAAATGTTTATTGAAAGCTACAAGAAATAGAAATCATTTTCGGACTTGGGCTGGGAATGTGACCGTAGGCTAGCCGTCTCGGACGTATCGTTCTCATCGGACTGGGGCAATGAATGATGAACGTCCAGTTCGTCGGGCACATCATCCATTTCGAGCTTGCGATTGTGGTGCTTTTTCCCATAGTTCTTTATGTACTGGTCAAAGAAAATGGCCTTCGTGGTGTCCTGATGCGAATGCACACCCGTCTCATCACTAATCCAGTCAAGGTATGAGGCCACCTTGGTGAAAGCCGCCGGATAGCCGCGATCGCAGCCATAGATGCTGCCGAATGAGGTGATGCCCACCAGCACCCGTTTCTTTGAGTGACGGCGCTGCAACACCAGCGGTCCACCCGAATCCCCGTTGCACGTGGAGCGCGCATTGCGTCCGCTCGTGCAGATGTTCGTGCCCCGAAACGAGAGCGGGAAGTTGCGCTTACAGGTGCGTCCATCGATGATCTGGAGCTGCACATAGCGCAGCACATTACTGATCGCATGCACTCCAGTCGCATAACGTCCCCAGCCTGATGCAATTCCCAATTTGTTCTTGAAGTTGCGGTACTCATAGTGTCGCTTTGGTAGCTGTATCGGATGAATGCGTTCTGGAATATAGACACGGGGATAAGGATTAACTAGCTGATCTGTAGGTAGTTTGAGTTAGCTTGTAAACCTAGCATATGAAGTTAAGTTAAATTAGGGTTTCGTTTAAATTAAACTAGCTTAAGCTTCAAATCGGATATTTAGAAAAAAGGAATGGAGCTCAGAATTATATTATAATCATCTAATCAGATTTCAGATATAATTTATAATGTAGATGCAAATATAAGACAAAGAAACACATTAGTGAAAGGTTTTCTTGCATGAAATAAGGAAATACATTTTAGAAATATTTTTTAATAATGTTTTAAGCAAATCATTTTTAAAATAGGTAATAGGCTAAAAATTATATTTCTTTTTTTAAAGATTGTTCAAATCACATTGATCTTAAAAGATTACTTGCTTTGTAAGAATAAGCATATAAATATTAAAGAATATTTTGGTACATTCAAGACTTGACTTACCATTAAAGCTAACAGGATGTGGTAATTTAATCAGAGCAATATCATCTTTGAGCCGCTTGGGATTCCAAGTGGGATAGATGTGAAAATTGCTGCTTGGCACCATCAGACGCACCTGTCCCGACTCCTTGGCATTCTTGATCTCATTGGCGCCCAAGAAGACCAAGGCACGTTTGGCCCTGTGCACCAGAAATAATTCATATTAGAAAAGTGAATGCTTATGATGGATGGCAGGTTAGCCTACATATCCACACAATGGGCGGCTGTTAGCACATGCTGATCGGAGATTAGCGAGCCGCCGCACCAGTAGAGGCCCTTGGGACGCTGCAGGAGCATGCCCACCTGATAGGGAAAGCAATGTGGATTGCCAACATCACCCCCAAAGATCCGATCCATGGCCATAGCACCGTCGGGCAGCATGCTGTCCAGAAGCGGTGTTGTCTCCAAATTCAATACCAATGGTTCCGGTTCGACGTCGTCCGTAGGCAGAGCGCTGAAATCGCTGCTGCCGTCGGCGTCGCTGCTAATGCGACTGTCATCGTTTGTGGCGCTCATTTCCGCATCCAGTTCGGCGGACAGAGAGGTGGTTGGCTGGGACAAGGCCATGCCGAACGGTCCCGGATACATGGACACCAAATACATTGGCTTAACCTGTTGCCAGTCCAACGCCGCTGCGACGCCGCCAACATTTAGCAGCAGGGCAAAGCAGCTGGCAATGCTGGCGAGTAGCAGCAGCCTTTGCGTTGTTAATGTGGCAATAATTGAAATAATCGCCGATTGTAAAAACATTTGCGCTGATTTTCTTCGTTGCTGCTTGCTGTTGCTGACGCACGCATTTAATTTGAACTTCAAACTTAATTCAGACTCACACACACACACATAACACACACACACACACGCACACAGCACAGCTTCTTTGAATGCAATTTCCCCGTTTCTATTTTTGAAAAGCCGTTACGTACTTGACGACGGCCAGCGGCGAGCGCGTAAAATTCATTTACTTTCTTTGGTCTTGGGACGCGGTACGGTCGATCAACGTCTCGTTTGCAACTGTTGCGGCGCGCGCATGTTGCAAGCATTTTTATAAACTCTCTTGCTACCATTTCTTTGAAACCAACAACCACTTTAATTATTTCGTCTATTTTGCTGCATTAATTTGACGCCGCTGTCGCCGTTGACGTTGACGTCGGCATCGACAATTGCATTCATTTCATTTAACGTTTTTGCCTCTTTCAATTTGCATGTTCGTCGCGTGCTCTCTCTCTCTCTGTCTCCCTTGTAGCTAGCTGTTCAGCCACCCACTCACAACACACACTCTCTCTGGCTCTTTGGCTCTGTTGTCAAATTTAGGCGCCCTTTGATGCCGGTTGTGCTTCTTTATGTTTCTTCTTCTTCATATTTTCTGTGCAAATCTTAACAAGCGTTCGCGTCGACGTTGTCGCTGCTGCAGAGCTGCTGCTCTGTTGCTCGATTTTCTATTGTTGTTTTTACCGTTTAAGTATTTGAAAACCAAGTAAAGTTGTAACTCGAGTTACTTATCCCCTCACTTGCTTTGGTGCGATTACATCACGCGTGTGCCGACAGTGTGTGCGTGTGTGTGTGTGTGTGTAATGTAATGCGCAGCATGCGGTAAAATGCTTTCATTGAGAAAAATTTTTTTCGAGTTGTTGTTGGTTTTGCTGTTTTCGGCTTTGTTAAGTTAAACAAAAATATTACACGATACATTTTGTCTTATCCCATTCTTCGCCCTTCTCTACACATTACATGCATATATATTTATATAAATATAAATATATATTATGAAAAGACAGTGGGCAGCGTTTTCTTCACTGTCTCCAACTTAAAAAGTTTAGGCCCTGTAAATTTGTAATCAATTTTCCGCCCACTGTGCAGAAACATCTTCCATGCCTGTCGCATTTTTGTTTGTTTTTTCATATGGCCAAGGTTATTGCCAGGGCACTTGGCAGTCATAGGAAAATTAAAAGCAATGTTGAATTTTTTGTTGTTGTGGAATTTGTTGCATGTGGCAAGGCGAGCTGAAGAATTTCTTAGTAGGAAATCAAATGCGCAACTCTGTTAACTTGTTGCATGTATTTATAATGAAATCTAATTTAATAAAGCATTTCTCGCATTGTTTTTTTTTTTTTCCTACTTTTTTTTGGTGTGCCTATTTAGGAAATGTGGCGGCTGACTTTACCTGCCTAGCGAAGCAAATAAATCAAATCGTCTCGCGATCGGTGATATGTTCGAATGTAATGAGGCAACAACAACAACAACAGCAACTTATAATAATAATGAGCGCCAGCACCAACGGCAACAACAAAAACAGTTGCAGCGGCAGCAGAGACTGGCGTCGATTATGCAAATGTTTTGGCCAGCTTTTTGTGGTTTGCGTTTGTTGTTGATACCCTTACAGAAGAAGTTCACATATTGCTATGGATTTCGACTTGGGATTATTACAAAGTAGATAGTTCATATATTTCAGCCATACTTTTAAAATAAATAATGTACTTTACTGCATTTAATTCACATCTTACATTTTGTGAGCATTACGTTTAAAGTTGCTTCCAATCTTATAATAAATATAAAACATACAGATGTTTGCTCGGAAAAACACGGATTTTAAGTGCTGTCGAAACAACTTTGGAAATTAATTTTAATTTTGCAAGAGACCACTGTACCTATAAAACACAGTTTGAAGATTTCACATTCGATAGTAACCCCAATAAACCCTGCAGGGAACCATGAAGTATTTCTTCACCAACTCCTCAGCTTTGGGCTTTGGTATAAAAGACAATTATACATTAAACGAGATCTCCACTTTTACAATTTTACACCTATCAACATTTTGATGAGAAATGGGAAGAGTATTTTCCATTCGATGGGCTGTAGAGCAAATATTTTCTTTTCTTGATTTGTTTCTCTACACTGCATTTAAGTTTCGTGCTGAGCTGTGCGTCGATATTTTTTTTAATGCATAATCGCGAATTATGATTGCAGCTCTTGCATGTTTGCTGTCTGTGTGTGTGTAAATATTTAATAATAATAAGCACATACTTTTATTTGATTGCACTTGCTAATGCATTTGCTGTTATTCAATTTAGCACCACGATCGCGCTACTATTTACCAAATGATTAATATTTTAAGTAATATGGTTATTTCTGTCTCTTTGTTTTTCTCTTTTTCCATTTACTACATACACAATATAAACTTAATGGCTGTATGTGCGTTTTCTTCTATTTATTTTAATGGTCTTTATGGTTTTAGTTAGCGGCAGTGATATTAGCATCTGCAGTTCCTTATTACCTGCCCAGAATTGAATTCTTACTTAGTTTTAGTTTTCATTTAACTACATACACTCATCTAAACATAAATATAATATTTAGTTTCTTTTTGTGTGCGCACCAAAATGATTAAATTATTTTCACGCTCGACGCCACTTCCTGCACTCTACATATACATATATATAAATATCTAAATACAAATAAATCTTATATAAGACTGCATAATTGGTATCAGTTATCAGTACAACAACAAAAAGTGCTACTCCTCATTCATACTTAGGATATTCATCCAGTTCCAGCTACACCTTTTGTTGTCCAGAATTTCAGTCTCGCCCCCAACACTACTCAAATGCAGCTGATTGTTGCGGCAGCATCTGCAGCATCTGCATGTCGTCCGTGAATGCGATGCCAATTGGTTTGGGAGTAACTAGCGAGGATTCAGCGACATCTGCATCGGTGGCATCTTCGTCGCCCTCGCACATGGCGCTGTCGAGACTCTTGTTGAGGCGATCATGAAACTCCATCATTGAGATCTTTTTGACTGCAAATCGCTTGCCAAAAGTTTTCTTTACCTTCAAGCGGCGCTTTTTGATCAGATTCTTGTTCTTGTTGAGGCCATCATTGAAGGAAATGGCTCGTCGCAATTTCCGTGATCCGAATTTGACGACGCGCACCTGGCTGCTGATGGCACACTCCTCGCTATCGTCCTCGGCATCGGCGGCATTCTCATCGCTTGGCTCCTCGAATATGGTTTCCAGATTGGCGGGCGTAAATTTCTTCATCCGCTTGCTGGTGTACAATTTTTCGATGCTCTTCAGCATTTGTTCGTTGGTCTTCAGCTCTTTGCGTCTCTTTTTTACCTCGGTGCGGGCGATGGCGCTGCTCATGCGATTGAAGTTATCCTTGGAGACGCGGGCAGGCATGCGACGTCGCGAGACGCCACCGCGACGACCAATTCGATAGTTACTGCTACTGTTGCTGCTGCTGTGGCTGTCGCTTTCATCGTTGTCCTCGCCTCGGCTTTGCTGTGATTCAATGCCATCCGATTGAATGGAGTCGGCGCTGTCTGAATCCAGCATCTCGTTAGACATGGATGTGGACGTTGTTGCACTTGCATTTGCAGTCATTGGCTTCAAATTCCAGGTGAACTTGCCTGCCGCAGAAAATGTTGATGCAGCGCTGCAAAGATTTTTGTTTTATTTATTTATTTTTTGGTTTTAGTTGGGCGCCGCTTTTTCTTTTTGTTTTCGCTCACTTACCGATTCTCCGTCAAAACTACCTCTTTTGGCTGAAAACTAATCGTTGCGAACTTGTGCACAATGTTTTCCATTATTCAATCTGTAACATTCTGTGCGGTTTCAATGTTTTATTAGGTTTTCTTTTATCGCCCTGATTTATTTACTTTTTTTTTTGCTATCTCAAGAGGAAGAATGCTGTCCCAAGCGAAATGTTACTTAACATGCTAAGCTGTCGATAGGTATCGTATCAGCATAAACTTCGTATCAGCTGTTATTTCGCTGTTAAGCTGACCCGATTTCACTGTGCAACGATATATCGTTTACTATTGCTTTCAGTATTTGAAAACGCCACATAAATACATCAGTTTCTATCCAACAGATGGCGTTCTTAACTGTAACTTTATTTTAAGTTTGAATGAAGTATTTAAACGGATTTATTATGCTTTTTATGTAAACAAAAAGGTGATTCTAATACGAAATTCATTATAAAATTAGTCCTCAAAAAGTCAAACTGATGGGCTAAAACTCTCCAGAGCCTTAACTTTGTCAAAAGTAATTCGATTTTCAAAAGCAAGGAATTTTTAATCATATTGACAATACTTCTGGCTCGAAATGCATGTTGAATTACGAATGATTTCGAACTGACCTCAGGAAACATATCTGTCAGCATTAAAATTGTGGGAGATTGGCGAATTTATCGATTGAGAGAGCGAGAAAGCGAGGGAACCTTACCCATTTTCACAGGGTTCAGGTTATAATAAATAAATAAAACATTTCCATTGCTTGCTTTAATATATATATTTATTTAGAGTAATTCATCGCTTAGTAGGAGATGCCAGTGTTGTCCCGAATCCAGTCCAGGTAGCCAGAGACTCGGGTAAAGCCCGCCGGCTCTCCAACAGTGCAGCCAGCCCAGTGGCCAAAGGATGTGATGCCGACGAGTCGGCTGCCATCGTGTGTTACCAGTGGGCCACCGGAGTCACCGTTGCAGGTGGACTTGCCGCCGGATGTGTTAATGCAGATAGTGTTGTCGGTGATATAGCCACCGCCATATATGTTGCGACAGTCGTCATTGCTAATGATCTGTACATCGACACAGTTTAGATAGTTGTGCATGCCACTATTGTCGGAAGTGTGGCCCCAGCCAGAGGCGACAGCCCACCAGCCATTGTAGCTGTTGTAGCGATCATTGAAGCTGGGCAACTCCACCTTGTTAACCAAGTGCCAGAAGTCGACGTGCGGTGTGCGGATCAGAGCAATATCATTGTTCAACTGATCGTTTACGTGGGGATGACGGATCTGATCATTGCCACCCACCCAATGGGTGAACTGTGCCTCGTGCCGGAAACTGGCGCCATAATAAATGGTTACACCCGAACCATCATTAATGCAGTGGGCAGCGGTGATGACCCAATTGTTGCCAATGATGGAACCACCGCACCACCAACCGCCATCGAAACTCAGGCCTACAATGTAGGGCACCTTGCCCTCGTACGCCGGATAGCCATTGGTAATGCGTCCCTCAATGCTCTGCTTAGGCATATCCATTACCTTCAGCGGTTTCTTCTCGCTCGTGGGCCAAGCGTTGGCTGCGATCACAGCTAGACTCAGGAATACAAACACTTTCATTATCGAATGTTTACTCTTGTGTATTGCCAGCTCTCTTGCTGTTTTTATACCATCTCTTGACCACTGTTTTTTTATTTGTTTATTTGTGTAATCGCAGCTCATAAATTGCGAGCCTGGCTGATATGTTGGTCTCAAGTTGAATATATAATAATAATTTCATATATAATAAATAACAATATTATCTAGACAGAATCTGTCGATTTGGTGGAGCGTGACAGAATGCAAGTTTTGCCACGATCGCTTTAAATTTTGCACCAAAAATATAAAAAAAAAAAAAATTAAATGTTTCTTTATTTTTATTACAATTTAAAGGTTTAAATATCATAGATTAAATTGAATATTTATAAGATAAATATTGCATAATAATAAAGAATTAATTGAAACTTGTACTTTTATATTTGAGTATATTGCTTTTACTTGACTTTGATTGGCAGAAAATCTTGTTGTCGATTGTTTATTTATGAGTGGGTGCAAACTTAAAAGATACGATATTTAATCGAACAAAAATAAATTAAATAAATATATATGTATATAGGTAAGTGTATTTAAGCATGAGGAATAATAATATTCTATAATATAAAAAATATGTGATTTTGCTATAAAAGCTGTTGCTCGAAGTGAACGAATTCAATTGATTGCTTGACATGAAGGTAATCATTTTATTGGTTTTGGCGCTTGCCGCCGTCTCTGCGGAGATATTGGAAATGGAGCACCCCAAGGACTTTGGCAAGATCTCTAAAGTCGAGGGACGCATCACGAATGGCTATCCAGCCTATGAGGGCAAGGCACCCTACACCGTAGGCCTGAGCTTCAATAATGCCTGGTGGTGTGGTGGTTCCATCATTGCTCATGACTGGATCTTGACTGCTGCTCACTGCACCAATGGAGGTGATACTGTGACTATCTTTTATGGTGCCACATGGCGCACTAACGCCCAGTTCACCCACACTGTGGGAAGAGGAGAGTTCAGACAGAACCCCAACTGGCCCAACCAGAATGGAAATGATATCGCTCTGATCCACACACCCCACGTGGACTTCTGGAGCATGGTTAACAAGGTGGAGCTGCCCAGTTTCAATGATCGCTATAATATGTACGATGGCTGGTGGGCCGTTGCCTGCGGCTGGGGTGGCACCTACGATGGCAGCCCGCTCCCAGACTGGCTGCAGTGCGTCGATCTGCAGATCATCAGCAATGGACAGTGTTCCCAGACTTATGGCCACCAACCCGATGGTATTCTGTGCGTCTCTACTCCCAATGGCAAGTCGACTTGTGGCGGAGACTCAGGCGGTCCATTGGTGCTCCATGATGGTGGTCGCCTGGTTGGTGTCACCTCTTTCGGTAGCTCTGCCGGTTGCCAGTCTGGCGCCCCAGCTGGCTTCACTCGTGTCACTAATCAGCTGGATTGGATTCGCGACAACTCTGGTGTTGCTTACTACTAAGCTTTCACAATAAATAAAATTATCCTTTGTTAAAACTGAATCGATTTTCTTATACCCTGAACGCATTAAAAATTTGTACAAATTGTGTAATGGTTTTGTGCAAAGTATGTAACAGGCAGGAGGAAGCGTCTTCGACCCCATTAGCTACATATTTTTGACCAACAGTCGAGTTAATAAAGCCATGTGTGTCTGTAAGCAGATCAAGTTTATTTCAGTTTATCTATTTCCAATAGAAAAAAAATTTTCAATATCTAAAAGCCAATTTCAATATGTTCTGATAAGAAAATCCCTAGTTAAAATCCAAAACGTATTCTCATATTGCTTACCTTTAAATTAATATGTTTAATGGTTGGGTCCAGGGTTTCTCGTAGTCTTACATATTTTGTTATTTCATCATCATTATTTGACCAACACAATATATCTACCTTCAAAGTTTAATAAGCTCCATAGCACAGTTTCTTGATCAGCTTTATATAATTTTGATACAACCGAAATTTCAATTGAAATATATACGATTTATTCCCAAGTATTGAAGAAAAAATGTATCATATTTTATTATTATGCAGTTTATTCAAACTCTACATTTTAGAGTTTGTTCGGTTGAAAAGGCATTTAGTAAGAAACGCCGGAGTTGTCACGGATCCAGTTCAAGTAACTGGTCACACGGGTGAATCCAGCTGGTTTACCAGCCTCGCAACCCACCGCGGCAACGAAGGAGGTAACACCGACCAGTCTGCCAGTGCTGTCCAGGACCAATGGGCCGCCGGAATCACCATTGCAGGTGGAGGACCTATTGGGGGTGGCAATACAGATAACACTGGAGGAGGCAGTCTGAGAGCCATAGTAGTTCTGGCAAGTTGCAATGGACACGATGTTGAAGATCTGGTATTGCAGAACATTGGTCACACCCGAAGCGTTGTCAGAGGTCTTGCCCCAGCCGGAGGCGGTTGCCCTCTGACCTTCATAGGTGGAGTAGCTGCTGGCAATTGGGGGCAGCTTAATCTTGTTGACGTATGAACTGAAGTTAACCGCTGGAGTCCTGATCAGTGAGATATCGTTTTTCAGGGAAACAGAGTTATAGCCAGTGTGCTGTTTGAAGTTTGACCTGGACACGGTCTGGATAATCTGGGCGTTGGTGCGCTGAAGAGCACCATAGTAGATTTTCACAGACGAGGCACTGCAAAGGAACTCTTTCGATTAGAAATTGATTATGAGAAAAGTTGTGGATTTATTGCTTACCCGCTGGTGCAGTGTGCCGCGGTCAGCACCCAGGAATTGTCAATGAGGGAGCCACCACACCACCAGCTACCGCTGCTGCTGGAGAAGCTAAGTCCCAACTGGTAGGGGAACTGACCCGCATAGGCAGTCCTGCCATTGGTGATGCGACCATCAATTGTCGACTCAGCGGGCATGTCACGGGGATGCACTGGGACATCCTGTGGCATAACGCCAGCGGAGACGGTGGCAATTGCCAGGGCGAGAACTACGAGCACTTTCATGTTGGTCGGTTGTTGAGTAAGGAATGAATTTACATTGATTTCAGATACATTTTTATACCCCCATCCTTATCATTCAACAAAAATATTATCAGTGTATGCAATTATTCTTTCAAGTATCACCATTCAAAGGGAGTCTAGAAAGTGCACTATTATTTAATAGCTTTAATAGCGATTCACAAAAAAAAAGAACGAATGCGGTATCGGTCCTTAAATTGTTTAAATTGTTTTATAACATTGCTGCGATAATGCACCACATGCTTGCTTTGTTAAGACCCTTAAGTTTGGAGGGTGGTCAACGGATGTATTGCACTTGACTGCTGCCAATTGACAATTGACGGAAATTGAGTATAAATATGTCTATCCAAAGATAATTCAGCTTAACTGAACAAACATATATAAACTGCATGACAATAGCATTTACTATTAGTTACTCAAATATGATAACAACAAGGTGTATTTTGGTCTGGTCAACAAATATTCGGCGGTCTACTCATGTGTCTAGACATACCAATTGGTTATCAGTTTAGCAGTTATTTCTGTCTCAACTTGGTCTGATTTGATTCGACTGGTTTACCCTGTATTTTTATGAATGAGTTGAGCTGTATGTTTAGAGTGCGTAAGCATTACATTTATTGGCGGTAAGTCTTCGTTTGGCGCTATCAAAACTTAGGTATGCAGCGATAAGATTGTTAACTCAAGTGAATTGAACTTTTAAGTACTCGATCATCCGGCTCGATTAGATAATGCGGTAAGAAGTGGTTATAAAAATCAAAACAAGAAATATATGTTAAATATTAAAATTTAATTTATAATATTACTGCCATCAACAGCTTTAAAACGTGTACATGAAAGGTTTAACCCTTGAGTGGACTACGAAACAGATTACATTTACTGATTTCTTTACTGTTATCAAAGAAACCAATAAAACAAGCAATTCAAGTACAATTTTTTCTATAGCCTACTCAAGTAACAAATAAGAAATACTTTGTGACTAGTGCTGTAATTTAATAGATTTTATTCTTGCTCTAGAATGATAATATTGCAAGGTGCTAGATATATTATCGGTTTGTTAGTCGCTCTCCTGTCTCCTGGGAGATGCTAGAGAGATGCTTGCCCCAAAGTCAGACAAGGTAATCAATGATACGGCTGGCTATCAAAGGATATGATGCTGATGACTAAAATAAAATGGATTTAAGCAAGTTATAATTCTTGACAGGACATTGTAGACTAAGAAGTCATCTAACTAAACTTGGTGTAATCAGTAGCGACTTCTGTCAATTTCGTGATAGTGAGAAAGAAAAAACCCTCAACCTGACGGAAGAGCTATATATTCAGAAGGAGACACTATAGGCCTCACAGGTTGCCCATTGGCTACTTGAAAGCTTTCTGCAAATGTATTTCAATATACTCGTACATAAATTTAATAAAATCAAATAGTCGGCACTTATCATTTGTTTCTTGTAAATACTTTAAATATAAGTTGGGTTCATTTTCATTAAAAGATAATGATTAAAAGGAAGTTATAAATTTTTATTTGGTTTTGAGAATTGCAGAATAGAATAGATTTTATTAAATCAATTGTTAGATAACAAGAGAGAACGTTGCAGTCGGGCGTAACCGACTGCTAAATACGCTGATACCAATAAATCATACCATCTGATAACAGGTGCCACAGAACATGGTGGGTGCAGTCATACCGATCTTTGAAAGAGGTTTTTAATAATATATCCTCCAAGTTTTCGGGAGTGGGCGCAGCTGTGGGTGTGGCCATACGTTTTCTTATCGATTCTTAAGGTTAAGGACACCGCCAACACCCCCAACCAAAGTATTCCCTTAAGAGTTTATTTTAAAATTTCCCGAAGTTCCTGTTGCCAAATTGAGACACCCCTAAGACATAACAGACATAATGGATTCACTTGCAAATATGTATACAGTGTTTATTTTGCTAGATATAAGATGGGACAGTTTATTAGTAAGCGATGCCAGTGTGTTGGTTGATCCAGTCCAAGTGGTAGGTGACACGTTGGAATCCAGATGGATGACCTGATTGGCAGCCGGCACTAGACACAAAGTTGGTAACGCCAATCAATTTGTTGCTGTCATGTGTAACCAGGGGGCCACCAGAGTCTCCACCGCAGGTGGACTTGCCATCGGGAGTTCTCACACAGAGGATGTTCTCGCCGACAGTACCCGAACCGTAAGTCTGGACGCACTCGGAGTTGTGCATGACCTGGAGATCGACGCACTGCAGCCAGTCGGGCAGAGGGGAGCCATCATAGGTGCCACCCCAGCCGCAGGCAACGGCCCAGTGTCCGTTGTAGTCATTGTAGCGATCATTGAAGCTGGGCAACTCCACCTTGTTGACCTGCTGCCAGAAGTCTACATGTGGAATGCGGATCAGAGAGATGTCGGCGGCATGGTGGTTGATCATATCGTTCCGGTGTACCCAGTGGGTGAACACGGCATTGGTGCGCCAGGTGGCCCCAAAGTAAATAGTCGCAAACTCAGCACTTCCCGTGCAGTGCTCGGCAGTCAGGATCCAGTTGTGTCCAATGATGGAACCACCACACCACCAGGCATTATTTAAGAGCAGGCCCACGGTGTAGGGTGCCTTGCCCTCGTAGGCTGGATAGCCATTCGTGATGCGGCCCTCGATCTTACTCGCCTTCACATCCTTGGGATGCACGACTTCCTCGAATGCCGATGCAGAGGCAACAGCCAGAGCTAGAATCGTTAGGAACACTTTCATGTTGCAGATACAACTTGTGCTGGACTAAGTTTCGAGTCAATCTTTTATACTTGCGAAATTGCGATTTGGCCAAGTCTTATCGTGTAGTTGAAGGGATCATAAATATTCCTTCAGTTCCATAAAACTCTTGGAGATAATTTTTATTTAGGGCACAATAATCTTCAGCACATTTTAATATACAAGTGTATTTAAAGTAGGCCTTATCAGAGCCATTTAATTGACCAGTTAATATTAATAAATGGCTTTATTTATCAAGTATTTTCTCTATGGAATTTACTATTATGCACTATATTTAAATGTTGTTCTGACTTTATCATTTATTCCGTAAGCTGTTTGTTTACTGTTTGTTTCTTTATTACCCTCAATTTTCTAGTGCTGCACATTGGTCTTTGATATTTCGAACACTTCTTCAAATAAATCTCAATTCATTCCCTGTTATTTGTTTTTCTAGCATTAATAATGCGAGGGCAAAGCTATATTTATTCTCATCAGTCTTATCATTCTTATCATCGATGCAGTTTTTTTTAAAGGAATATTTACGATCTACTCTTGTAATACTTTTGTTGAAGCTGAAGCGTATAAAAGGCAATTCGAAATGATTGCAAAATTAAGAAGTGCTCAAAACATGAAACTGTTCATAGCTTGTTTGGCTTTGGCCATTGCTGCCACCTCAGCAGCTCCTAGTGCAACCATTATGCATCCCATGGATCTGCCAAAGACCAGCAACCAGATCGAGGGGCGCATTACCAACGGAGTTAACGCCTATGAGGGTCAAGCACCCTGGACTGTGGGTCTGAGCATCAATGTGCCTGGTGGCACCACGTTTTGCGGTGGTTCCATCATCGGACACAACTGGGTCCTGACTGCCGAGCACTGCACTGGTAGCGCCGAATCCATCACTGTTCATTTTGGAGCCACCTGGCGCACCAACTCCGTGTTCACCCACTGGGTTACCCGGAACGATATCATCAATCACGAAGCCGCAGACATCTCTCTGATCCGCATCCCCCATGTGGACTTCTGGCACCAGGTCAACAAGGTGGAGCTGCCCAGCTTCAACGAGCGCTATAATGATTACAATGGCTATTGGACCTTTGCCTGCGGCTGGGGAAAATTTCATGACAACAGTGGCCTGCCCGATTGGATGCAGTGCGTCGATCTCCAGGTCATGCACAACTCCGAGTGCGCCCAGACTTACGGTTGGGGTACTGTCGGCGATCACATCCTCTGTGTGAGGACACCCGAAGGCAAGTCCACGTGCAGCGGTGACTCTGGTGGCCCACTGGTTATACACGAAGGCAAGAAACTGGTCGGTGTTACCAACTGGGTGTCTAGTGCCGGCTGCCAATCAGGCCATCCATCTGGATTCCAGCGTGTCACCTATCACTTGGACTGGATCCAGCACCACACTGGCATCGCATACTACTGAGCCATAAATTGACAATGTTTTGAAAATTCAAATAAATTGCATGCAGAATATAGAAATTTCCGTAGCACTTTTAATCAAGGTGTATCATCTAAACTGATTACAGCTTAGTGATCTCAAGCGGAAAGTAATCAAATTTCCAGCACTTAATTCATTTGATGATTTTGATGCTCATGTCAAATTTGGAGCATACTTGTTGGACCTATTGATGGCTAAAAGTTGTGGACTTTTATATTTTGATGCATACTTTTTAGCAGTAGGCTCAAGCAACCTACTCAATTTAAAATGCAAAAAGGAAATGCTTTGGCTGTATTTACATATATTTATTATTATTATTAAATACAGAAAGATTGCGGTTATAAACTGAATAATTAAGCTTAAGAGGCTGACAATATGAATTAGTAAGACCTTGAATATTTGTCAACTTTGCTTATGTTGAACCGACTTTGCAGTTCGATTACATTTGCTTGAACATGGTCCTCTAGACTTATATTATATTAAAATTTAATTGATTTTGATGCTATAGTTCTACTGCACAAAAACGGTTTCATTTCCAAAACTTTCTTAAAACTGAATCCATTTTTGTAGCTTATCTTCAATATAGATTAGTTCTTCATACTTTTAATTTATTTTCCGGGCCTTTTTCTTTTTGGCAAATTTTCTATATTTGTTATCAGTCAAATAATAGAACAATATTCAATAATTCAACTGTATTCTATAAATTTCATTAAAACGATCATTTCTATCAAAAAAAGTTTTTAGTGCAGTTTTATTAGGTATGTTGTCGTTTATTTTGAAAGTGCATTTAGTAGGAGACACCGGAGTTGTCACGGATCCAGTCCAAGTAGCTGGTCACACGGGTGAATCCAGACGGTTCACCAGCCTCGCAACCAATCGCGGCAACGAATGAGGTAACACCGACCAGTCTGCCAGTGCTGTCCAGGACCAATGGACCGCCGGAATCACCATTGCAGGTGGAGGACTTATTGGGGGTGGCAATGCAGATGACCTTTGAGGTGACAGTCAGGCTGCCATAGTACTTCTGGCAATCGGCAACAGACACAATATCGAAGATCTGGTACTGCAGAACATTGGTCACACCCGAAGCGTTGTCAGAGATCTTGCCCCAGCCGGAGGCGGTTGCCCTCTGGCCTTCATAGGTGGAGTAGCTGCTGGCAATTGGGGGCAGCATAATCTTGTTGACGTACGCGGTGAAGGTAACTGCTGGAGTCTTGATCAGTGAGATATCGTTTCTCAGCAAAACGGAGTTGTAGCCGGAGTGCTGTATGAAGTTTGAGCTGGACACGGTCTGGGTAAGCTTGGCGTTGGTGCGCTGAAGAGCACCATAGTAGATTTTCACAGAGGAGGCACTGCAAAGGAACTCGTTCGATTAGAAATGGACTATGAGGAAAGTTGTGGATTTATTGCTTACCCGCTGGTGCAGTGAGCTGCGGTCAGCACATAAGAATTGTCAATGAGGGAGCCACCACACCACCAGCTACCGCTGCTGCTGGAGAAGCTAAGTCCCAACTGGTATGGGAACTGACCTTCAGAAGCAGTCCTGCCATTGGTGATGCGACCATCAATTGTCGACTCAACGGGCATGTCACGGGGATGCACAGGGACATCATGTGGCATAACGCCAGCGGAGACGGTGGCAATTGCCAGGGCGAGGACTACGAGCACTTTCATGTTTATCGTTTGCTGAGTAACGAATTATTTTGCAGTGACAATAGATGCGGTTTATATACTTATTCGATTGCTGCCATCCTTATCAGCGAGTGAAGACTTTTCTGTTATCAGTGGAAGCTTTTACGATTATTTTTTTAAGAGTCAGTGGTCTATGGGGCTCTTCATTGATTAGTTGGTTAAAATTAACTTCTGTATCTATCCTTATCATTTAATTATACTCTGATAACGAAGGCAGAAGAGTATTTGGGATTTGTGCATTGTCCGTCATGCTCTGTCTGTCTGTATGTTTCCTGCGGCCGTGGCCTGTTGCAATCCAATTAAGCCGTTGGACTTGATTTGGGACAACTCTGGTGTAGGCAACCACTAAACTTTCGCAGCAAATACGATTATTGTGTCAAGATTGAACCGATTTTTATAAACTTAATCATGGTCTCACCTCTAGATAAATACTACATTCAAAGTTGGAAGTGCGATCCTAGCTCGAAATTCATGCCAATTGTGGGTAGAGTCTCAAATGTGTTGCTCTTGTTGCTTCTTTGCTTATTTATTATTCTCGACAGCTCTAGACGACTTCCTCTGCTGAATAGTTAAGACTTAGTTTGATAATTCTAAGCAAGGCTAACTGACTGTCATGAAGTATAATCGCCTTTCTTTTACAATTAGACCCTCAAAAAGTTGCGGTCAAAACTTGATCGTCTTTATATAATATTGATATATCTCCAAGTACGTGTGCCCAAGTACTCAAATGCAGAGAAAATGTTACATATTTTTATATAAAGCTCTGTTTATTTAAACTACACTTTTGTTTATGTTCGGTTGAAAGTGCATTTAGTAGGATACACCGGAGTTGTCACGGATCCAGTCCAAGTAGCTGGTCACACGGGTGAATCCAGATGGTTTACCAGCCTCGCAACCAACCGCGGCAACGAAGGAGGTAACACCGACCAATCTGCCAGTGCTGTCCAGGACCAATGGGCCGCCGGAATCACCACTGCAGGTGGAGGACTTATTGGGGGTGGCAATACAGATAACACTGGAGGAGGCAGTCTGAGAGCCATAGTAGCTCTGGCAAGTGGCAACAGATACAATATCGAAGATCTGGTACTGCAGAACATTGGTCACACCCGAAGCGTTGTCAGAGATCTTGCCCCAGCCGGAGGCGGTTGCCCTCTGGCCTTCATAGGTGGAGTAGCTGCTGGCAATTGGGGGCAGCATAATCTTGTTGACGTACGCGGTGAAGGTAACTGCTGGAGTCTTGATCAGTGAGATATCGTTTTTCAGGGTAACAGAGTTATAGCCAGTGTGCTGTTTGAAGTTTGAGCTGGACACGGTCTGGGTAAGCTTGGCGTTGGTGCGCTGAAGAGCACCATAGTAGATTTTCACAGACGAGGCACTGCAAAGGAACTCGTTCGATTAGAAATGGACTATGAGGAAAGTTGTGGATTTATTGCTTACCCGCTGGTGCAGTGAGCTGCGGTCAGCACATAAGAATTGTCAATGAGGGAGCCACCACACCACCAGCTACCGCTGCTGCTGGAGAAGCTAAGTCCCAACTGGTATGGGAACTGACCTTCAGAAGCAGTCCTGCCATTGGTGATGCGACCATCAATTGTCGACTCAGCAGGCATGTCACGGGGATGCACTGCGACATCCTGTGGCATAACGCCAGCGGAGACGGTGGCAATTGCCAGGGCGAGAACTACGAGCACTTTCATGTTTATCGTTTGTTGAGTAACGAATGATTTTGCACTGATCACAGCTCCATTTTATATGCTCTCACATCCTTATCGATCAGCGAAAAGTTCTGTTATCATTGGAAGCTTTTACGATTATAGATCTAAGAGTGAGAGATCATTGATATTCCAATGATTACACTCATTTTAAAAAGTATTAATAGTCATTTGACTGAAAAAAAGTGATACCTATCCATATCGCTTTATTTGTTGCTGTGTTTTCAATAACAATTTTGAGATTATTAAGCACGAGCGTGCAATTAACTGACTGCGGGCGTACGACTCTGAAGTGATTCAAAATGATTTCTATGTATGACGGCAATTGGACTTAAAGATTTCTATCAGCCCGATGAAAAGTCGCACATAGCATTTCGAAAGATAGGCTATTATTATAGCTAAGAGATATTTTCTTATCTCGTATTTTTCCCGTAAATTAATATATTTTTGCAATAAAAATAATTAAAAATCGAATTAAATGGTTGATAAATATTTTAATTATTTTTGATTTAATTTAATTTTTTTTTTTACCGTTAAACTGCGTTTCAAAATAAAATCGATGATAAATGGTTTGATAAATATTATGTTTATAAAATAAGTTTTCCAGCTACTAGCTAGATCTGAGTTGATATTTTTAGGTGAATATTCATAAATCAGGTGTATGAAAAAAATTCTAAATAAATTCTAAAAATACAAAATACAAAATTATCATTTGTATTGATTAAATTGAATAAATGAAATGTTAAATATTACTATTATTATTATGTATCAATCTCTTATCTATCTTGAAAGTGTTAACAAAACTGATACCACTAATTTTTTGGATTATTTTTGATTAAAATTTGGAAACTCCGTCAGCAAATATTCTTATCTGCTTTTCTTATCATTGATAAATAAAATGACATCATGAAAATAAACCCAAAGGGATTTTCCCATCTCTTGAACTTTCGCTGTCTGCTCGATATGATGTGCTTGAAAGGTGCTTGAAATAATAATAAAAAATAAACAAGAACTTTTTATTCATATTGATTAAAATTTAACTGATTGTGTTAGCCTTAAATGTGATGTCAAGTGCGGGCGATTAGCTCAATCAGGCTCTGTTGTCACAAAAAATGTTGCCAACTTATTCTAGAAAAGTAGACGCCTGGGCGCTGTGCATTTTGAATCTGGAAAATTGAAATCAAATCGCTTTACGTGCTAAGCATGCAAACAAATCAACTGGGAGACGATTCTGGGGAGATGGTTGAAAAGCTGGTAAGCTGAACATTAGCACATAAAAAGAATTCATTGCCTGTGCTGCTGACACATGTAGTTGTAGAATATCTGTCTGGGTCATAAATGCTGAGCACACACAGGCCACTGGATACTCGGCACTGGACGTGTGCGTGAGTTGCCTAAATTCAAATAGTTTACGGCCATGTGACACTTGTGTCTTGTATTTGTTTGGGTCAACAGCGCCACAGATTGGCTTACTGACTCTGTCGCGCTCTATCCCAACTTTCTCAAGCTTAACTGCTGGTATTTTGGCTTATTAGATCATTATTGTGTGCGTTTTTGAGTTGAAATTTAACGCACTTTGTTTGCATTTATATTTAGCGCTTTTTATGACTGTGTTTTTTGCTGCTTTCTGATAGCAGAGCAGAGCTTGATTTTTGTTGTTGTTGTTTATGATGCTGCCCTTTCTTATGCTTTGTTTGCGGAACAAAAGAAACTAATTTTCATTGAAATATTTGCCTTTATTATGGCTGGAAGCTTAAAGAAGCCCAGTGGCCCATCAATTGCTGAGCGTCACTTTAAATTGCCCGTTGAGCATTTGTTATATTACGTATACGTAATGCGCTTACTACTTACACACTCACTCAGGCACACACACACTATCACACACACAGGCACAAACACACACGCTTATTAGACGCATATCCTGCAGCTCTCTTACAACAATGCTCAGCCCGCAGCTCAAGTATCCTTGCCATCGTAGTATTTGATATATGTAGGAGTATCTGTGTGTATGTTGTACTCCCAGCCGGCATTTGAGAAGTGTCCCCCAGCCGAGCTCCTCTGACGACGACAAACAAGATTGCAGCAATAAAATTTCGACAAGTGAACAACAAATGATAAACGAAGCAACACACGATAAAAAGCAGTCCAAGAGAGTCCAAGCTCCAAGTCAAAGGCGCACTCCAAATGCTGTTGCCTGCCCCAAGTAGTAACAACAACAAAAGCAGGCATCTAATGTGAGTCGCATCGATTACGCTGCTGCTACCCAGGACAGAACATTCCCAGGGCTAACTGTCTGAGTGTGTTTGCTGGCGATGTTTTTTTGGCTGCTTTTTCATTACATTTATTTGCCGAGGCCATTGTTGCTGTTGTTGTTGTTGCTGCTGGCAGATATATAGAAAACTTTGCACAGTTGCGTTAAATTGTCATGAAATTGTGGTCAGGCAGCTGCCGGTTGCCTTGTTGGTCCAAAATTAATGACAACTGTCTGGCGCAGCTGACCCGTCCGGCATTCGTTGATGACTTATCACAATGTCCGCCACTTGAATGGCTAGATTCCATTTCCATTTCCGGCTATAATTCAAAATTGTGAGACGCCTTCTTCAGCTTGTCAACGGCAGCTCCACCTCATTAATCATTACGTGTGCGTACTTCGGGTCGTATGAGTAATGCATTTGTCAACCTACATGAGTAGCTGATGTTGCCTCAGGCGATTGCCCATCTTGTAACTGGGCGCAAATGCATTTTTAAAACTTTTCAACAGCAATTTGTTGTCTCGCAAACATATTCACAACTACTTACACACACCCACACACACACAGACACACACGAGTTGTGCATGTGTATGCATTTGTCCCTGAGCTTGTGCAACTGGTCAAAGTTTGTGTTGCTTGCAATTCTCAACTCGGTTTTTAATGCGCCCCTTCCCCTTATTGAAAAAGTTTTATTGGCACAGCTGCTTTGGCTCGACGCGATTACTTGAGCTCCATTTCTATCAATAGTTGATGCTGTCAATAAATTTGAACACAGGGTGCGTCTCAGTCATAAGCTCCTTATTTCCTCGCAACAAAATCTCAGAGTGGTTTGGATTTTATAGCTAATGTCATTGATTCTCAAATTTTACAATCAAATGGAGATTAAAGGAATCCCAATCGAAGACAAGGTAGCGAGATGCTTCTCTATTCGCTTCTTACTTTCTTTTATTCTCTCTTTGCTTATTTTTTACTTTCTTATCTCTCTTTCTTACTACGCATTCTTCTTGCTTTCTTTCTGCTGAAGAGACAAGCAACTGCCGACATTTTGTCTTCTCTCTTCACTTTTGTTCTCTATTTTCTCACTTCTCGCTTCACTTCTAACTATGCTTAAAGTATAGCATTTCTTGTATTTTGCGAAGCAAACATCTCGCAAACATTGATTTCTCGCTCTGCCTCACTCAATTCTTCTCTGTGCAATTTGGACCTTGCCAAGTTACACATACATTCTTTCAGTTATCGCTCCGCTGGTGTGCAATAAAGTGGCTCCGAATAGCTGCCAATATTTTGACACAAATCCGCTGCACAGAGACGACAAACACAAGCTGGCATTATATTTTATGGGCAGGGATCAAACTATGTAATATTCCATATATATGCACTTGCTGTGCCTTGGCATAGCAAATATTTGAGAGAACTCACGACAAACAGCAATTTCATTTTTAGCCTTTTCATTCGGTATCAATAAGCTGACTCTTTGCATATGAAAAAGTTCTCGTCGTATAAATATAAATATAAATATATGTATATAAATATATATATATATATAAATTTCAGGCATTCAAACAAATCCCTTTTGGCTGCCGTTATTCCTTTCCTTTTTGGTTCTGGTTGTTTTTTTCTTTTTCTTTTTTGTATTTATTTTATTGTGCTGGAGCTTTTTGTCTACGCGACAATTGGATTTTCGGAAGTGCCTTGCGCCGTATAGCAATGGAATATTGAAGGATCTGCTGGCATCGATTTCCAGGCGAAATAGCAAGACAAATACGTGTCCCTGTCTGAGACACTGCTCAGCTTATTGGCGCATGCAAAATGATTGCGCCGGCGGAGCGTATCAATGGCTCCGATTGTGCTTTTGCTGCCAGCTTTCGGCTTCTTTCTTTTTGGCCAAATATCAAAATTGCATTTTTTTTGCTGTCTAGTTTGATTTCCTTTCCTTTTGTGCTTTCAAATGCTATCAGACTGCCGTGCAAATAGTTAATATTAAATATATGTTCTTCCTATTTTTATACATATACAAAACACATAGTATGACTTTATTAAGCGACTGCATTTATTATGCACAAAAGGCATGTATATTTTTTTGTTGGTTTAAATATTACGAGTAAAGGCTGCTATAACTACTCATCAAATTTTAGCATGCGAATGTAAATATGCAAACATACACAGTTTGGCAGCTGCGTCGGGGCCAAAATGCTTTATGGCTTATGAACATTTTTTGTTTGGCAATATTTCTCTGGCTTGTCGTGTGTTTGCTTTTGTTGCAATTTCGGTTTATTGTTTTCTATATATTTTTCTGCTTGAACGCACTAAAAGCTACTCGACTGCCAGTCAACCAAACAGTACCTTGCATACCTACTTTATCCTACTCCCCGCCCGCGACATACATCGCCCGCATCCGTTTTCATCTCCAGTTTTGCTTTGCAAGGCATTTGTTTGCTTTATGTCTTTATTTTGAGCCAGGCCAGAAGAGTCGAGAGCGAACATGTATTATTGTTATACTCTGTCCAAAAGGGTATTCAAGGCAAAAAAAGGAAAACATATTTCTTTATAAGTATGATAAGAAACATATCACTTTGGGCTGCACATTAGACAAGATTAAGTAACATTTTTTACGAACTAGATGTTTATTTTGCTATGAAAACTTAACCTGAATTAATTTGCATTACCTTACATATATATATTTCAAAGATCGCTTGACAAGTTGTTAGATTTATGGTTTCGAAAATCTTGTGATCTTTTAATATTTGATTTGTTTTTGTTCAATAAACCTCTTTATTAAATATTGCAATATATAGCACAGCTTCCATAGTGTATTTAATATTCTTTGCTGTCAAAGAATACTTTGTTACTTGTTTCTGTTGTTGTTTGTTTTGCTTTCTTTTTTGTTGTTGTTGAATGATGACTGCCATTCAACTGGGTAATGGTATTGCATATGAGTGTGAGAGTGTGTCTTTGTTGAGCGGCTTTCCATATGGATGTCTGCGTATATGCTATTTGTGTGCCTTCAACTTTATACACACTCTCTGTTAAGTGGTAATTTTGGAATATGGCCATCGAAAATGTTTCAATTATTGGACAAGTTTTGCCCGATTTAATATAAGCAGCAAGTTTATGTATTAACATTTGGCTTATCATTGAGGTCCTTAGTGCATTCACTTTTGCTGTCAATCAATTGTCACAAACACGAAACAAAAAGCAAGGAAGCAGAACATGACGAGACTTTGGGCCAAAGCTACAAAAAATCACAAACAAAAACAAGTAGAAGCAATGGCAATGCGAGATGAATTAACTGTGAGGCTAGAGTTTTACATAGTAGACTACGAAATGCTCTATGTTTGTTTTACGGACGCAGACTAAGATTAATAATGATTTTCCTAAAAATGGTAAAGATTCTCGCCTATAATTAACTGCTAGCGCAGCAATTGTTGTCTTTGCCTGTGGGGCAAAGTAAAAGGCAAAAGCCAAATATCCAAAAAGACCAACAAGTATTACCACTCAATCAGGAACAACACAACGACCGAAGGCAACAACAAAAGTCTTTGTCTTTGCAGCGAACTTTGCCGTCAAGTCATTGTTGTAGAAGTTGAAGTGGTTCACAGCATGGACATGAGCGCAGAGAGAGAGTGATGTGGTGAGTGGGGGGGAGGCATGACAGTGGCTGCCAGGCATCCACCCCGGCCGCAGACAAGTCAAGCCAAAGTGTTGTTTGGATTTCATTATACAATTATCTTGTTACCAGAAATAATGGTGTCGAGCCGGGCAACATGCCAGAAACATTCAATGAGAGCGCCTGATGTGCCAGATGCCTCACCGCTATGTGGGTGTCACACACACATGTGTGTGTGGCAGTGCCGGAAGCTTGGCGCGTTGTTGGCAAAAACAGGAAGTCATTAGCCCAAAAAAAATATATATATATACACTGTGCAATGGGAATGGTGGCTCGAAGTCAGAATAATGCGATAAATAAATGAAAATGTTTGAGTTAAATGAATTAAGTGTGCGATACGCTAAGCGTGTGAGTGTGAGAGTGCATGTGTGTGTGTGTGTGTGTATGCCAGGCTAAGGACTTTGTTAGAAACACTTTCTGTGTTGGCTGTCAGCGCAAGTGACAGAGCATTAAATATCCTACACACAACTTGTGGGTAAGTGCTCTTGCCTAAGTGTGGCTCTCCCTCTCTCTCTCTCTCTCTACATACTCATTTCCTCTCGCTCACACTGTTAGTCTCTTTTTATGCTCGTAATTGTGTGGTAGTTAATTATCCGAACATCACTCAATGTGTCACAGACAAAAAGTCGTGCAGATTGTGTGCAGATTTTCGAGTTCAGATCAAGCGACAGATAAACTTACTAGTTGTGGTCAGCCTCTCAATAGTTGCTGTGACTTGTTTCACTTAGTCATTGTCGTTGATTAATCATCGAGCCAAGTTGCTTTATGATAATATGTGAGTGTTGTTGTTCCAGCTACAGTTGCCATTTACGCTGTCTCAATACCATTATCATAATCATTATGGAAATTCACATAAGGACTGAAGAGTAGACAGTGCGGTAGAGGCAATTTATTCCTGAAAGTCGATGAGTAAGCTAAATGAGATGTTAGACTTTACAAAATTACTTGAATCTAAAGGCAAGGCTAGCTTAAAAGTACACAAGTTGGTTAACTAATATGTTCACTGCTTGCTTTTCTGATATTTTCAAAATAAATAAAACCAAATCCATATTTAACCTGCCACTGAGGACGATTATAAGTTCTCACTTGTATGTGAAAGGTGTGCATGTGTGTGTGTGTGCCAAAATTTGCTGTCCTTGCAAATTTCATCTCGCTTCCTAACACATACACATATAAGCAAAAAGGTTTTTTTTTTTTTTTTGGCTGGTGCTCCACTTAATTAATTATGTAGCCGACGAGTTGGCCAACCAAAAATCGTTAATTAACTTGATTGCTTTGAATCGTCTGCGATTTATTAGCCCACATTACATTGACTCCTCGGTCAAAAAGTTTTCATATGTGTGTGGGAGTGTGTATGTGTGTGTGACTGGGTATAATTGATGAGCTGCTTCTTTGTTAATTGATTTTGCTGTGTGGGAAACAACTTTATAACGAAGCCAAATTGGTTTTATTAGCTGGCTAGCAAAATAACCAAATAATTGATTCGATTCGATAGTTGACAACAATTTTGCAGTTCGATTTTATGGGTCAAAGTGCTGACCCTAATACTCAGGTGACACGGCCTAACATGCCACTGCATAGATAAATTCAATTCTGGTTGCGCTGTCCAAAGACCGTAAAACCGGGCTAAAATATTATGTGCAAGGCAAACTTGATCTGACCAAAATGGCCAAAGAAGCTGTCAGGAGAAATATGATATGAATCTTATTCAATGGAGCGACAGCCAAGTTTTGTGGGCCAAGATGAAATCCAAAAGAAAATGGGAAAATTTGCAACTAAATTTGCGACTGTGTCTGCGAATTTGAATTTAAACTAAAAACTTTTGCAATAAACGCTCGCAGCTCATACGACATATGTGCAACCAATTCAGATTGTCATATAAACTTGGCTTTGACATTCTAACTAACTTTATATGCATATATGTATAAAAAAAAACTACGCTATGCATATAGTAACTTTTTTGGGCAAGTGGGTGATATTTTGTCATATCTAAGCCACAAAAATATGAATGCAACTTTTTGCTCCTGTCATAAATTTGCGCAATGCAAACATTTATCAGCATGACTGGACCCGCAGCTAGTTAGCAGCAGTACTCTAGCAAACACTCCAGCACTTGATATTTAAAACCATTTCCCCAACTCGACTAGTTTTCACCCAGTTTTCCGTGCTCGTAAACTAAGCAGCTCCTGCAACTCCTTAATCATTTGGACTGGCGTAGCCAATTTAAAAGTCGATACAAAACACATACGAATCTCAAGGCAAAATTTAAATAATGTGATGATTTTCTAAGAATAAACTACATATATATATTATATATATTCTAAAATGTATGTATTGGTCTAACGAAATTATCAAAATATATATATGTATATATATATATATATATATGTGGATATTCTTAACGAAATTATCAAAAAGACTTGTGATTATTTATTCATCATATTACCGCGTTTTCTCAACACGAGCAAGCTCGAAATAAAATGTTTACTTTTGGACATTGTTGAGTACTCATCTGCTCTATGTGCAAACCCATTCGGAAGTGTTGCTCTAAAGCAAATGTGGAGGTTTCCGGGCGTAAGCGTGTGTGTGTTTGTGTGTGTGTGTGTGTATGCGAGTGCATTTTGGGCCACTTCATTGTTGGACAGTGAATATGCAAAGATTCATGTGCCATGAGTATGCCATGTGTGAATGAAATGGTTTAAATTTAAATTTTTTATTACGCGTCCTTTACGGCACAAGTATATCTAACTTCCGAGCTCTTCTTTCAAATTTGCTGTGCAATTTTCCAGCTCAATGGGAAAACTTTGCGTACAAAATGTTGAAAAAATAAAACCGTCATAAAAGAAAACACAGCAGAAAAAAAGAATAAAACTTTCGCCATTATTTAAATGCGTTGTAATAATTTAAATGTTGACATATTGTCAGCCAGCCACGCCCACCCAACAGCGCCCACTTTCACTTGCTACCAACTTTTCGTGCTTGTTATTATTATTGTTGTTTTTCTTGCGTTCTTTTTTTCTTTTATTGTGTCGCCGCGTAAATTTAATGAATTTTAATGAAAACTTATGTGCGCGTTGGTTGTAGCAGCTGCTGTCACGCCCCCAGTCGCCCCATTTGCATGCCCCAAACACTTGCAATTGTCGCTTAATGTCAATTTAAACTTTTGATGCAAGCGTCGCCATTTTGTTGCCCATTGGAATTAATTTGCTTGAGTGTGTATGTGCGAGGGGTACAACAAATAAGCGAAATATTGTTTAGAAACTTTTATTGTTTATTTGTGAAAGTTTGTGATGATCAGTAGGTGTGGGACTTATGTTCAGTCTAGCTAAAGATGAAAACTTCGGCATTGTTGAGTGTATCTTAGATAAGTCCGAAAACAATGGCTTATCTTCTAAACTAGAAACCATCCATTAATATATATCACAATTAAAAGAGATCATACTTTAAAACTTGAAAAGTAGATCTGCTTTCCAAAGGCTTGCTATACTTTCTAAAAGATAATAGAGCAGAATTCTATTGTTGTTTACTAATGTTTTATAGGAAGGATTAATAAGAAACAGTCAATACATTTATGCTTTTCTTTTTTTATTTGTGCAAATTGGAAGTTCCTGATGTTTAAAAGGAGATGCCAGTGTTGGACTTGATCCAGGGCAAGAAGCTGGTAATACGGGTGAAGGCTGCTGGGTAGCCCTTCTCGCAGCCGGCGGCAGCTCCGAAGGAGGTCAGACCAACCTGGATTTTGCTGCTGGTGAGTACCAATGGGCCGCCAGAGTCACCCTGGCAGGTTGACTGTCCACTGGGGGTAGCAACGCAGATGTTGCCTGCGGTAACGGTGGAGCCATAGGTCTTAGCGCACACACTGTTGGCAATAACCTTCAGATAGACGTACATAAGATTGCTGGAAACAGCGGTAGCGGAGTCGGTGGTACGACCCCAGCCGGAAGCGACGACCTCAGAGTTCTCATAGGTTGAGTAGGAGCCGGACTGGGCTGGCAGAGCGACAACCTGGATTTTGCTGGTGAAAGCAACAGCTGGGATCTGGATCAGGGAGATGTCGTTTATCAAGGTCTTGGAATTATAGCCGGAGTGAACGATGATGCCGGATTTCTGGACGACGTGAGAAACCTCGGGCGAGGTGCGGACGGTGGCGCCCAGATAAACGGTGACAGACACAACACTGCAAAATAAGCCACATAAAGAGTCACAAATGGAGGAGTTCCAAACAATTTACGAAGAACTTACCTCTCGGTACAGTGAGCAGCGGTCAGAACCCATTTGTTGGAAATCAGAGAGCCACCGCACCAAGCACTACTTAAAGCGCTCAACTTCAAGGATAGACCGACCTGGTAGGGGAACTGGCCAACAGCCGCTTTCTGTCCTCCGGTGATGCGACCTTCAATATCGTCCTGCACGGGCATCTCGCGATTGCGAAGCACCAGCTGTGGTTCGGGGAAAGCCGATGCGGCCACCGCCAGAGCAAGAATGATCAGGAACTTCATGTTTAGTCTTAGTTTAGAACTCAACTAGTTGTCTGCCCACCACACTGCCATTTATATAGCAAAAAAAAGCGTGCCGGTCAAGATTGGATAGTTTCGTTTCAGGTGTTAAGCTGTCCCTAGATAAGATAGTATGTACGACGACATATTTGGCGTAGTCTTATCTAAACACAGGCCAAACAATTTTTGGATCACTTCTTTTTTGGGCTAGCTGATTAGCTTAGCCGATATCGGTTATTGGCACGCAGCTGCTGCTCATCAGGTTTTCAATTATTTAAATACTTAAATTATATTATTGAGAACTAATCTGCGATCTCATCGACTGGGTTTTTCTATTTGTTTGTCGAGCGCAACGCAAGTTAGCCCGCTACTACTTCAATGCAACTAATTCGATTAGCTAATGAAAAAAAAATAAATAAAATAAGTATCATTTATTTTGTTATTGACATGTGACTTGAGTTTTTTTTCTTTCAGTATACATTTTCCTTGTTGAAATTTGTATAACTTTTTGGTTATCAGTTATATAATAATACATAACTATAATACATATCAAGATATTTGGCTGGTTGATACAAATATGAGAGCAAAGACCCGAGTTTAACGATTCTATCGAGAACGGCTCAAGTTATAATGGCCACTTTTGGTAAAAATTTCCGGGAAATAGTGACATATTTTGAATAAACTGAGCTTTAAACTCTGTTGTTTTAAGTAATAAACTATCAATATGACTTATAATTTATAATAACTTTGATTATAAACCTGAATTTCCCAAAAACCCGTTTGCCATTTACAGCCTTACACAGCGACTGATCTGTCCTGTATTAAATGTATTTAATGCTGAAGACCTTTATCTAAATTATGATTGTTCAAATATATATGATCAATAAAATATTAACAAATATAGACGTACATGTTGCACGTGCAGTGGGCGGCAAAAGGTCAACTTAATCAGAGTCGCAGTCGGACTGGGTAATTTTGCCATTTAGTAAACCGACTCAAGAGAAGAGAAGAGTCTTCGAAATAAAAATATTCAATGTACACTTAAATACCCCTCAGCACCGCTAAGCTGACCACAAAAGTTGTTTGGTCATTTTGTGTATTTATCAATCCTTAGTCGCGTCCGATTGCGTACGCTGACTCTTTGAGTGGATTTTTGAAGGGGTTGCATAAAGTGGTTAGCGGCTTGGGTTTGGGTTGGGTTGGGCTCTGGCCATTGGAGCTCATACAAAAACGAACGTCCGCAGATCTGCGGTTAATTGGCAATTCAAAAATGGTCAATTAAAGGCGATTAGCAAACGTGCAGCCAGCAAAAAAATGTATATTAAAATAACAGAAAAAGAAAATTGCAACTTTAACTGCGATTCATCAGAAATAAGTTCGATCGATGATTGTTTTGTTTTATGTATTTGCCAATTTTTATGGCAACTGTTATTCTGTTTGTGTTTTGTTGCAATTTTTATTGTTATTTATAGCCAACAATTTCCATTTACGAAGCAAGGGTCCATAAAATGACACCCAATGGCAAACCAGCAAAAGTAAAACTCGTTTCAGACCCGACTCGATTTCATTGTTAGTGTTAAACTAATTGGTTTTATTGTCATGGCCAGGACATGCCGCGGCCCTGGCTATATTGTTAAGCAATTAATGGCCAACAATTAGGCGTTAATTGCATTTAGTTGACTGTTGACTGCCTGGATGTCCAGTTACCCGGTTGCCTGGCTGCCGTTCAGCTCTCCATGTTCGTTTTGCTCACAATCCAGTCCAAATAGGCCGTTACCCGAGTGTAGACTGTGGGAGCGCCCAGTTCACAGCCTTTGGCGCTGCCAAATGTGGTTAGTCCAATCAAATAGCTGACATTGTGCCACCGATAGACCAGTGGACCACCCGAATCCCCCTGACACCCGCCACGCCCACCACGACCATCGCTGCAAATATGCCGCTTCGAGCTCACCAAGCCGGGTAGAAAATAACAGAGGCATAGCTGTTGCTCCAACACCCGCACAGTCACATAGTGTAGCAGATCTTCCTCGAGCTCCTGCTCCTTGGTCACATTCAAGTTATCGCCCAATGCGCCCCAGCCTAAGGTGGTAACCAACTGACCCTCCAGCAGGGATTGCTGCATGAAAGGACGAGCCAGTGGAATGGTCTGTATGCTGGAGGTGGGCGTTGCGGGGCGCGGTAGGCGCAACAGTGCCAGATCATTATACCCACCAAAGCCCAAATAGCCGGGATAAACATTAAAGTTCTGCCTCTCCACTTGGAATACATTCTGGGCATCAGTTGCATTTGCATATTGGTTGCTGCCCAAATAAATCTTGGCCCTCGTTGAATCAATCAAACAATGCGCTGCTGTCAGCACAAACTGCAAAGTGATCAAGGAGCCACCACATTGCCGATATTTACCCTGACCCAGCTGCAGTATTAGTCCCGCCTGGTAGGGAAACATATCCTTCTGCGCCAGTTCACCGTTAGCTATTCGTGTGCTGATCGCTGCTTCCTGTTGGGTGGCAGGCAACTCATATTTCTCACACTGTCGCTGCCATTTCTCATAGCCAACTTGCCAGCCGATGGTTATTTGGTCCTCGTCCCTCTCATCTGGATCATCGGGCTTAGCATTCCGCGCCTGCGTCTGTCTAAATAAAATGACAAAGCACAGACAGAGCTTTAAGTAACCCATGTATCGTCTCCACTTGGAACTGGCGAAGTGGGTTCTTCACTCGAGTAGTTTGTTGTTTTATATAGCCGGGCACGTGTCTGTGGCTCTGTTAATTGAATTTGCACACATAAAGAGAAACCAGCAGCTGGTTGGCATTCCATTTTGCTCAGTTTCATGTAATTGCCACACGTTTTGGCGATTATGTTGCTTAGGCCTTCGTCTTTAACTACAGCAACCCTCAGCAAATGGGCATCAATGGCATCAGAAACAGCATCTCTGCCCCTTCCCCTCTAACGATTATAACCTTTCTTGGTTGCATTTGCCTTAATTGCGTTCCACTCATTGAGGCAGCCTTCAATTGCATGTTTTTTACCCCCCAACCACTCAAGTGTTGCCCACATTTCGTTGTGGTGGGTTTCAGCAGCATTTATCAGTGCTTTGTTTATTGTTTATTTAATTTTATTTAATTTACAATGTATACACCCAGACATTCAGTTATAGCAATAAGACTCGAAATACCTAAAAATTATTGCAATCATAAATGAATTAGATAACATATTAGTTCACTACCATTTCTTCAATGACAATACAATTTGCGAGCTTACTGACTATCGACCGGTCTATTCTGCTTTTATCTCTCTAACATTTGACATGACTTACTTCAGTTATTAATATTGTTAAGATTGTAGAAGATAAGCAGCCAGTATATTTATGTATTCGTACGGAGCTTATTTTTGAAAAAAATATAATATGTAAAATATATTCTATTATTGAAGATGTATATAAGTATTCGCTGTCGTACACATTTGTATTTATATTTTCTGTACACATCTTCTGAATTTGGAATATCTATAATTTATGATGATTTGCAAACGGCGATCTTCCTGCTAATATTTTTACCGAATAGTGTGGCTTTATATTAAAAAATAATAATGGTCTAATAACCATACGCTTTTCTTTTAAAACTCTAAAACTAGGCCTTTGGCCTGTTTGATTTGTAGTTCTTGAGTAATAGTCTAAGAAATCGACATCTTATAGTGGTACTACCATTAATTAGCATAAAAACAAGATTCAGATTCTATTCCAAGCTCGTACGACTTCAATAAGAAGTATTCATAAGGTTATTTTTTTTTTTAATTTTTTGAAACCCCTTAAAATCGATTGCTATTTGAAAATTGTTGAACTTCATCACAATGCTGGCGACTTCAATGAACTTATTTTTCCCTTGCTGCTATATATAGTCAATTTTATTTGTTTTCATCTGTTTGCCAGCAAAGCCCAGCATTGCTGCTGCTGTTGTTGTTGTTGTTGATGGTATTGTGTGTGTACTTTTGCTATTTGTAGCTTAGCTTTTCTTCACTCGCAACGCCTCTGTTTTTATGTTTATGCGGAAATCTGCAGAAATTGTGTCAATATCAATAAAATTAGATTAGTATCGACGGCGGCAAACAACCAAAGTGTGTCAAGCAGTCAGGCGGGCAACAAATAACCCCCACCGACTCAGCCCCCTATCATGTGTGTGTGTGTGTGTGTGAGTGTGTTGTTTGTGTTGGATGTGCGTGGGAGCTACTTGGAGCATCTACATCCGTTATAGTGGGTCGGAGATGGGTTCAGATCCGGCCTGCGGCCTGCAAAATCATCGCAGCCAGAGCCTGAGAAATTGTCTGTGTGTGACAAATGCTTAAGTGCCTTGAAATTGTTGTAATTTCCAAAAGAACCCCAAACAACAACAACAATAGAGCAAAAAAAGTTTCACTCAGTTAAAACATGCGCCACACTTAATCTCAGTTAATTTTCTTAATGGAAAAGTTTTCACGGGTTTACTCGTTGTCCCTTGTTGCCACATTCAATTTTTTTTTTTTTTCTCTTCCGTTTTGGGGCCGTTCCTCTTTGTGGCATTTGTCGCCTGCGTGTAGGCTCAGTGAGAACGAGGACCCAACCTAAAATGGCCAGCCCTTGAAATTACTTCTGCAATTTTTGGGTAGCTTCCAGTATGCAATGGAGATAATTTTCATAATGCGAAAATTAGAAAAGTTTCAGGGCAAAAAGCTGTTTGCTATCGGTTTTAAATTTTTATTGCCAGCGGATTTTCTTTGAATTTGATTTTTTTTCCTGTTGTTTTGGCTACCATTTGGTTTAAAGCTGTTTTCCTATTGATTTCCCATTCACAACATTTACGTGCCATTATCGCATCGCTTACAAAGCCGGCGATATGCCCTTGCTGCGACTCCATTTTCATTTCCATTGCTGCTGCTGCTGCTGACTCCGACTGCGAATGCGGATGCCGTCGTTGTTTTTCCACTGCTTTCCCCGCTGACAATGACGTAATCTTTTATATAAACACAGCAGCGCTCCAACACTTTTCACTTGCTGCTGTTGCTGCTGCTGTCCAAGCGGCAGAAAGCATTTCGAGCAGCACTTGCCAACCCACCTATTCCGCTCCCTCACAATGCCTGCCTGCCCTTACGCCATCAGCATTTGTGCTCGTTGGCTGCGAATCACGTGACGAGTGATTGAGTGCACTTTTGTGTGCGCTTTTTCACTTAAAACTGTGCGATTTCAATCACTAAAAGCAAAGGTACACATCGAACAAAATCGAATCAGCCACAGCTGACTGATGTCCTTGTAATGGCTAAGGCAAGCATCCGTTCTTAACTCGAGTATGCCGTTAACCGCAAGGTGACTGCTCCTGCTGCTGTTCCTATTACTAAAACAACATAACCAAAAGCCAAAACATGCAAAAGGGAAGTTGGCAATAAATGTTAAAACAAGTTATGTGCAAAATGTTCGGAACACGTGACGGCGGAAAACAGAATTGCTTTTTTAAGAAAAATCAAAAGCGAGTGAGCAGAATATGACAAGGAACTAGGGCTCGACCTGAAGTTACCCTGTAAAATCTTTTTAGATATTCTACTACACCAAAAATACATTTGATTATAATAATATTAACAATTTAATCAAGATAAGAATTTGCATTAAGTTTAAGTAGTAAAGTACCGTAAAACATAACTAAATCAACTCTACTGTTAAGCAAACAAATATATGCCTTTAATATCGGGGAATGTCTTATTTTGGGTATAACATAAATTTTAGTTACCTGCAACACCTTTAAGGTACACAGCTTATGGCTTATTGTAGCCATTAAAGGTGTACAGAGTATGAATAATATAAGGAAAAAGGAAAATAAAAATATCTATGTTTTGCTGTGCATGAATATATATATATATATATATATATATATATATATATATATATATATATATATATATATAGGAGGAGTTTGAGAGTATGTAGGATGTTGATGCTAAACATTCCGCACATCAAAACGCGGCGCCACTTAACAAATCCCAAGTTGTTGTTGCGTGCCACGTGACTAGAATAGACAAGAGAGCGGGAGAGAAACAATAGCTTTGCTTTGGGCAGTTGGAATTCGGGTTCCTTTGTCCATCGTCTGTTGCTGACTGATGTGGGGCATAGGGGTATAGATGTGTAGTGGTGTGGGAGTTAGGGGTGTCGGGAAAACGCTTTCACGCACGCTCGCCTTGAAGCGTCGAGTCGCGTCGAGTCCTGGCGACCTGCCGCGCTTAATTTCCGCTTGTAATGGACGCACGATAAATCTCGGCTAGCGTTTCCGTTGCCCACAATCGGAGTCTCGACAATCTCAAGTTGCACGCTATTGAAATACATCTTTTGCTTGAACTTCTTGTTGCTTACACCGGAGCGTGTTGTCCTGCTTTTTATGCTTTCAATTTGATTCACCGCGCTCCAGTTTAAGCTGGTGCACATTAAATCAGACAAGGGAATGGTTGTGGGATTTGGGCTTTAGTTAACTGTAGGCCTTAAAATTAGCAGCATAATTACGAAACTTTGCCAGTGGCTCTTAAGACAAAACTTAAAAGGCTGAGTGTTAATTAAAGGTTAGAGTAAGGCGTCGCGAAGTTACAGATTGACTTGACTTTACTTTGTTCAGCTTCATGAATGAGGTGAATGCTTATTAAGATATATGACAATCATGTAAAATGAGAAGTCAATCAATTTTTCAACAAACTGAAATGAAAATCAAATATTAGTATAAAGTGTGATACGAAGGGAAGTAAATCATTGGAGTCTAGGTTATAACCAATATATATAATAGTAGTATATAGTCTCTATTAAATATTTTATATTTGTTAGGTATTTATGATCGGATTTCCAAATAAATGGAATTCCACAATTATAGTTCAAGCATGTGCTACTCGCTATTATTTTGTGTGATGCGCTTCTAGCATATGAGATGCCATTATTTAAAATGGCAAATCCCTTTAACTTACCACCGCAATGTGCCAATTGCCGGAGCCATTTTTATTGTCGCCTCGTTAGTCAGGGAGTCGGTTGGCAATGCGACTATTGCCAAATCCTCGACTGTCGCTCCGACTAAACCGACTAAACTCCTACTAGCCCTTCCCTCTGGTGCGTGTCGCTTAAGCCCCGGCGATAAGGTGTGCACATTTGGAAAGCCCTCTTCCCAAGCCCTCTTACCTCTTACCCCTTACCCTTTACACCCCGCTCCAATATAGCCAGTTAGCCGGTACGTGCCTTTCTTTGGTATTGCGATAAATTGCTATTGGCTTGCTGATGTTGCTGCTGCTGTTCTACGTATGTGGCGGCCAAAGGTAAAGCTGCTAATTTATTAGCCAGAGCGGCAAGCAAAATGCCAGCAAGATATAAATAAGCGAAAGGCTGCAGTATGCCAGAGAGAGAGAGAGAGAGAGAGAGAAAGAGAGAGAGTCTGAGCTGAGCTGCAACTCAAATCAGTTGGCAGTCTGACCTCAACGTTCTTTGAAATTGAGACAAGTTGGCAGCCCTCAAGCACACACACATACCTCACATACACACTCTGTCTGTGTGTGTCCCTTTGGCAGTTTGGCTTTAAGGCAGGGCTCAGAAATGTGTGAAAGCGGCGTATAAATTTCAATGGTCAAAATGTTCTCGCTAAGCTACACCTTTGTGTCGAGTGCCTAGCGCCCTAGTCTACTATGTGTGTCTTGTGTGTGTGTGTGTGTAGTGTGAGTGTGGTGTGTGTGTGTGTGTGTGTGGTGTGTGTATATATGGTGTGTCAACAATAGGACAACGGCAACGCATATTCAATAATGTCCTCGCTTTCAACTTTTGTGCTTTGCAAATGCAAAATCTGCATGGCATATGGAAAGAGAAAAAAAACGAACAGAGAGAGAAAGAAAGAGAACGAGAGAGAGAGAGAGAGAGAGAGAGAGAGAGAGAGAGAGAGAGAGACTGTATAGAGATGGCGACACATTGAACAATGTTGCCAAAGCCGTGGACTAAAGTTCTTGCCTGTGAACAATAGAACATCGAATTAAACAAAAAGCCAGGCTAGCAACATATATGCAAGTGTTTAAATATATGTGTGTGTGTCGGTATGTGTGTGTGAGTGTGTGTGTCGGCACAACAACAACAACAATAACTAGAAAGGAAAGCAACAACAACAACAACAACAACAACAACAACAACGGCATTAGTAACAATGAGCCATGCCATGAGCAGCTGCAACAATGGAAGAGAACTAAAATGAATGTGTGTGTGTGTGTGTTTTTCTATATGAATATATGCCAGTGTGTGTGATTGTGTGTGTGTTTATGTGAATATGTGACTGCTAAGAAGGCAGCTACTGTTGCTTTAACTGGCTTTTGTTAGCCACCCCCGGCCTCTGTGCAACTCTTCAGCTGCATTCGTTGTTGATGGTTGTCGTCGGTATCGCTTTGTTGTTTTTGTTGCCATTGTTGTTGCATTAGCGAGCAGACTGCATTAATGCCACATGCTTGTTGTGCGCATATATGAATGTAGTTCAGCGCTTGTTGTAAGTAATACCGCGATAGATATCATCTGCCGATAAGTGCAAAAATAATGATGGTATCAATGGAAGATGGAATTGTGGAGCATATATTAAGTATACATATTCGATTTTTTGGGCTTACAAATTTGATCAAATTGAAATGCCGTTCAAATCTGAATGATAAGTCATTAAAAAAACACTTTTGTTTCCAAAATCGGTTCAGTTGTGATAAGGTTTTATTTATACACAGTTCTTAAAAGGTTTTAATATATAACAACTTTAGATTAAAGTTACGAATTAAATTATTTAAAATGAAAAGGGAGAAATTAAATTAACAATTTAATATTAAAGAAATGAAAATAAATGATATAATAAATTAACCTGCGTGTATTCAAATTTAAAATATTTCAGTCTTTATTATAATGTTTGTGAAATCTTGGATAAAATCAGAAGCTTTAATCGCTTAGTAATGAGAAAAGTAAAATACGTTATCAATTTTTAGATATGGGTTGGCATTCGATTGTTTTAATTAAGTGAAAAGTAATAAGATTTTGCAAATATGTATAAATATAGGCATCCATTTGTCAGATTCTATTTAGCTGATTGCTATAGTTTGGTTGGCGATTTATAATCAATTTGGTATTCATTAACCAATTTGTTCGTGTATCCAGTCAAGATGATCACTAACTCGAGTGAAACCAGCGGGGAAGCCACTTTCGCAGTCTTCGATCACAAAGGAGTTGATACCGATGAGCACGTGGTCATCTGTGGAGAGCAATGGGCCACCAGAGTCGCCCTCGCATGTGGATACGCCCTCTGAAGTGGAGACACAGAGAACATTGTCATCAACATCCCCAATCTCCTCGGAGCACTGGTCATTACTAATTATGTGAAAGTCGCCACACTTTAGTTTCTTTGCCATTGGACCATCATTCGAAGTGAGTCCCCAGCCGCAGCTGGTGCTCCACGAGCCCTCGTATCTATTATCTCTGCTGTCAGGCAATGTCACACTTTGGATCAGGTCCGTATAGGACACAGAGGGCGTCCTAATCAGGGCGACATCATTATCCATTGTATCGTCATCGTAGTCCGGATGTTCGACGAAGTCGTCGCTGTTAACATTATGTGTTGGGTCACCATGATCGAGTTTCGTTGTGCCGTAGTAGATTATCACAGAGCTTGCACCAAACGTGCAGTGGGCAGCAGTCAGAATCCATGCGTTGTCAACAATGCTACCACCGCACCACCAGCTGCCCTCGTCTGAATCGAAACTCAAACCAACAATGAACGGAATTTGTCCTTTTTCCGCCGTGTAGCCATTGACAATTCGACCTTCGATCTTGTTCTCAATCTTTGGCAGGTTCTTAATCCCAAACGGCAAATGCAATTTAAATGAGCTCGCGAAGGCCATAGCCATGAACAGAATAGCTAGAAATAACTTCATGTTTACAAACACGTCTGTCAACAATCGAACTCGCTAACCCTCTTATATGGAGTGAAGTTCTGCAGTTTTCAATTAGTTGCACAAGAATCTTATAGATATTTATTGTTTATGAGCTATAACTTGGTGTTGTCTAAATAGGTATTCTGAGAGTACTTTTGAATATTAATTAAATGTTATCTATGTGTTTTCTTGTGCAGCTTATTTTTTTGTTGCTTAAAAAACAACAAATTTAAATTATTTCCATTTTGTAAAGGTTTGTTGTCTTCCAATTATAGCTATAGTAAACTTTCCATTTATGTATTCCTGACAGTGTGGAAGGTATTTCATACATTCGCATATTTCGTAATTTCCTAGTTTCTCATTCAAGTCACATAAATAGAGTAGTTGAGATATTTCATCTCACCAATTTAGTTGGTTAGCAAAGTATTGCACTGCAGACAAACTTGAAATGCGTATTTCAATTAGTTTGCTGTCCCAATTCTGCAGTTCAGTTTACTCCACTTCCCACCAGCATCTGACTTTTGGATCTTGTGACAAAAGTGTGTTGTTCCATTTTGTATTGTTTTGCTTCTCTTTCGAATTCCATTTGGCGCTACTTATAGTTGATCGAACTGGAGAGGCATGGCGAGTCGGGGCGTGGAGTATAAGTGTGTTTGGCAAAACTCTCAAGTGTCATCGAAGTGGAAAAGTTAATGCAAAATGCGAATGCGGCGCCACCTACTGATGCCATAATACTTGAACATTTTTGAAATTTTTGGTCAATAGCCATGCAATTTGGGTTAAGCAAACAAGTCAAGAGCGGTGGCACGATTCGAGGCCAGTTCGAGTCTGACAAATATTGCGCCATAATCAGAGATGGAGATGTCCGCATTCACATCTTTGTCTACTGCATTCGATTGGCCCCGGGCATATTGGCGAATTCGGCCAATTGGCCCAAGCCATATTTGGCGTAGCCATAGTGGCTGGCGCAAAATCTACCAATACACCGCAAAACTGCAGCTGCAGGGTAAATGTTGATGTTGATTTTCGGACGTGAGACGAGATGGAGATGATGTTGGCGATGGCGATGGTGATGGCGTTTGCCGGCTGCCGCAGTGCCATAGCCATAAAATCAGGCAGTCAATGAGCCGAATGTTCAAATAGCCAAATAGCTGTTATTGTTATTGCCACCGCTGCCGCCTGGCAAATTAATGAGGTGTCCTCTTGGCCATCCAGGCATAATCAAAGCCAGCTGCAGTCACAGGTCCCGTTGCAGTTGTAATTGAGCGTTGTCAGCTGGGAATATGCAAAACTGCCAGCCAGTCAGCAATTTGGCCAGATTGGCAAACTGTTTTTGGCATTGGCTTTAAGGACATCGCTTTTACCAGTTGGCACTTTAAGCAAACGAGTCAGACAAACGCCAGACAAGATTAGCATTATCCACTGCATTTCCCTTGGCTGGCAGTCCAACACTTTCCCAGACAATATTTGCATGAAAACTGTTACTGCCACTTAAGCATATCCTTGCCAAAAAACTTCCTTTACATGGCTCTTGCTTTTGATTGTTTCTTCCTGTCATATACTTTTCTTTTTTCTTACTTGGTTGTAGTTTTAATGACAGCTACCAAAAAAAAGGGGCAAGACTCGAAATTGTCGCCTTAATGTCAGTGAAGGCGTCGCGACGCCTCAATGAATGCAACATTTTTTCGCCTTATTTGATGGGCTGGCAAAAAGTTTTCGTTTTAATGCTCCGCGCAAAGTTAAGCGACACAAAAATGCAAAAATGTTTTTGGACAAGTCTGTGGCTTTTAGTTGAATTTAAGCCTGTTACGAACTGAAAACGCGTTAGTTGCATTGCCAAACTTACGGGCCAAAAAGTTGTGACAGCTTCGAAATTGTTAAAAAACAGTTCAGTTGCATGCTCTGATTAGTTTATTTTGCATTGTCCGCTAGAAAGACTGACTTTTTGTATGGGTTTTTTGCATTTTTAGTTGTTATCATATTTATGAACATCAGAGGTTTCATCATCATTAAAACAAACTTAAATATGAGTAATTCTTCATAATGTTATTAAATTTAGAAGCATACTAGTATGGTTCCCTTTGAATACTATCCAGTCGCCCCCCAATTTCAGTTTTAGCCCACAAAGCGCAGCTTGAGGCATTTAGATCCATTTAAATAAAAGTTATAAAAGTTGTTGTCTGTGTTTGCGTTTGCCTCGCAGTCATAAAACACTCAACGCTCATACGCCATGTGTTACCCCGAAAAAAAGGAAAAACTTTCAAGACAGTGACAGTGGCATAAAAAAAAACTCAACCAACAGCCAAATATTTTTAATTAGCCTAATGAAAAAGTTCAAATGTAAGAATAAAAAAAAAAGATATCAACAAAAATCTTGTAATTTTCAGAGCTGCCGCCGTTGCTGTGGATGCTACAACAAAAGGCAATGACTGCTGACAAATGAGGAAAACGCAGCGCAAATAAGCGAGCAATAATTTTCGCCATTGTTCGTTGCAGCAGAGGGGGCATGCAGCAAGCTGAGGCACAAACAAAGAAATGCGACTGAAATGGGTAGAAAAGGAGATGCGCAAAGAATGTTGGTAAATAATACAAATATGAAAGACATCAGTGCAACTGAGCAGAGACAATCTCTACGATACGCTCCACTCTACTCGCCTCCACTCTACTCTACCTCAAAGGCACAAACAGATTGAAGCTGAGAGTTTTCGGTTTGGCCGGCTTTTTTTATTTGCCTTTGCGCTTGGACCAATCGTCGTCCCTGAAAACAAATAGAGCTCATTACGCAAATGGCGACGGCACGTCACAAAATGTTCAATTAAAAAACTTTTCAATTCCCAATGAATGTGAAGGATATGAATGAGCCACTTTAGAATTATGAGGAAATTGCACTCCCTTCCACTTTCAGGCAGTAGGCAATGGATCATAATTGATTTCCAACATTTACATCTATCGGTTTTGATGTTGCTTATGTTGTTCTGATTGTTGTTTGTTTTGGGTCACTTTGGCTTATTAAATATTTAATGGTAAGTTGTCAGAAACAGCAAAATGAATGACAGGTACCCCCGTTGCTCCTCTTCAATATTCCTGATTGATAAACAAAGTGAGTGGAAAGCGAAAAGTTTTGGCTATGAATACTTTAGGCTGCTTAGTAGGACAATTTCAACTGTCCGTCTGTCAATGTGCCAATTATTTAAATGTTTTCTTTGCTCCGGATGTTTTTCACATTTTATTTACGCACGCATTCGTGTGTAGCCAGGCCGATAATTGCAACAAAGCACAACTTTTAACAGAACATGAAAGCAAACCAAAAAAGCAGAAAAGTAGACAACACTTTGACACCAACAAGCAGCAGCAGAAAGCAAAAATGGGTAGCCAAAGGAACAAAAGAAGAACGAATGAAACATAAAAAGGAAAAAAAATACGTTGAAATCGCTGCTGGCTAAAAACTTTTGCCATGTTGCCATCGAAAAGATTTGCCACAACTTTTGCGACAACGGTGCCGACTGAGGAAAAAGTCTTTGACCGGACGAGGTTGCAATTAAAAAAGGGATTACGTGGCTGGGCTAGACTTTGATTTTTCCCCGGACTGTTGCTCCTTTTGCTTTTCGATTAAAAGTTGAGCAAATTAAAATTGTATAATGACGGTGATTAGGCCAACAACAGACTGGAAATTGCTCAGCACCAATTGCCAAGCCGGCAAAAAAAAAATCCTTTTCTACGTTTGTAAGCACAGCTGACGGATGCCTATTGTTCCTGAAGTTGAGAGCTTATAAAAATTACCTCTATATATAAATATCTAAAGTAGTTGTAAGAAACTTTTGAATTGAGGATGAATTTACTATAGTTAGTATAAAGAGAAGTATGTTCCATGGAGATAAAATTGCACATGGTAGTTGAAAATTTATGTGGAGTGATTTAATTAATGCTGAAAAAACTGCAGTTTCCTTTTACTGCACTGATCATTAAAGATATCGCCTGCACTGTCAGCCATTTTAAGGTCATTGCAACAAGGTTATTAAAATTAAACTGAAATTGTGTCGCGTTCAAAAGACCAACATAATTAACGTGCGAACATTTATTCGGTCGCACAGCTGGCGTACACACAATTTGCATAATGCCAAATTGATTATTATTATTTGTGTTTTTGTATATAAATTAAATAACTTTATTTACTCAATTATGTTACTGTGAATTATATACATATATTTAGGTTTATGCATTTGTTTGTCTTCATTTACAATATGCAATTTTTGTTTAGTACATTTATTTATGCTTAACAATTGAAGCAGCAACAACATTTAACATATAATTTGAAATACGTGTAATATATAATATTTAATTAATTATTTATTTATTATAATTTGATTTTGTTTCATTTCATTTGCCAGGTTTTCGCAATAGAAAATGCGTGAATTAATTTGAAAATGAATAGGCTAAAAGTTAAACTTCGTCTGAATTATAATTTAAAGTGACTTTCACATTTTCCCACTGCTCACCCATCGGCATATTTTGCATTGTGTGTTATTGGTTTATTTTATTGCCAAAAAAACCCAAAACTAAACTAGAATTATTTTCACCATTTATCAGCTAGGCGTTTCATTTGCAGTTTCCGTGTTAATTAGTGTATCTTTTGAGTGTGTGCGTGCTTGTGTGTACGTGTGTGTGTTTGTGTGAGTGTGTTCTTTTTTATAGAGTATCACATTTTTGGTATAGAATATTCAAGCAAAATTATTTTGCCTCATGACAACTGAAATGCAATCTTGTGCTACAATTATAGTAAGAGATCATTGATGATATATTGTATATCTTATGCTACTGCTCCGTTTCCAGATTCTTAGCGCGCAGATACTTCAGCAGCATCTGCAGCGAATCATAGGTATCAAAGTCATCCAGATTACGTCGTGACGACGACATATTTGCCGGCCGTGGCATAGCCAGGGGCACGGGTAGCAGCTCCGGCATTACGGAATGGTGGGTTATCAGCGCCTTCAAGCTAGAGAACTCCTTGCGAAAGCCCTAAACAATAATCGAAGCTTAGAACGAAGAACAGGCCTTAACAGCTTTTGGGCTTACCTTAATTTTGTAGCCACGCGGAGAGCGTAGTATAATATAATTTGCTATCTTGGGACCGGGTGGCGAGGGAACGCGTAGGGTCAACGCATAACAGCCTGGCTTGGAGCTGCTCTTGCGGACGAGAAAGGCGCCAGGACTCTTGTTCTGCAGCACCTCGACGGCAATGTCGCGCGAGATGCCCGCCTGATACCAGCAGGCATCCTTAAGCTCCACATCCGACTCCTCATCGTTGGCAAGGGTAGTGGCCAAGCTGCTGCTCCTCTGATTAGCCACTAGACTGGCCGCAGCAGCTGCTGCTGCATTGTTCATCCGCAGTCGATTGGCAAAGATCTTGGGACTAGAGTTTGCTGTTAAATGAGTTTGAGAGATGCAACCAATAAATCAAATGGTAGACAAGATTAGTTGAAATTGATTACCATGGAATGAAATTAGAGTTAAGCTGTGGGAATCTTGTTTGATTGAAAGTCGGAACTGTTACTCAAAAAATAATTTAAATCAATTTCAACAATCTATTATATATAAATCATTTTTAAATTAACGTGATTTCATTTAAATAAAAATGTATAAACTTAAAATCACAAGGTATTAAATTAAAGTATGTGTTTCTAGTGCCCAAGTACTGACTAACTTAAATTTGACTCTTACCGCTGCTGGTTTCGCGTAGATAACGCTTTTTGAGATTGAACTCGCTGTTGTCGTTGAGATTCACATTGTCCAGCATGGGAATGGCTGTGAGAGATTGGCGACAGGAGTCGCCAAATTTGCTATCGATGTAGGAGTCCTCGTTGATGTAGCCATTGGAGTAGATGGGCTGGCTATCCTCGCATTTCAATGCAGCTGCACTCAGGGGCATCACATTGCTCACCAGGGGGCGTGACTCCTCGTTGTGGCGCAGCAGACCCATGGTCAGGCGTTTAACCTGCGAAAGGCAAGATGTGGATGTGGCAGCGAACCAGCTTTAAGATTTAACAGTTGTCTGGCACGGTGAGCTCAAAGGATTAAGGATCAGGCAGCGGCGCGTTCAAGTGGCAACAAAATTAACTACAATTTAAACACCTTGTAAGCCAAGCCAATCGGGGGCGTGGGCGTGTAGCCCTGTAGTCACAGACGGGCCAAAAAAAAAAAAAAAGGAAAAGGAGAAAAGAAAAAATAAAAAATGAAAGAATTTATTACCGAAAACCGCAACTAGACAAAAAGCTCGGAAAAGCGCACAGTTGAAAAAAGTTTTGCGCCTGCACTTAAACAGGAAGCGGATGCTTGGACTAGGAATTACAGCAGCGCCAAGTGGCCCCAAAGAAAAGGGCTGGCCATAAAAGCCGCATAAATTGGAGGCCAGCAGCAGCAGCAGCAGCAGAACGCAGACTCTGACGTCGAATCGCATTGCACGCGACGGACGCTAAAAATGTTGCAAGGCGTCGGATGCGACGGATGCGGAAGTGGCGTGCTAAGCGGAAATGTGCCGCAGGGCAAGCAGTGGCACACACAAAAAAAAAAAATATAATAATGGAGAACTATGTGGGCATAAAGGAAACTGAGAACAGGCGGCGATAATTCAGCAGCACTTGTGCGCGCATGTTGAGATCGTGTTCGCCGTGCCTTCATTTCTATTTCTGGCTTATTTCTCTCATTTCTTCTTTTTTTTTGGGGTCAGTGGCTTTGAAAAGTCTGTCTGGCTGTTCACAATACTAGTCTGAAACTAGACTACAGTTGTGCCAAGTGCATGTGTATGTTTGTGTATGTGTGTTTGTGTGCTTGTGGCATAATTTAAGGCGACATTGACAATGAGACGTTGAAGGTGGCTGGTTGGCTGCGTTTTGGTGGTATCGGATTCGGTGTGGCTTACCTTAGCTGGGCGAGCCTGACAGCAATTGTTTGCTCATTGCTGCATAATTTAACAAGCGCGCGCTGCATACTTTTAGGCTGCTTAAGCAAACATTGTTTGCATATTTCACGGCGCATTGCACACTGATTTCTCTCGCACACTTTACCCTGTATTATGTGTGTGGCATACAAAAGCAAAAGGTATGCTGAGCTTACAAATGTTATGCGACGAGCATATCACATATTACATAAACTGCAATGAGTGCTCGAAATATTTATACAAATAGTTAGCTAAAGAATGTTTAAAGAGAACTTACTAAGGGGTATCTGGCAGCAGTTTGTAAACCATGACTCAATCACTATCAATCTCTACATTGAGAGTATTTACCATCCTTCGCATGATATCCATATATGCAAATGCGATAAATGCAGTGATTGTGTTTGTATATTTTGTCTGGGCTTAAAAGTGATACTGCATATAACTACACAAGCATATACATACATAATTTATGAGCTATATACTACATATAGTTTATAAAAATCAGTATATACTGCATTTTTAATGATAAGAATTGCTTTTCTTTAATTAGGGTGCTAGATATACTTCCCATTAAATTTATAGCTGACAAGTCGAGTCTGTGACTGTTATCAACCGAAATTATTATATATATGCCAGCAGCAGTTGATTTATATTTTAGCTGTAAAACATCTCGTAGTTTAAGCAGTAAAATAAACTCAAAGGTAGCGAAGCTGAAAGCTCAGGTATTTGCAGAGCGTAGTCTACTTTTCAGTACTCATTCTTCTTTTATTTTTTAAAAGACTCCTTTGTATATTTGTTTTCTGGCTTGTTGTGTGTTTGTGTACTGTTTGGCTTGCTTTGTGCCTTGACTGTTTGTCTTTGATATTTAGCTGGCATGTCAAATTGAATTTGGCTTTTTGTTTTTCGCTATGCTGCACAACATTTTACAATTGCTGGCCATAAAGAAAGTGTGTGACGGGACTAATTGCCCTGTTGGCTTAATGAACTGGCTTGCAGGCCAAAGGACATTGGCATCAGCTGCTACCCAGCAGCGAGTTGCCCAAATAGGTGGCACGTGCAACCGGAACGAGCAACATTTTCCACTCGAGCATTTATGCAAATTTAATAAACTTGCTGCGCCCTGGACTGAGACGGGTGCGGCGGGTTGGCCCATCGCACAATCAAATTGGTAAAAGTCAGCCACGCTTAAATCAAGCAACAGATTGGTAGATTGTGGCCCAAAAGAGGCGTGGCTATGTGCTGGCCACAAAATATTATTTATGACATTCGAGCCGAAAATATTATTTTGGCCCCCCACATGATACACGAGAAGGCGTGACTGAAGAACCGGCCACATGTGGCTGCTGGCTGTCGCTCAATGTCAGTCAGGAAGTGGGGATGTCGATGGGCCTGGGGCAGGCTGGGATGCATAGAACGAGAAGGACTATAAATTTTGGCTGAGCTCGCTGGTTGTTGTCGTTGTCGTTGCAGTTGCTAAACATACATTTAGCGGCAACGAGAGTCAACAGCATCGATGCATCAACGCCAGCAACAGGGCCACAGGCAGCATCAGACCCATCACGTCATTTCCGGTCTGTGAGTGTGTGTTAGTATATATGTGTGAGTGTCTGTGTGTGTGTTGGTGTGTCTTGTTATGCGGGTGAAGTGCATAATGTGCCATCGCATTTGTCTTTGCTTTCCATTCGGTTTTTGACTGGTCGCATGTGCAACTTGCCTGCTGCTGCTTTATTTTGCTTATCTGAAATTGAATCAGGCAGCCAAGCAGACGACGACGATGGCAACTTTTGCCGTCGGGCACAATTAGGGTAGCTTGACTCCCTCCTACTGCATTGGTGGAGAGGGGATATTAATTTGCTTATCGCGCTGCAGCCGCACCCTGCCACAAAATCATGTTATTGACAGGCAACCAGGCGGCAGGCATATTGAAAAACTATGTAAAGCACAGACGAAAGGATAACAGCAAAGAGAGTCTATGGCTTTGACTGCCTGCTGCCACGTGGCGTATGCGTGTTATGTTTATAACAAAATTGATTTATTGACAAAACAGCAACCGGCAGGCACACAAAAATGAATGTGAAAAAGAAGGCATAGCTATCATGCTGAAGACATTATGCTCTATAGCTGATTTATTGTTGCTAAGGGTGCAGTGGCATACAGTAGTCAAATCTTATATTATATTTTATTAAATGTTAGAAGAATAATTAACACTCGTTACTTGTGAATATTGCAAAGGGTCAGATTTCGAACGATTGTTCCGATGGCTGCTAAATGATATAGTGATATCTAAAGTTTACTCAATATATTTATATATATATATGTATATATATAATGTAAACTTCAGTACGTTACTCATTTCGTTACAAAATAATAATACCCTTTTGCAAGTGTATGAAAGTAGCAAAGCAGCGCTGAACCCTTTTTATATTTGTTCAACATATGTGAGTTTTGGGTTTTTTTTTGTTTTCAGTTTGGAGTCCTTGGCAGGCGTTTTGTATTTACATTGGCTGGCTGGGCGACTGCGTGGCATGCTGACAATATTTATGGCTTGCCATTAGAGACAACTGATTGGTTTTCGCTTTCGATTTTAGCGCTGCAGAATTTCAATTTTACCGAGTGTTTTTTTCTCTCTCACTTTCGATTGCTTCAAGAGTCACATGGCCTTGGAAGTGGTTGCTCTGGTTTTTAATGTTGCTGTTTTTTTGGTTGTTGTTGTTAACTTATTTTTTGTGGCTGCACTTTTGCTCCATTTAAGGGCCATTAGCTCAAAATGTAATCATCATAATGCGCCCCAGTAGCAAACCGGTCATAAATAAGACAAATACATTACGCATACGCCGTGTGCACAAAGCGCAAAGCACATAGTACAAGAGCTGCGAGAGTTTCTCATATGAATAAACTCGCACGTACTTATCGCATAGACTATGCTCGACTGCGCACAGCTGCCTCTCTACTCCCATACATGTGTATATGTATGTAGTCTTACTATATATGGCGATATCTATGCATGTGGCTATGTGTGGACGTCTATATGAATATTTAAGGCGTAAAATTTATGAAAACAACGTGCTTCAACTCTACTCAACTCAAAGTCGAAGACGGCATCAGCATCAACTAAAGCAAAAAGTTGTGCAATGCAAAGTTTTGCGCCCTGCGTCCTGCGTCCTGCGTCCTGTGCGGGTGCCACGTGACAAAAAATGACAAAACATTTGATAAACATTGCACATGTGGAGCAGTTCGACGGCTGCCCTTCTCCTTCTCTTCCGCTCTCTCCCTCTCCCTTTCTTTATCTATCTACGTGTTATGACAATAGCCATAGAAGAACAATCAGAAAATGTTATTTTCGTATTACACTGCCAAGTTTAAATACTCTTTATTGTCATTTCTCTTCAATAAAGCAAATTGGCTATGGAAAGCGAGAGTATTGGAAAATTACATAAATAATTTTTTTTTTGACTTTGTAAGCCTTAAGTTTTTTATTTTATATTTAGAATCGAAATATATGGAAATTATATTACTTTATACTATATTACAATTCATTCTTTAGTCAATATATTTGATTGAATAGATAACAATTGTTGTTGGAATTTTAAAGAGTCAAAACAAAAACTATATTAACTTTTCTAAATATCGAATAGTTTTATGGCATGCGTTCCTAAACAATATACTTTGCACTTCTGGCTTCCTTAGAGGTAAAATTTATAGCTAGGGTACTCAACATACGCCACGTGATAGTTATCGTGCTCGACAATTCTTAGAAGAGTATACAAATGGCATCAAATGGTCTGTGTCTTGTCTTGGGTGTTGGGTCTAGCCTAGCAATTTATTTTTAGGACGCGTCTAAAGTTGTTTCAACTTTTTTTCTGCTATTCTAGAAAAGTTGGTATCTGAAAGGAGCCAACCAGAAAGGTTTAGTCTAGCTTAGCCAAAAGCTTTTGATGTCCTTTGCAAGCGAACACTTTATTCTGCCAATAATTCATAAGAAGCAGCAAATGCAGCAGAATAAACAAAGCACAAACAGGAAACCAAAAATTCATAAATTTTGAAAAATATTGCCGATGACAAAAAGCAATAAATGGCCACCCTTGTCAAAGTCAAAGCAAAAACATATCAAATATTCAATGATTGAGGGCTACCTCCATCTCTTTTGTTTTTGGGGCGGATTGAGTTTGACTACAACTTTGATCTGGTCGAAAACTTAAGGCGAGTGGGTAACCAAAAAGAAAAGCACAATTGGGTTTGAATTTTTGAGGTTTCTTTGGGGTTTCACTTGGGGTTTATAGGGGTTAGTTGGGGTATTCCCTTTTTGTTTACTCACCAGTGGCGGCTTGTCCGTTAGACGCTTGCAATTGTTGAGCTCTGTGGGTGAGTTATCCTCATCGGAACTGGGTGTTTGCGCCACTTTCTCGTTATCATTGCAGCTAAATGTAAAAGCAGTCAAAATATCAATTAACAAGTGTTCTTATTTGGGTGTTTAATTATTGACTTTAGAGTGTGTTTTGGAGAGTGTATCTGATGAACATGACATAAGCATTTTTTGGGATAATAATTTCGCATCTAAAGTGATATCTAGTTGGTGTTTACTCACTTGAGATTCGCCTGGGAGAACAGTTGCAAGGGGCGTCGACGACTAGCTGGCGATGGGGGCGTGGCTGTTGTTAATGTTGTCCTGCCCCGCGCCGCATTCAAATAGTGATATGAGGGTCTGCCATTTCTGGCATTATCATGCAACTTGCCCAGTGTTTGTTGTTGTTGCAGCTGCTGTTGCTGTTGCTGCTGCTGCTGCTGCTGCTGCTGGCGACTATTGCAGGAGGAGGAACGAAAACGTGCCCCGGTGATGACCGCTGCCAGATTGGCCGCAATGCGATTGTCAAAACGATTAAAATATGAGCTCGTGCCGCTATTCGAATTCGAATTTGAATTCGTATTCATATTCGAATTTGTGTGCGTAATCGAATTCAAGTTGCTGTTATTCAAATTGTCAGCAGTCGGCGATGAGTTGTTGCTGCTGCTGGTACTGCCATTGCGGTTGCTGCTGATGTTGCTGTTGCCGCCGGCAATTGTTGGCGTGGTGTCTGCTGCTGTCGCCACTGTCGTCGTCGCAGCCTGCGTGCAGCTCTTCTCATAATCCAAATTATTGTTGGTTATCATTGTGTCGTCGCTTTTGGGCATTAACTTTTTGCACTGTTTTTGAATTATGCACGCATATAAAAACGCTGCGGGCGGCTTTTCTCGCACTCACTCACTCTCAGCGTGTGATCCCCGCCAGAACGACAGGGGGCGCAGCACACACACACACACAACCACCCGCACACCCACAATAATAAATGTGGGGTTAGGGGAGACGCCGTTGCGTAGTTGCACGGCCTTTATTAAATTCTGTCCACTTGGGCTAGCGGGGCGCCTGCCAGGAGGTTGATGGGGCAAGGGGCTGTGGCAGTAACCGCAGGGGTCGCGTTTGCTACTTCAGTGTAAACTGCAGTCGACGAGGACAACGACGCAGATTTAAACACAGAATTAATTCAAGCGGAAATTGGCAACGAAAGGCAAAAAAAAAAAATAACAGCCACGAGCAAAAACAAAATCGAAAGCGTGAAGCATAAACAAAAATGAGCAGGGTGGGGGAGAGTTGGAGTTGGGGATGGAGGCGGCATAAAAACGCCAAATAGAAAGCGAAAATGAAAACGCATATGAAAATATTGTTTGGGGAGAAGCCACAAAAATGCACATAAATAGCAGCGACAATAAATGAATAGGGTGTGGTATTGGGAGCGGAGGAGGGATGTATTGTTTTTGGTCAGGGGCCGCATCAGTGACGTCACATTTGTAAAGCGCATAAATAGCAGGATTTTTGCAGGGTGTTCATGACGATGATGATGATGATGATGTTGATTGTTTTGTTTGTTTGTATGGTGTTATTGTTATGTTTTTTTTTTTTGGGTGGTTGTTGTTAAATTTTTGTATTGTACATTTGGAAATTTTGTTGTAAGTTTCGTTTGTTGTTGTTATTTTGCCAATTTCACAGTTGAACATTTTTGCCAATTAGTTGCCGTTTGTTGTTGCATTTTATTTTTGCCAATTTCAGTTTGATTTCAGTTCAGTTGTAGTTGAATTTTAATTGTGTGCAGTCCAAAATTTCCATGCAAATAAAGAGTGGGAAGGAAGAGAGATATGTAGTATATGTTTTATTTTGTTGTTAATATAGCTCCTTTTTTGATTGATTTTTTCGAATACTTTTGCTATGTTTTAGCTTTTTTTTTGTTTTTTTTTTGCAACTTTTGATTATTTAATTCGATTGAATGCTTTGGCAAAAGCGAATTAAACACGCAAAAGGATTTGCCTTTGGCACTTTTCATAGCATACTTTTCAGGGAGCCAAATGAAAGTGAAAGGCAAATCGCAAATCAATCACTACAGTTGTACTTTTTTTTTATTTCATGTATGTGTGTGTGTGTGTATAAGTAAGTGTCTGTGAGTGTGTGGGTATTTGTTTACTCACGTTGCTTCGATGGCAACCAAACTTTTCATTGAGTTTTGTTAGTGGGCCACGTATGAAATTGAAGCTAGAAAGAGAGTAAAACAATTTATTGGAAAAATTTAATTAAAAATTAACTTTAAAGGGGGCACACGTTATATCACTGTGTATATATATGTATGTGTGTGTGAGGGTGAGTGTGGAAGGCAATCATTAGAGGGCCATAGTCAACACCTCATTAGGCGACTAATCAAGCGTGTGCCTGGGCAAGAAATAACAACCAGTTCAGGCCAGCAGACACAGAGCCCACACAGCGCCGCCTAGCCACAGATTAAAGGAGCAGGGACTTCAACCAAAGCAAATCATCAACACCAGCCAGCAGACGAAGAAGAAGAAGAAGAAGATCATACACAAACTACAGCCCGGGTGCAGTCGTGCGTTTGGGGGCCAAGCGGAGTAAAGAACAACAAACCGCCGTATCCAGTCGGTAGTAGAAGAAGGCCCTGCAAATAAAACGCACAGATTAAAGGATGCCCGGGTGAAATGTCTTCTTAATTACTTCGCCATGAACTGAGAGAAAACAGCAGCAGCAGCAGATGAAAGGCAGGGCGCCGAGGGAGCAGCGCTGGCTTGGCTTGACTTGACTGCAGCGACGTAATTGAGAAGTCGATGGTCTGGGATTCGTTTTGTGTGGATGGCGCATTGGAATTGGAATACGGTTGGATTGGGCAGCCGTCGTCGTCGTCTCAGCATGGTCCACAGCGCCATGTTGGCAGCGCTCTTTAAGCGGAAGTAATTTAATTAATTACAAATGAAACGGAAACACGACGAGCAAAACGAACCCCCAAAATATAACCGTTTGCGTATGTGTGTGTGTGTGTGGGGGAGTGTGTGTGTGTGTGTCTGTTTGCTAACGTATGCATGTCAAATTTAAGCATAATTCTGCGCAGTCTGGGGATTGGGCAACTGGGCAAACCGACGCACTTGACGGCTCGGGATAAGCGCTTTTCAAAAAATGCGTCCCGGCAGCGCAATTAAAATTTTTCTATGCTTGCACCGCAAACTATTAGGACAGTGTATTTACACACACACATATGTGTATAATGTAATACACACACACACACACAAATACGGACACATTAAGCACAGCTCATTTGCATTGCGGTTTTAATTGCCAGCCAACCCCGAGCGAAACGAAAGTGAGAAAGGGCGAAAGGATGAAATTCTCTGCCGCAGCGAGGCTTACAAGGATAATGAAAACAATTTAACGACTCTCTCGACGATTCGCTGGGCGGGCCCAGCTCCTGACCAAAAAACTCTGGTCGTACACCGTTGAGCGCTTAAGCAAATAGAAACCTTTTTCCATTTGCCATTTTGCTTGCCTTTCCAGTTTTTTTTTTTTTTCATTTTATTTATTTGCTTCTGTATTTTTTTTTCTGCTGCTGCTGTTGAGTTTTGCGTGTCTGCGCAAAATATTTGCAGATATTTTTGACATTTTAATGAAAATATTTTGCGTAGCATTTCGAACAGCAAAAGGCAGCGTAGAGCGTTGATGAATTCCCGCTTTGGCTTGCATCCTTTCTCTGGCTTAATATTATTTTAACGAAGTGGATTTGCCAGGACGACAAAGGGGAAGCAGCAACAACAGTTGGTGGTCGGGCTTGGGAAGCGCAGTGCGAGGTTTTTTAAGCTGCTGTGATGGCCAGTAATTAAATGCTTGACATGCCTTTGGGTATGAGTCGCTGGCTGAAGTGGATTAGCGCCAGCAGAAGCGGATTGGGGATCGGGGTTTGAGGTAAATTAACGCTGATGTTGGCATTATAATTATGGCATGTAGTTAAGGCGATTCCTGCTCAAATTCCTGATACTTCGCAGCTACTCTTTCTGCTGCTGTACGCGACAGCTTGATAAGTTAAAAGTTGCTAGCGAGAGCAAGATATAAAAAAAGATATCAAAATGTTAATAATTAAATTTAATTCGTTGTAAAAGTAAAATATTATGATGCTCAAAATTAGTAGAATATCAAATTATGAAAGGTTTGATATTTGAGTTAACTTCCTAGTTCCAAGAATAAATTGTGCTAGTAGGTTGAGACTACTTAAGTTTTGGATTAATCACTAACAAACTATCAATTAAGATTACTTAAATTATCATCTGTAACTGAAACTTTGTTCACTTTTATTGCTTAGCAGGTCAGCTCCTGCCCGGGTGACTCCGATTCCTGGGAATTTGATTGATGTTCCGATTAAAATAAGATTTTCTTCTTTCGATTAATATTATTTTTTCCCTGCGAATTAAGTTTTTAACAGAATTTTGCAGAGCATCTCAAGAGATTAAACTCATTGCAGATATCACTTATGGCTTTGTTAACATTTCTCATAAATTCCGCAATTATTTGCGAATGTCGCATAATTCGTTTGTCTTAAAAAAAAAGAAACATCAAATATTAAATATTTCTCATTTGGCTAAGTGAGTGAACGGCGAAAGCAAACAATTGTGTAATAAAATCAACAACCTAAGCAAAAACATTAACAAAAACATTTGTCTGCATAAGGTGAAACACAAAAATCTCGGCTTGCTTTTTTCAGTTATTGCAGCTTTTGCAGATGAGGTAAACAAAGGGGACGAGGGGGATGTGTATTTTGCCAGCCAAATTAAAACAAATCAAAATCACATGAGCATTTTCAAGTGATTGCCGCGGCCACGACTGAAAATTTGCTGCAAGGCCTGTTGGCGGGCAAACATAAACAAGCAATTTAACAAGCACTCACACACAAACATACACACACACACACACATACACGCATACAGCGATAAAAGGCAGCGATACAGGCTGAGGCGGCAGATTCTTGAACAGGCGTCAGGCAGTTGGCAAACAAACGAAGCGTTCAAGCGCAAAAAGCAAAGCAAAAAATATATATATATATGTATATCCAGAAAGGAAAAACGAGGAAAAGGCAAGAAAAGCGTGCAGGCCAGAAACAACAAAAACGTTTTATGTACTAAGGCATATGTGTGTGTGTGTGTGTGTGTGTAGGAAGTGTGTGTGAACAGCTCAACGCCACAGCCACCGCAGATTTCTCACACATGCTTTAAAGTATGCCGCAACTTTTTGTTAATGAAATTTTAATCAAGCTCGACAACAGTGCCACATAGCATACTTTTTGCGCCAGCTGAGCAGCGTGGCTTGTTATCCCTTTTTGGGATCGGAGTCTGTTGTGTCTTAGGCAGCGGGAAAGCGTAAAATAGCCAGCAGCTTCATTAGCAGCTGCCGACAACGCGGCGTATGCGTAATAATTTATTTAAAATGCAATTCGCTTATGAAAGGCATAAATCATACACACCAAAGACGAAAATGGCGTCACGTACCAAAACTGAGAAAGAGAAAGAGAGAGACTGTTGGAGAGCGGATAAAATGGTGCATTTATTAACAATTTATGTCATAAATAAAATTGAAAAGCATTCATAATGTCAATGAGAAGTTTGCGTTTGGAGTGGGGAGACGTGAGTGCATGTTGATGATGCCAGCGACTTACATAAATTACGGAGACTTCACGTAGAGAGCGAGAGAGATAAGCGAAGTGTGGGAGAGAAACATAAATCGCAATGCGCCCAAAATTAGGCAACAAATTTACATGCAAAACGAGCACGATACGCAGCTAAATCACCAACAACGGAAACAAAGCGGCTCCAAAATGACAAACATTAAAAATAAGAATGAAGAAAAAACAAGGTCTGTTGTATTTTAAGGAGTAGTAGCTCCTCCAGGGACGAAAGAAAAAAATAATTTTGCTTTTACAAGCGCGTTTTCGACTGCGCCTTTTACTCAGTTATTTAACATATTTATTGTTGTTGTTGTTGTTGCTGTTGGTGTTACGCCTTTCGCTAGAAACCCGAATGAATAATGTGCACTTCTCACGGCAAATAATTATTTTCGCTTAGTGGCAAACAAAACTGCCAACTGGCATGCGATTTTTAGGCCATTTCACAGGCTGCAGTTTTTTTCCCCCTTGTATTTTGAGCTCTTATCGTCAGACCCAACACTTTTCGACGCCTCCCTTCCTCCCCAAAATTTCTCACACCCCGCCGCTTTCAGTTCATTATGTGAGTTTTGTTTTGAAAATTCTTTGGCTGCAGGGCGAACGGTAACAGTAAAAATGTCAGCACGTCGAAGCGAAGACAGAGGAGGGTGCTTCTTTATTTTTCTTTTTTTTTCACCCCTCCTCGTTTGGCTTTTTTTTTTTTTGAAGCCACCCCCAGAAAAGGTGTTGAGCAAAATTACAAAAAATTGCCAGCTCTTATTTTAAATGTTTGAAATATGCGCATTTGTTATTTTTTTCGATTGCAAACATCGCAGGAAAGAAAGAAAAATTAAAATGAAAAGAATTTTAATTAGTTTTTCACTTTGTGTTAATATGCAAATTTTGCTGCGATTCTTGTTTGTCAATAATAAACAAAAACAATTATTTATTTTTCGCATGTAGCAAGCTTGAAGTTTTAAATATAAACAGCTCTTGAAGAAAGAGTTTGTATCAAAGAAATTTAGAATGTATGCAATAAAATTTAGAAGAAGTTGGATAAATAAAATTCAAGAGGCATTTAAATGTAAAGTAAATCTAAATGTCAAGCAAAGACCAAAAGGAACAATCTGAAAGTGAATGCAGATAGCAATGAAATCATTTCCATAAATGAATTTGAATGGAATTTCAGGATTGTTTTCTAACGTTTAAGGAACTATTTGCATAGAAATGCCAATTTGTGATTTGAAATCTATTCGACATTCAAGAAAATGCAGTTGTTGCTTAAAATTAACTACAACTGTAAAAGTCAAACAGGAACTCTTACTTTAACAAGTTAAATTTCTACAGTGCTTTCCGACAAGCAACAAAGTACAACACAAACATATATATATGTGTGTGTGTGTGTGTTTACCAAACATGCAAACTATTGATTAAAAGTTGTGCAATTTTATGGAGCCATAAAATTTGTCTCAGCCAAAAATGGAGCAAGAGCAAACAGCAGAAAGGACCGGGTAGCTCAAAGACTTAATAAACGAGGAATATTTCCCATAGATTTTTTTTTTGG